AGGAAAATTAGGGAAGCAGAATTTTCAATTACTGATATTCGATTGTGTGTAAATGGAAACAATCAGTGATAGGGTTTGCTGTTGCTATGTTTATTGATAAATGGAAACAATACCAATGAGGAATATGGTCTTTGCATTTTCGTTTCACTTTCTATTTTATGCCCATTGTCCAATGAAACAAAGAGAGAATCTGGGAAACTATAAAATTTAGTAATTTGCCAGTTTAATGAATTTGAATTTTATCCTGTTTAGTGGTTAAAGAAGACCAGGAGGAAAGCTTTGTTTGCCTCTTTGGAGAAGATTAAAGCAGGTGAGTAAGTATTTCATCAATGTAAGATCCTCTGTTGATTAAGGGTTGAGCATTGTTTTGGGCTTTGATTTGTTCCGGTGTTCTGGAGTGAGAGATAAGATATCAGATTTTGAATTTTCATTGTTGTGACTTTTTCTTTTTCCCATTTCTTCATGTTAGAGTTGATGCTGCTTGGTCTTATATCCTTGTTGTTGGCACAATGGGCACGAGGGATATCTGAGATTTGTGTTAATTCATCTCTTTTCACCAGTCGTTTCTATATTTGCTCTGAGTTGGATTATGGCATAAATAAGGTGTTGTTTGAAAGTACTCTCTTCCAAATGAGACTGTTATTCCTCCGAAAGGACTAAATACTCATACATCACATCAATGTGGTGAGGTATATTACTACCCATCTAGTTTTAATTTCGGTAAGTTTATTGTCAGTGAATTAGATGTCTCACTGATAATGGTTGAATGCAGGGTCGCGAACCATTCGTATCATTAGAAAGTCTTGAGCAACTCCACCGGTTTTTGTTTGTTCTTGGCGTCACTCATGTCCTCTACAGTTGTCTGGCAGTTGGCCTGGCTATGAGCAAGGTGCAGTCTCTATCTTTCCAATTCCACTGGTAGGGTTATCAATTAAAGCTACTTAACAGAATCATGCATATGAATTAACTGAACTAGAGAGCATTTCTGCTTAGATGAAAACAAATTACACCATCCTTGATTGTGTTTCAAATAAACTAGAAGTTATAGCAAGCATGATTGAATCTGAAATTCCAAATTTTCCTATGGAAGTTAAAAATTGCCACATTCTTGCCTGAAAAAGACTAATTGAAAAGTAGCTAGATTTAGGACTTTGAAGATTCATTCCAATCATTTTGTACGTGACACGGTGATTTTTCTTAGTTTTGTTAGATTCGCATTGTTTATATATTCTTAATTCTTATGAAATGCTACAGCCTACAGAGGGATATTATATGATTTTATTTTTATGAGATCTGTGATGCCTCCTTTACTGGAATAATGGTTTTTAGTTTTTCATTCCACATTTATGTAGATTTATAGTTGGAGAAAATGGGAAAACCAAGCCAGCTCCATAGCTGATGGAAGTGTACAAGGTATGTAATGAAATTGTAATAAAGATGGCCGTGCACCGTTCCTTCAAACAACTTTTTTGCTTTTTCATTGGTATTTTTTTAGCAACACAATCAATAATATTAGTTTTTCCAATTATGATTTCCTTTTGGCATAGCAAAGAGAAACATGGTGATAAGGCGACATTCTACCTTTGTTTTCCATCACACATCTCATCTATGGAGCAGGAGTCCAATTCTCATTTGGATGGTGATTTTCATGCTCAACTATATATTCTGCATCTTCCTTACACGGTGATATTTTCATCTTTATATTTCTTTGCACCTCTTGTTTGAATCTTAATGGTGAAATGTCTGGTAATTAAGCTTGAAATTCTGTTATCTGAGGATCCAACTTTTAAGCTTTAAGCTGTGTTTGTTTTTAGTTTTCAAGGCATATTCCTGCCCCACATCCATGTAGCTCCAAGAAAAATATTGTCTGGAATGGTGATCCTAACTTCTCACAAGCATATATCTGTGTTTCCCATAACTCAATAATGTTAACCAGCATTGAGTTTTATATTGTTCAATCTCACAATAATAGTCCATTGCAGCTTTCTTCTTTTATCTCCATCCCCTTTCTTTCGAATTTTGATATTGTTTGATTTGTGTCTTTTACTAGTTGGTTGTGGTCTGTACATGCATCTTTGCTTTCTACGACAATTTAAGAGCTCTGTGAGGAAGTCAGATTACCAGGCACTACGTCTGGGTTTCATTACCGTGAGTATCTATTTTCCCTTATCTATTTTGCCCATCTTGCTATTGGATGGTTCTTTTTATATATTTTAAGTTATATATTCTACTCTTATTTGTATGGACTTTCTTTCCAGAAGCACTAGCTACCACTTTCTTATAATTTCCATAAATATATGGTTTGAAGCATGGAAGATGAATTTCATGGTATTCTTGGTATCAGGTAAGTGCTAATACAAATTGGACATAAATTTTGAACCTATATCCTATGATTTGCTTTTAAGTAATTGATTAAGTTTGACAGTAATATTCCAAAGATAGTAAGAAAATTTTATTAAAGGAAGTTGAGTATATCATAACAAATCAAGGGAAGTATTCCAATGAAAACATAAGTTCCATCAAATTTTCTGTCTTTCAGAAAAGCTATTCAGCAAAGTTATTGCACCTAATTTCATAATGCTGCTTTATGAATAAGCTAGTGCTTTTGAAGAAGGAGACAAAAGGCTATCAAATAAATAATGCCAATGTGGCCATGTTAATTTGTAATCATAAATGAGAAGATCAGAATAAAAAATAGTATGATATATTAGAAAGAGAGATGGAGTAAGATAGTCGCCATACAGGCTGGAGAAAAATGGAAAACATATTACTGAAAGAAACAAATGAACTACAATTAGTGCTATTTTGGATCCTATTTTGCTTGCAATGTTTCATCGCAGGTTGTCTATTTTGAAGAAATTCATTAGATACTTGTTGATAACTCTAAAATTTCTGATGAAACTCAATTGTAAGTTTGTAGCAGAATTGTGTTTTGGTTTTGTAGCTGGCAACTTTGGTTATATGCTATAGCTTGCATTTTTGTAAATATTCATGGTAACTAATCAAATTTTAACATTCTCTTTTTGTTTCTTTTATGTGTTTTGGTTTACTTTTTGAGATTCCCAAGTTCATAAACTGAACAAATGAAGATTGATAGAAGACAAATTCTTCTGACCCGATGAATTCTTTACAGAAACATCAGACTAGGATTGTTCCCGAAAAATTATCCTCTGTCCTATTTTACATACACGAGAAAACCAAAATTGTTCCAAAAAATTAAAAGGGCCTGTTCAGGCATACTGATAATAAGTTAAGGAGAAAGTTGGTTGTCAATATTTCAAGATTGCCATTTCCTTTTAACCGGATTTTAATCCTGTTTCCACCTTTTTTTCTGCCTTATGTGCTGCAGGATTGAATATTTACTTCTGGCTTCTGGCTCTCTTTCATCCCTGCTCTTGTAAGTGAACTGACTCTTGCTGGCAATTTATTTCAGAAAAAGATAGAAAATTTCTGTTGCTTTTAATAATTGAAAGAGGAATGATTAGCGTAGTGTATGTCTTACAAAATTGTTTCAAATGTCAAAGCTTGTGATGGTGGTTGAGACAAAACTTCAGCATGTTGTTTCCTCATTAGCACTTGAAATTAAGGAACAAACTGGTCCACCTATCGGAGCCCAAGTCAAACCACGTGATGATTTGTTCTGGTTTGGAAAACCAGAGATATTACTCAGGTTGATACAGTTTATCAATTTTCAGGTAAAGCCCATGCTTTACATTTAATCTCTCATGTGTAATTCAGATTAGTATCTATATCTGATTTTATTCCTAGTTCTTGTTCATGCAGAATGCATTTGAGATGGCAACTTTTATCTGGTCATTGGTAAGATTTACCTTTCTATCTCTTTGTTCTCCCTACCTGCCTTCCATTCAATGGCAAATAAATTTGTTGCATGCAATATGCAGAAGTGCTGCTTCTTCTTTTCTGGTATTTTAAGCAGTCTTTTCTTTCTATTATCCGTTTGTTTAGTGGGGACTTGAGCAAAGGGCATGCTTCATGGAAAATCATCTTATGATAATCTTTCGATTGATTTCTGGGTACGTTTTTTTTCAATTACAGAGTTTCAATGCAGATTTAGTAAACATCCATAACTTCTTTACTGAAAAACATAAAAATATTTTGACTATAACGTGGTTTTAATTTTGTTAAATGCAGGGTTCTTGTTCAGTTCTGGAGTAGCTATATCACAGTGCCCTTGAATGTCATTGTTACACAGGTTTTTCCCAGTCTTTAACACTCTTCATTAAATTGCGTGTTTCCTTGTACGAACCTAACAAGTAACTTGGACAATTGTTCCTCCTTGGTGGATGCATCTCTTTTGATGTAATTTCGTAGCTTTTTCTGGAAGTTCTTGATCCCTGCGCTCCATTGTTATCTTTCACTATTTTTGCTTCACCAATGTGCTTGTTTTAGGCTATTGTTTTTGCATGATAAAAAGAGTTACACTACATGCTTTCTTTGAACTGTGTGATATGCTAAGATTTCAACTCTTGATGGTTTCAGATGGGATCCCGATGTAAGAAAGCCTTGGTTGCTTAGAGTGTAAGAGAATCACTTCATAGTTGGTGTAAAAGAGTAAAAGAGAAATCTAAACGAGAATCTGTGCACTCACAAACTGCAAGATCTGTGTGTTCACTCGAACCAATAATTGATGATGAGATGGATGAAATCACGGTTGCATCAGGCACTATATCAAGAAGCTCCTCCAGGGAGTCACTAAATCAGGTAACTATAACATCCTCGGAACAGGCGGAGGCCATTCTTGGGACTTCCAACCCTGCCTAAGGTGAATACTCATCACGGTTGGCTGGCTATTTATCTGAGTCTATAAACATTAATACATCACAACCCCGGACCATCGATGAAGAAGACAATGGAAGCATTGCAAAACAAGGGAAGGTCGAAACCCTATATGAGTTGTTTCAAATGACCTGAATATTATTACTCTATCTGAGTTGTTCCAAAGGACCTGAATGTTTTTTGGATAAAAGACTTTATTAAATTAATAGTGTCAGAAAAAAATCATTTTTCTGTTCAAGCGATTGTCAAACTTGCTTGAACTTTGGTAAATGAGTTCTGGTTATACAGCTTTTGCCCATTGTCTTTCACCCGGAATTCAACCCGAAAAGGAAAGTAATAGGAGCTCACTGGCAGTTCATGTTGCAATTAGATATTCTGGGTGAAACATATAAGATTATTAGGGCTACAACAATTTCATTTGTGACTACAAATGAACAAAAACCTTAAAACTTGTAACTAGCTCATTCAGGGACATAAACAGTAGCATCCCCTTGACCAGACTAAAGCAAACCAATAAAAGCAACAGAAAAACAGAACAAGAAAAGAAAAGATCATAGTCTAGTTAAACCAGTTTATATTTAACCGGTGAGGGCTTCCTCCTTGTGTGTCTCAATGACAACATCACTTGTTGGGTAAGCGACGCAAGTGAGTACAAAACCACCAGCTATCTGGTCATCGTCAAGGAAGCTACCATCAGACTGATCCACACTACCTTCCTTAATTACTCCAGCACATGAAGAGCAAGAACCAGCCCTGCATGAGTATGGAAGATCAATACCCTGTTCTTCAGCTTGGTCAAGAATGTAGGCATCTGCTGGGCACTCAAATTCTAGAGATCCTTCAGGCGTGAGCAGCTTTACTTTGTATGCAGCCATAGTAAGACGGCTCCCTCTCTGGGCTTTTAGGTCAAAAAGAGCCTGCCTAAAGTTAGGAAGGGAGCGTGTCACCGGCTGGAGGCGGACAAAGGAGGTGCTGACCACGGCATTGGTGAGAGACGCGGTGGAAGCCATTTTCAGTGTAATGGGGAAAGATAGTGAGAATGCGGTATATGGTGTAGCAGGCTAATGGGAGTTGGGAAGGGCAGCCGTATTGATAGCCGGGAGGATTGTGGGGAAGCCTGGCTAGGAAAAGTAGGGATGAAGTGGCATGGAGCTATCTGCCACGTGGCGAACCACCGTGGTTTGAATTATCTTTTATCATTACCACGAAAGGTGTTCATCATTAATTGGTGAGTGTGGTTGCCACGATCCTTTGACGGTATTTCCCTTGGCATTTTGTCCAAGAGAAACCATTTGCTTTTGGCGGCTCTACTGGAAGTACCAATACGACTACGTACCAAGGTCTTCTCGTAAGAACATGAGTCATAAGAAACAATTTTAAACCATATAACCCTATCTTTTATATCGTTGGAAATTTTTGGGCTCGCTGAAACACCGAATGTTTATTACCACTAGATTATGGTGCAAAGCGCATCAAATTATGCAGTGATGTTGAACTTTTGAAGACACCAAATGCTACCCTCGGCCAAGGTCACACCATAAATTAAGTAAAAGGAAATACAACACAACCGCACGCCATCTTTCTGCATCATTCGGCTTCTAGAGGATTTAATTCATCGATAGGACATACAAAAAATTATTTTATTCTTCTCCCGGTGCTTCCGCATTTTCTTTTTTTGGCAGACATTGAAACCTCGAATAAAAATTTAGTACTGCAAATAAACAATGAAATGAGAAACCATTTACTGAATTCCTTGATAAGTTCCTTACCCCCAAAAAAACAGGTGCAAATAGGATAAAAAATCCTAAGGGAATTTAACCATCAGCTCTCACACAGGACATATCTATAGGCAAAGGGATCAAGGACAAAAGTATAACAAAATACAAGTCTTAACATTTTAACTAGCTTCGGAATTATAAAACAATATCTGAATTCTAAATCAGGGCTTGCAATTACAGCCGGGTAAAAAAAAAAAAAGCAAAACAAAAACCTCAGGGCTTCCCCTAGTCCACATAACCAAGAATACATCCCTACCGTCAAACCCTGTGATTTCACCTGTAGGCTTTGCTGGGTCTCCTATATCTGACCAGAGGCTTCCTCTCAACGTTTATTGCCTCAAAAACTAAAAATACTCCCTGAAGCACCAAACGGTTCTATGTTCCTACAGCAAAGTTCTAGTCACACTTGATGTTTCTGTAGATCCTCCTTACAAACAAATTAGAACCAAGATAACCAACAGCTCCTGCGTATTGAAAGGAAAATAATCAAAAACCCACATGAAGCAGACACAAGAGATGCCATAAAACTCCACTACTATCGGGCACAAAACAAACAGTGTTAAACAGCAAAAGGTAAAATAAACAAGCAACCATCCAATATTTATAACACCACAACCCCCCAAAACCCTTTCAATAAAAACGCTACAAAAATGCTTGATATTCTGCAAAATCCTGTATTTTTAATATTTACAATTAATTCAACAAAACTGTCCAAAATTTCAACCAAGGAAAACAATCAAGAATATTTTGGGCAAATTTCAAAATAGACAGAAGCTTTACAAGATTAAGGACATACTCCATGTTCCACAGAATAAGCCATGAGAGAAAATGCTTATTTGGATTGAGCACATAAAAAGGCTGGATAACCTTATTTACAAATATGATAGATTATTTATATATTTCAAACTCACCGCAGAGGACTCCCAAACCAAGACAAAACATCAAAGTGTATCCAAAGTAGAAGCTGGTCTGGAAGAAGCCTGACATCTTGGTTTTCACATAGTAGTAGTAAACAGAGTACAAATACACATAGACTGCCGTTGAGGCAGCAGAGAAAAACGACGTCCACTGCCAGTGATAGTTTTCAGCATTTAACAAGAAATATGTCCCCACAATTGTCACACAAACCGTTACAATGATAAGAATCAGGAAGACTAGCAGCATAAAACCATAGACATAATAAACCTGCAAAACAAAAAGGTTTATTGCATCTGAAATTACTATAATATGGATGCGCAATTTCCATGTCATATAAGAGAAATGAAGACTATGTTCTAGTAGTCATCACTCATCGATACATTAAAAAGTAAAACAACATTTAGCTATTTCCTGTCTGTACAACATAAAGACTGCTCCACCAGTTTGAGTTTGTTTATATTTTTCTAACTCTCTTCAGATGGTACATAATTGGCACACAAATTAGATGTATTTTCATACATTAAGGCGGTCTCCATACAGTCAAGACATAGGTACACATGAACATAGCGTTATGGAGTATAGCAACACCTATTATGCTTTTAAACGACATACATCCAAATAATTTAGGACTCCCAAAACCAGGCAAATTATCAACTAAAATATTTGGTACAAAGAATTGCAAACATGATTCAATCTCCCAGGATGCTCTTGCTTAAATCATCATCAAGCAATTAAAACATAGGATAAAGAATTTCACCTTGTAATTCCAGAAGGATGTGAAAACAAAATACATTTCAATGAATATGCTGCCAAAAGGCAGAAGTCCTCCCATCATAGAGACCACGGAGGGTGTAAGATACCATTTCTTCTCTGGAATTGGGCGAGGGATGGTCTTCACACGGCATGGGTTATTGGGAGCACCACTCCAGTTTCTTCCAACAACTGTACCAAGAAGAGCCAGGGGGAATGAAATGAAAGCCCAAATTACAAAAACAACCACCATTGTACCAAAAGGAATAGCTGCTAGAGATCCATAAAATATAGCGATTGTATTCAAGATGAAACCAATCCCAAAGCACATAAATGGGAACAGAGACGCTGTAAGGATCATTGACTTTATCCAACCTTTACCTGAAAAGAGAAAAACAAGAAATCCAACCTTTTTAGAATGAAAGATCCACAAGGACAGGGAACAAAAGCAAGTGAGGCTAAGGGATGAAGCACATACCCCCATTGCGTGAGTACATTCCACCACTCACATAACCAGAAATGAATGATGTAAAAGCATAACACAATATAAAAGTAGTGACAATTGCTCCCCTCCTGAACCAAATAATCAGTATATGAGAACTAGTCAAAAAGCTAAAAGATGAAATGCCAATACCAAATAACAAAGTTGATCACAGTACGAATTAAAAATGAGGGGAAAAATAAAACGCTACAGTCAAATTTGACAATGCTATACATAAAAAAGCTCATAAAATAGAAGGCATCATAAAGGGGGATCCTATGGAGAGCTCCAAGAACTATGCTTGACTTTATATGCATAAAAGTGGTGTCCAAGAGAGGCAGAGAAATAAATAAATATGTTCACAGCTCTCACAAATTTTGGATTTCATACTAGCTTCTCAACATACCCGACATACAACGTTCCCACAATGGCCAATAAGATGACAAGGAGAACAAGCAATGCTAGCTGAGCACCTGTGCCAACAACAGCAGAAAGCAGAACCAAATTGCGAGGAGGCCGGAAAACATCACCATGGACAAGTTTCCAACCAGACTCTTCACTCACATCCCTTTCCTGAGAACATAGGTGAAATAGCAAGGAGAATACGAATTTTCAGAAAACAGAACTTTCCTTCGAGAAGAGAAAAAAGAAAGGGTCCAGGTATTATCACCAAAGTTTCCAGATCATCATCTTCCCGAGCATACTTTGCATAGTCATTTCTCAGAGTTCGCATCAAGATCATTGACACCAAACCAGTGAGGAAGATAACCATCATGAATGAATTGAAAACAGAGAACCAATGGATCTGCATATTGCAATATGTATTTAGAGCTCTTGGAAAATTAAAAGAAAACATAACAACCTAATGCAAGACTTGTGAAGATAAATGAAATATTTTGTTGCACAAGCAACAAAAAAGAATCTCATAAAGAAAACTATCACCAATAACGCTACTTACTTGGTGCTCAAAGAAAGGATAGTCCAAATAAACATCAAAGCGACGAGCAAAAGTTACATTAGTTGGAATCCATTTGATAGAGTATGTCATGTCCAATATTCTCCCTGCTTCCAGTGGCTTTGGACTCTCTTGAGTGAGATTTACATGAATAATCTGCAAGATCAAAGTGCAGTTAATAACAGCAGCAGATTCCAAAATATGGAATGGAAGTCATATATATGTCAGGAACCACATACCTGATCCTTATTGTATTTAATAATGATATTCTTATGTGTGTAGAGAACATGCTTGCCATTGTCACTGTTCTTATCAGGATGCAGCTCGCCAACAAAGCCTAAAAAGTTAAAGATAAATTCTTCAGAAACAAGCTATAAAAGGATTACTAGACCAGATAAATGAACAGGAAGTAGAATAATGCATACCCCACAAAGGCAGATCATCTGAACTTTCAGCATCATGAAGAGCACGAACATGCCATCAACACAAATGTAAGGAATATAGACTAAGTGCTCCAACAAAGTAAGCCATATAGACAAAATAATTGATAATTGATAGCAGTATTTATCTAGATATTGGTACAACAGATAAGAAACCATTGTTCTCTTTGCATGAAGCAAAAAAAAGAAAACCTAGGTGATTAGGTGATTATTATATGAGAACTTGATGATTGATACCAGTATTTATCTAGATCTAGATCTAGATCACAGGTATGATTGATACCAGTATTTATCTAGCTCTAGATCACAGGGAGGAGAAACCTTGTAGGCCAATTTTACCAAACACAAGTGCACATAAAAATCATTTTCATCTATTACATGAGTCAATGCATGTAATGTAGCTGTAACTTATCCATGCCCAGCATCCACTATGTCTCCATAAATTTCCTTGTAATCCCCAACAGGCACTGAACATTTTATTCTGTTCATTATGGAGTATGCTCAGCCCAATGGCATAACCGGTATCAGATTTTTTACTGGCTGCCACAACTCCCAATCACCAAACAGAGCAACACCTATTATTCTATCAAGAGATCCAAGCTTCCGATGCTTTCAGATCCTGGGCTTTTCACTACTCAACTGAGCTGTCAAGTGTCAATATTTTTGTAGCTCTATTTGAGTGCACTTACTACTTTTAGATAAAAGAATGAAAAGCTAAACATACCCACGAAGAATTCAAACCAATAACTGTTCTCAATTGCATCCTTGAACTGTTTGACCTTTGCTTCATCAAGTTCCAGTTGGCAAATAGTACCTTTGTCCACATTCTCTGTTCAAGAATAAAAAAGGAGCAGAAGAAAGAATATAAAAGTCAAACACTTCGAAAATAATTATTAAACAAATTACGGTGATTGAATTAAGAGTCTAACAAGGAAAAAACCCGTACTTTGGAACTTTATATCAATGTGGCTATCAATCAGTTCATTTCCACCAAGGACCTCACCAAGACCACCCCATTTGTGAGCAGGATTGGTACCAGGATGACAAAATGGAAGACTGTAATAGTTATATGTTTCTTGTGGATTGTTGTATGGACCAACTTTATTCACCCAAAGGGTAATTGGATCATCTGGTTGATACTGCAAGGAAAAACAAGAGGAGAGTCGATAAAAGTTACACATGGCTATTGAAGCACATAAACACAACAAAAAAAATATTATAGAAATATAACAATATACAAGAACGAATCTAAATATCAAACACAAATTAGAAGAACGATTATAATCGTAAGTTCTCATTAAGAAGAAATGTGATTTGAAAACAAGGAGCGCAGGATAGGAAGACGTAACACTATTCTCAAGAAGGATTGGCATTCAGAATGATAGTTTAAGAAAGTCTGTGAAGCCTAGACCCCAAACACTAAAATCCATGAAATTCAAATACTTGACTTACCAATCACCAATAGTAAAATTTACGAACAAAGATAATGCAGTAAGACAATTTGCCTGGCAACTGGCATCTAGCTGATAAGTGAATTTGATAAGGAATAGACTGATAAATTGTGGCTGCAGATATGTCTAATCCAGCTTGTAATGCTTAGACTGATATGTCAGTTCTAGACTGCATATTAAATTACATGGTCAAGTCCTGACCGTTTATTGACTCAATATCAATCATCAAGAATTGCATAAACAAATTTTCAATCTACTCTCCCAGAAAATTGAAGGAATGCACGACCTTCTACTTAGTAAGGAAAGTGAATCTTGCAACCCAGGCATGAAAAGATGGAAAAACAAAAAGGGAACTCAACTATTGATAATATTCTTTCAAATCATTCCCAGTTTAGACATTTTACCAGCTATTATAAAAAGTCAATTAATATAGCTTAATACTCAATGTACATTAGCCTCCTACAATGGAAAAGGGTAGGATATTAATTATGTAAACAAAAAGACATCCTCGAGTTTACACAATGAACCTTGTCTAACTCCTTCAAGCAGATCCAATCAAACCCATCAGACCCAATTGAAAATCAATGTAAAAAAATAGTGTAATAATTAATTCAATAAACGAATATATGGAAAATGCTAAAATCTATATTTAGCACATGAAGGAATGAAATTAGGCAAAACATCTCCATGCCATCTTCGCCACAATCTGACTTACCTCAACTGTAACTTAGCCGCCTAGACTGAACATGGAAATGGTACGATTTAAGCGTGCATACAAATCTTTACAGCACATATATAGACATCAAGTAAATGATTTCGACTAATTTCATAGATTATTTACATTAAAAGACTATCCATCAGAGATCCATATCCTACACCTGATAAAAGCAAAATAGACAAAATTTTGTATGCCCCAAGTGACCCGTAAATCAAGAATTTGCGAAAGTCAAAGGCAACAGTTAAATCTAACAAAAAAGAAGAAATTAACAATAAAAAATGTTCAGATCTGAGTCAAAATCGTGCAAGAATTACACCAAAAATGACAAGATCTAAAGCGTCACTGTTTAGGTAGGGCTGAGAAAAGAATGAGAAGAGCGATTACCTTGTGATCTGACTCGGAAGCGAAGGCGAGAGAGAGGAAGAGGAAAACGAAGGCGAAATGCGAGAAGGATCGGACGGTGGAGAAGACCGAGGATGACATGGCGATCGACCGACGATGCTCGGATCTGAAGGTCCGGATGCCGATTCGAAACACTACGCTGCCGAGTTCTCTCCCTTTCTTTTCGTTTTTATATCTTGTTAAAGATTTGGGAGAGAAATTCTTTTTTTTTTTTTTTAACTCACATGAACCTGCCTTCTTAGATTGGTGACTTTTGGCTAAGGCACTCTTCTATAATTTGCTTCGTTAAAATTTAAGGGTGTTTCTCTAAGGTTATGGTCAGTAGCCAGGCGGTCTGGGCGATGATTAGACGTGAAGGGTAATTTGTATTATGTATATGCCCTTTGGACGGACCAGTTTAATGGGTCTGGTATTTGGCCCAGAGATCTGCGGATGATTAGGCTAGCTAAACCATAAAACTCCGGCCGGCCCATCTTGCTTTCTTTTTACGCTACTCTCTTTTGTCGGCCCGCACATGAATAACGCCGAAGTATCAATTTTGACAAGATATTTTCAAGTGAATTAGTATCAGGAGTAAATGACATTAATTTAATTTAAAAATTAATTAACTATCAAAATAAAATGAAATTAATAAAATTAATAACATTTTTTACTGTATTACTGATTTTGTTAAAAAAAATAATAACAAAAAGTTGTACTGAGATTTATTTATTATCATACAATATTAATTTATTTATTTTAAGAATGAACAACAAAAACCTCTAATACGTAAAAAAATCGTAACAATGAGATTTATCATTTCTGTTTTTATATTTCATAATTTTTTTAATATGCTACTGAAATTATTAAAATATTATAGCACATATTTGTTATTGTTTTTAAATCAATATATATATATATGTATTTTCATGATATTTAAAAGGCTGCAAAATTTAAATTTAAATTAGCCGATATATATAATATTTCAAAATCTACTATTTAACGTGACAAAATAACCGATAGTATATATAGTACCTCAAAAAAAAACAACTATTTTAAAAATATCATAACCCACAATCGTAAAAATCCACCATTTGTATAGTTTTTTTTTTTTTCCAACTTTTACAATTTGTTTGAAATAAGAGTACATGTTCTCAGCCCACTAAACCCCTTCATACTCCCGTTGCCTTAACACGTTTAAAATAACGAAATTGCCATTACCAAGCCCTTGAATTGGTGTACAGGGATAGATGCACAGTGAACGCACTGGGGCCAGTTTCTCCCACTGACATCTTTATCCTTTAAAAGTATATTATAAAAGTATTTAAAAATTTTTAATTCATTATAATGCTCTCACTCAAAAAAAATTATATATATAATTTATGTAAAAGTCAAACTTTATTGGAAGTGATAAATGTGTAAATAAAAAACTATTTTAAGGTCAATAAAAAAAACAAAATTGTTTGTAAATAAAAACTAACCAATTTTCATTTTCGTCCATCTTTTCCTAGTTTTGCAACTTTCAAGCTTTTAAACGAAAAAAGGGTGAACTAGAAGAGAAATTTAAAAAAGAAAAAAAAGTCTTTAAACTAAATAATAAATTACAAGTTGATTATTTTATTTTTTCAATAAGATATTTAAGTAAGTTATTTTTTATATTTTTTATAATTAGTCAATCAAATTTTTTATATATTTTTATATATAGTATTTATTTACTATTTAAAATTTGTTATATTGACAAAATAATTTGATCATGTATTCATGTTATTGATAGCATTTGTTTTTTTTATCATGTTTAAATTTTGTATGTTTTATATTTTTCTTTATTTTTTTTAGTTATTACTCATTCAACTAATAACTTTAAGTTTGGTAAAAATTAATTTTTATATGAAGATTATAAAATTATTTAGAAGTTTTATCTAATTTCTTACGTAGTAATATGGTTACAATATGTGAATTGTATTTCTATTAATATATATTTAAATATAAGGTCAGTTGAGCTTCATTAACATGCATAATTGTATTTTGAATATGTGTTTTTATTTTTTATAAATTACACAAACTAAACTATTTAATTTAATTAGTTATGAAAAAATATCTTATTAAGAGGAAGTCAATTTTTGAATAATTATATAGAATCAATACTGGTGGCATACAACATTGTACAAAGCAAGTTTGTGTTGAATCAAATTTAGATAATCTTATTTCAAATCCTAGATCACAAAAAAAAGTTTTGGACTATAATGCTAATGATAGAGACAAAGTTCGAAGAGCTTATTTGCAAAAAGTTTCTTGTCAATCTTATTAACATAATTTTTTTCTTAAAAAAATTGAAAAAGCATTACATCGTTTTATTACTACGTAGTTCAAAAATAATGCTACTTGGTTGAAATATAGCATAGAAAATGATGTCGTTTTTTGTTTGTGTTGTTATATTTATAGAACATATATTGGAAAACAAGCAGGTAATATTGTTTTATTTCAAATTGATTTACAATTTGAAAAAAAAAAAAGAAAGAAAGATTTAATGTTCATGTTTAAGGTATTGATAGTGCTCATAACAAAGCTTGGAAGTGTTGTTAAGATTTGTTAAATCAAAAATTCAATTTGCTTGTGCAAAACAATATGATCAAGCACGAAAAGATTATTAAATTTGCTTAACTACGACACTTGATTGTATTCGTTTTTTTTTTAATATCAAAGTTTAGCATTTTGTGGAATAGATGAAATTGAGAATTCTTATAATCAAGGAAATTTTTTTTAGCTTCTTAGATTTTTTACCAATCATAATGAAACTATCAATAGTGTTGTATTGAAAAATGTATCGAGAAATTAAAAATAATAGCACATGATATTAAAAAAGATATTGTTTGTGCTACAACAATTGAGACTACTAATACTATCATGAAAAATATTGAAAATGGATTATTTTTCATTTTACTTGATGACTCTCGTGATGTTTCAATAAAAAAAACAAGCTACTATTGCTTTGTGCTATGTGAATTCTAAATGACATGTGATTTAACGTTTTATGGGTATAATACATGTTAGTGATACAACCGTTTTGTCACTTAAAGTAGCTATTAAAGTATTATTCTCTAAGCATAATTTGAGTATGTCAATGATTCATGGGCAAGGTTATGTATTGTAAGCAACGTGCAAGGTGAATTCAATGGATTGAAAACTTTGATCATGAAATATAATCCATTTGCTTATTATGTTTATTGTTTTGCTCATCAACTTCAATTGACACTTGTAGTGGTGGCAAAGAATCATGTTCAAATTGTATTTACTTTTCAACATCGTGACAAGTGTGATGAATATTGTTAAGGCTTCATATAAATGAAAAGATGATTATTCAAGAAAAAACAACTTGATAAGTTGTTGAGGTATTATGAATCGGTGAACTTTATACGGGAAGGGTTTTAAACTAAGAAATAAGTTTCCAATAAACAGGGGATACACGATAAGGTTCGCATTATGAGATTTTGATAAATTTTATCCTTATGTTTAGTTTCATTATTGATGTGCTTGAATTTATTGTAAATGATGGGAATAACTTATAGCAAAAAGGTGAAGCTTTTGCCTTATTAAATTCAACTCAATTTTTTTACTTTGGTTTTAACTAATATTTGATGAAAAATATCTTAAGAGTTGCAAATGAGTTGTCATTGGCATTACAAAGTTGAGATCAAGATATTGTAAATGTGATGGTATTAGTAAAAGTAGTAAAGCAATGACTGCAAACAATAAGAGATGATGGATGAAAATTTTTGCATAAAGAGGTTTTGTATATTCTGGGAGACAAACAATCTTGGCGTCCCAAATATAGATGATATATTTGTAACTTATGGAAAACCTCAATGCAATGCTTTAACAATGACAAATTTATATTATTATCGGGTTGAGTTATTTTATACAGTAATTGATATGCAACTTCAATAGCTCAATAATTGTTTTAACGATGTTAATATGAAGTTATTTCATTGTGTGGCTTCTTTAAATTCTTATGATTTTTTTATAACTTTTTATATGGGAAAGTTAATTCATCTTGCTCAATTTTATCCAGCATAATTTTTTAATATTGAGCTACTTGTTATTGACAATTAACTTGAAATTTACATTGTTAATTTAAGATCTCATGATGAGTTTACAAGTTTGAAAAGTATTAGTGATATTTCATGAAACTTGTTGAGACAAAAAAACTTTTGTGTATCCATTGGTATAGTTACTTATGGAATTAGCTTTGATATTACAAATTTCGACTACATCAGTTGAAAGAGTTTTTTCTACCATGAAAATTATGAAGAATTGTTTGTGCAAATGAATGGAAGATTCATGGATGATTGATTATTTAGTTACATATATAAAGAAAGATATATTTTGTAATATCGATAATGAAAATTGATTGTCTAGTTACATATATAAAGAAAGATATATTTTGTAATATCAATAATGAAAAGATTTTACAATGCTTTTAAAATATGAAAAATCGTAGAGAACAATTGTAATATATTATTTTTATATATACTAAAATAATTTTTCATGCATCTTAGTTAACTTATATATATATTCAATATTATATGCATTTTTGCCTCCGTTGAATATAAATCATAAATTCGTCCTTATTAGTATACGAGAGAGGCACACTTGTTTTTCAACTAGTAAAATTTAGCCAAATATAATTTTTGTGTAAATGAGATTTTAATTTGGAAGTATGAAAAAATAGATATTAAGATTTAAAATTTAAATTTATTAAATATTATTTTTAAAATTAATTATATGAATTAATTAATTTAAATATAAATATAATATAATATTTTAAGATCATATTTGACGTATAAAATGATGAATATGATATGATGATAATTATTTTATATTATATTTAATTTGTATAAAAAATACATAAAATTAAAAAAATGATTAATAATTCTCTTAATATAAAATAATTCAATCTTCAAAAAAAAATTTTTTTTTTAATTCATGAAATTGAATTTACATATTTTATTATATTTTTTAAAAAATATATTAATAATTTAAATTATATAAATTAAAACGATAATTATAACAAATAAATGAATTATACTAATTTAATTTATATATATTAAATATAAAATAAATAATATTATTTAATTTAATTATATTTATAATTATATTTTATGTTAATTATAATTTTATACGTCAAATACATCATAAATGAACGAAACACGTTGAAAACTTGAAATAGATCTCGTTGTTGCCCCGTTTAAAATATTGTTTTGACGTGGATTAACACCAACAAGAAAACAGACCCCAAGCACCCAATCATCAAATGCCATAACAACTTCCTCCAAAATCATTATCAAAAAAGAGATGGGACGTTTTTTCATCCATACTCAAGCCAAAACAATTTATATCATCATATTAGGTTTTTTTTTTTTTAACTCTACCAAGACATTTCCATATAAACAAATAATGTATCATTTTTATAATGAATGGATTATCTATTATGATTCTTAATACCATAAAAATCTTAGAATTTGATTCCATTAAAGTTGTAAAATAAATCTTAGCATAGTTTAAACATAATTACAAAATTTTAATTTATAAAAAATAAAAAAATGTCTTGAAATTTTCAATTAAATAATATGATTTCATTTGCAATTTTATAGTTATAATTAAAAACAATAAAATTTCTTAATAACTTTCATGATATTTAAATTATTGTATTAAAGCTCTAAAATTGATTGCTTTTATTTTATATAAATATTACAAAAAATTTTGGTGAGTTAGGACCATAACACATGTCACGAGCTCAGGTTCCATTCCATATGGTCGACACATTGATAAAATGGTTTACCATCGAAATGGAAAGATGGAGAAGGACGCGAGTGCATGTGTCCCACGCGTGGGCTTCTCTTTCTGTCCGGTTATCTCCCACTTGCATTCAGTTCTCTTCAATGCTTACCTCATTCGTTTCAGCGAGCGATTTTCGGGAACGATGGTTTTCCCACTGGCGGATGTGGAATTCATCAAAATCAAGTAGGTTGTGGACCACCCTGCCCACTACCAGCCTAATCATTGATTTCCATTAAATGTATGGATTGGTTATTGATAATTGTTGTTGCAATTGGAAATTTGAAACAGACCCACAAATATGGTGTGGTGCTTTTCTTGTTGACGTGACGGTGAAGGTGATGAATGAATTTAGACAAAAGGGAAACAACGATTGTTCAAGGTTTTTTTTTTTGTAAAATATTAATCCCAATTAGTATTTAAAGTACTCTAATAAAAAATTTTAAAACAATTTCAAATATAAAATTGAGAAATTACATTTAACTATATTTGTGAGATTCGATCTTGAATTTTAATAGCATCAATCACTTGTTTTAAAGATATAAAATATATTTTATAAAATAATTAATATAACGAATTAATTAATTAAATTAATATATAATATGATAAATTTAATATAAAATTAAATCAAACGTGATTTGAATTTAAAACTTCTAAAATTTTTTCTCTTATTTGTCACTAAACAGCTAAACCTTCATTAGAATGAATGAAAATTATAAAAAATTCAAATAAAATATAAATAAACAATTTTAAATTGCATGGAGAATTTTTTAGAATATAGTAAGTACTTATAAAACACAATATTTAGTATATCTTGTAAACAATTAAATCAAGACACTGTTCCAATTACTGGCCTATTCATACTTCAATAGTCAAATACCCAAAATATTTCATCATCGGCTTCTCTTAATCACCAACTTTTAATCAAATAGAATCGTAGCCGAATCAAGAGGAGACCTCACGATAAGCTCAGCAAGGGTACTTGGCAGAGAATCATGCCGACATAGAAGAAGAAGGAGCAGTGAGATATTCCCTCAATCTCTTGCAAAAAGCATAAGGTACATTCTAAAATCGCGTCTCTCTCATTCTCTACAAAGGTTTCTCTTTTCTATCATAATAAAACAAATAATAATAATAAAACCCTTTTATACAGTAAAAGATTCTTCTATCTGTTCACAAAGCGCTGGTTTTCTTGGTTTCTTACGATTTTAAAAATTCGATATTCTTTACTTCTCTTCAAATCTCTCTAATCTCCACCTCCACTTCAGCCGCCCACCACCGCCGCGAATTTCCGATTAAGAATGTGTTGCGTATAAATTGATGCGTGCTTTGATTTGTGAATAATTAAGTTAGGGTTTTTCATTTATCTCATCTGTTTGGAAGGAAACAAAAAACATGGAGAAGTACGAGTTGGTGAGAGACATAGGATCTGGGAACTTTGGGGTAGCGAGGCTGATGCGTAACAAAGAAACCAAAGAACTCGTCGCCATGAAGTATATCGACCGTGGCAATAAGGTTCCCATCTCTTTCTTTTTTTTTTAATGTTTTTATTTGATTTTTTTAATATTCATATGATGCATTTAAATGCATCTATCCATGTATTATGCATGCATGTATGATGTTTACTATCCATGTATTATGCATGCATGTATGATGTTTATGTAGGATTGTTTGTATGTTTTTAACTTTTAAAAAATCACTGTGGGTAGTTTCTTAAAGATTGAAATTTGCTGCTGAGGGAATGTTTTTCTTGACGTTTTACATTTAAACTTTTGACAGATTGATGAGAATGTGGCAAGAGAGATTATAAACCATAGATCACTCCGTCATCCAAATATAATTCGGTTCAAAGAGGTGTTAAATTTTTATCCGCTTACTTTTGTTGTTGTTGTTGTTGCCTTAATGTACTTAAATTAACTCTTTTTTTCTTTGTTTCTAATTTGAAGGTGGTTTTGACTCCTACTCATCTTGCTATTGTGATGGAGTATGCAGCCGGTGGTGAACTCTTTGAGCGAATTTGCAACGCTGGAAGATTCAGCGAAGATGAAGTTAGCTTGGATTTCAAACTTTTGTCTTTTGGTTACTAAATTAATACCCTTTTGCAGAAAAAAAAAAGGAAATTTGTAATGTTCACCGTACGTTGTATTATTTACCTTCTTGTTGGCTGCATTGTGTTCCCTTTCCTCTCTTAATTGATACAGAAACTAGTGTGAGATGAAATGCCACGGTTTTATCCATTGAATAATCCTGCATTACTTTTCTAAGCGAGAGATAGGCTGGTAGGTGTTTTGAACTTTCTACTAACGATGTTCTTTCTAATATTTTATGTTTTCAGGCCAGATATTTTTTCCAGCAGCTGATCTCAGGAGTTAGCTACTGTCATTCCATGGTACTATCTATTACAAGAAATTACAATTTTCCTGTTTTTGTAAGCTTCTCATATTTTACCTCTTTCATTTTCAGCAAATATGCCATCGAGATCTAAAGTTAGAGAATACCCTGTTGGATGGGAGCCCTGCTCCTCGTCTGAAAATCTGTGATTTTGGTTATTCAAAGGTATAACTGAAAATAGGGTCATCACACTAAGCATAATCAAATGTATGTGGAAGTTCTTGTTGTTTTAAGATGCTTCCTTCCACCCCTTTTGTAGTCATCTCTGCTGCATTCCAGACCCAAGTCAACGGTTGGAACTCCAGCGTATATTGCACCAGAAGTTCTCTGTCGGAGAGAATACGATGGCAAGGTAATTTAGTCTTTGTCTACTTTATTCATATATTGTTGATAGCTGCTTCTTTATTAGACTGGGTTATTTTAGTTATGGTTATGTGCTTATGCTAATTGGTCCTGTGCTAGAGTAGTTGATGCCTTTACATACTGTCTAAAGATCAGCTGATTTTACTTGGCATGTGTTAAGAGTTGTCAAGGCTGATTATATACTTGGTAAAAGATCGATCACTAGAATATTTAAAAATTAGTTGGAAATCTGCAATTATTACAGCTAATGCCCCTTTATGATAATATTTTCATTTTAATGACCACAAAAGCAATGCCACGTGGGATATTTGGCAAAGACAAACTGTGGTCTGAGTTTTAGCAAGTTTTTCCAAGGCAGAGGGGATTTCCTGTTTTCTGCTTCTGATTAGTTTTAGGATTGGATTTCTTTTTCAGATGGCAGATGTATGGTCATGTGGAGTGACTCTTTATGTCATGTTGGTTGGTGCATACCCATTTGAGGACCAAGAGGATCCTAAGAATTTTAGGAAAACTATTAACGTAAGTTACATCCTTCTGCCCATCCCTCTTTTTGACTATCTTAATCATTTAATTTCTTTATGATTTCTTATGTTTTTTATCTGCTGCAGAGGATAATGTCAGTTCAATACAAAATCCCAGATTATGTTCACATATCTCAAGAATGCAGACACCTTCTTTCTCGCATATTTGTTGCTAGCCCCTCCAGGGTATGCACTGCTGTTACTGAACTTGTTCTAGAATTACCATAAACTAAAGTGAAAGTTAAACAATATTTTAGTTCATATGGACGAGGACAAATTCTTGTTCTGCCATAATTTCTGTTTCTAGATTGGTGGTTTATTGGCATGGTAGGGTTCTATATATATATATATGTCTTTTTTCCCTTTTGTTTTTAGGATGTGGTAAAGCACGACGCTTACATAAATTGCCTGCTACTTGTGCGTTGAAAGATAAATTTTGGATGTACAATTGGTCATAATCATAAAGAAATGTTGCTTGTCCATAGTTAAATAAGGAAAAAGTATGAGACACAGGATTTTACTTTTCTGCCTATGAAGTGGTGGGGGGAAGTAAAACAAGAGAGCCATCTCCAATTTTAAATTGCCATTCTTGGAGTGGCCATTAATAATTACCTTTTGTCAATCCATCACCATTGATAAGCCTGCTTTTCCATTTCCTCTGTCTCTCTTTGGCACTCACTGTTTTGACTATTGTTTTTATAGAGGATCACCATCAAAGATATCAAGAGCCATCCATGGTTTTTGAAGAACTTGCCCAGGGAACTGACGGAGGCAGCTCAAGTTGCCTACTACAGGAAAGAAAACCCAACTTTCTCCCTTCAAAGTGTTGAGGAAATCATGAAAATAGTTGAAGAGGCTAAAATTGCTCCTCCAGTATTGCGGTATATTGGAGGCTTTGGCTGGGGTGGTGAAGAAGATGAGGATGCTAGAGAAGAAGATGCTGAGGAAGAAGTAGAAGAAGAAGATGAGTACGAGAAGACAGTAAAGGAGGCCCATGCCAGTGGAGAAATTCACGTCTCCTAAAAGAAGTACTAGATCCTTTCCAAATGATGGAGATTTGCCTTTAGTGGTCATGTTTATATGATGTCAGTTTCTACCTAGGACCTGGTGTTTGAATAAACAATCTGTAAATTAGTTTGTCTTGGGAAAGAAGTTTGTGCAATCTTTAATATGATTAAGGTGTCTTGCTACTGATCTTGGAAGCTGGAACTACTGGGATTTGAAGCTATCTGGTTGGTAAATTCCCCGTATAGGGATCAGCTTCTTAAAGTATATGGTTTATTAATGGTCTAGACTTCTAGAGTAAAATGGAAGGTTTGCGAGTATTGTAAGTTGATTTCTTCCATCATAAAATGGTATGTCTAGGGGTTTGACTCGTTAAAATTTATAAAGTCGCCATTATTACTCTGGTTTGTTTATGCTTCTCTTTCTTGTAGTGCTCTCTCTAGCTTGATCTTGGTTGTGTTACATTGATTCTTTGATTGTGAAAACAAGGTTATGCTCTTTCGATGAAAGGACGACGGTGATTCTTTATGAACTTATTGTGTACCCTTTTCTGCAGGGTGATGGAGGTTGCCAATGTCTTTAAGCTTTCACTTTTGAATAAAATATTTCTTCTAGCAAACCGACAATTTGAAGGATGCTCTTATGCTTTAAAGTTTGCATCATCCTCCCCGCGCAACGATAGGAAAAACCTTGGCCAAGATGATTCTTTTTCTTCGTTCACCAAAATAAAATAAAAAGAGAGAGACGTTCCTCTGTGGTCCATCCGCTTGCTAACCTGGTGGGCAAGGTTGCCTTGGGAATCTCCTATCTTCGGTGGGTTTGGTTAATTGTATCATCCCAAGACATGCAACCATATTATTTTGTAAGATGAGATGCCCCAATAAAAGCGAGAGAAATGTTAGCAGCAACATGTATGTTGCGGGTTTGATCTTCATCCACTCCTATAAAAGCCAGATGCTTACGAAACAATGCGCGCAAGTCTGAAGCAAATGTCGATCACGTGAAGTGAACACGATATCTCAGGTATTTCTTGCATGTGCTCCACTGACTGTAGAGGTCCATGTCCTTGTGTCACGGGTCGAGATTTAAGCTCTAAACCCGCACGATTACGAGACCCGGATATTCACCCTTCCGACGTCCCAAATCAACCTACCTGTCACGGTTCACTCCCTTGTGAGGTATTGTCTGCTCTGGTCCTCTAGCCTCACGATTTTGTCTTACAAAATGTATCTCACAAGGTCGAGATTGTGTGAACCCTTTTATACCTCAATAACCTCCTATTATGTTCGATATGGGATTCAAGACTCCCCTTAGATCCGTGACACTTGCGCTTTGAACATTGAAGTGAAAAGACGTCGAGACTGGACAGAAACTAGCACGTATTGGTGATAAAAAAATACAATAAAAAAATGTGGACATCTGCGGAGTCAAATACAGGAACTCGTCCATATTATAACATCCTTTCCTCTGCAGAATGAACACATGTAATTGCATTCTTTTATGGTGATCACAAGAAATCGAGTTATGCCAAGGGAATCAACATTTAGTCATATATCTCGTCTTGGGCAACTTATCATATCAGAATCAGATCATGAATTTGTCAGTGTACCACCAATGCTAGACTCCAACAGCATTGCATGCAAACTTCCTGGTTTCAGTCAGTACACATTCCCAATCAAAAAGAGCTGAAACAACAGCAACACTTTTCAGATTGGCTATACATTTGACACACCAATTTCACCTATGGCTACCACAGGTAACTTGGAAGCCATAGACAGTTTTCAGCCCATCCAAACCGACAGTGGTATTCCTTTTCGTTTGCTATTACTGATATGGTCGTCGGTGGTCACTGGCAACCCGTAGCTCGAGTCACAAGCTCAGGTTCTATTCCATGGTCGACACAGTGATAAAAATGGTTTACCATCGGAAAAGGAACGAAGGGCGAAGGACGCGATTGCATGTGTCCCACGCTTGGGCTTCACTTTTGTCCGAGTTATCTACCACTTGCACTCATTCATCTATCTCTCTTCAATGCTACCTCATTTGTTTAAGCGAGCGATTTTCGAGAACGATGTTTTTCCCACGCGCAGATGTGGACGTCAATATCACGCTCTCGGATGAGAGGTAATCAAGTAGGTTGTGGACCACCTTACTCCACCATCAGCCTAACCATTGATTTCCATTAAGTGTATGGATTGATTATTGATAATTGTTAGGGTCAATTGGAAATTTGGCATAGACCCACGTGTGGTGCTTTTATTTTTTATGTGATGGTGAAGTTGATAAATGAATTTAGGAAAAAATGAAAACAATGATTATTCAATGTTTTCTTTCGTAAAGTGTCAATCCCAATTAGTATTCAAATTACTCTAATAAAATTTTTTAAAACAACTTCAAATGAAAATTTGAATCAAATTTGACTATATTTATGAGATTTGATTTTGAGTTTTAATAGTATCAGTCACTTGTTTTAAAGATATAAAATATTTTTTATGAAATCATTAATATAAAAATTTACAATAATTTAAAATATCAATTAATTAATATTTAATTTAATACATCTCTCATTTGCCACTAAACGGCTAAACCTTCATTTGGAATAAATGGAAATTGTAACAAACAACTAACTTGAAAATAATCAAATTAAATTTAAAAAAATTAAATTGAATTGAGAATTTTTACAATAAAATACTTATAAAACACAATATCTAGTAGATCTTTCCAAACAATTAAATCAAAACTATGAATATAAAAGTTTCTAAAAGGACAATTCTGATACAAAAGCCTTTACAAAACATTTTTCCAAGTATTGGCTTATTGGAACTTCAATCGCCAAATACCCAAAATATTTCATCATCGTCTTCTCTAAATCGTCAACTTTTAATCAAATAGAATCGTAGCCGAATCAGGAGGAGACCTCACGATAAGGGACTCCGCAGAGAATCAAAACGACATAGAAGAAGAAAGGAGCAGTGATATATTCCCCCGCTCTCTTGCAAAAACACGAGGTACATTCCAAGGTTGCGTCTCTCTCATTCTCTACAAAGGTTTCTCTCTCTTCTTTATCTCAATAAAACCAAAAATAATAATATAAAAGATTCTTCTCTCTTTCTCTCAACAGTGCACTGTTTTTTTTTGGTTGCTTGTGATTTGAAAAATTCGATACTTTACTTTTTTCAAATCTCTGTAATCTCCACCTCCACCACCTCCTCCACTTACGCCGCCCCACCACCGCTGCGAATTTCCGATTAATAATGTGTTGCGTATAAATTGATGCGTGCTTTGATTTGTGAATAAATAAGTTAAGGTTTTCATTTGTCTCATCTGTTTGGAAGGAAACAAAAAAGATGGAGAAGTACGAGTTGGTGAAAGACATAGGATCTGGGAACTATGGGGTAGTGAGGCTGATGCGTAACAAAGAAACCAAAGAACTCGTCGCCATGAAATGTATCGCCCGTGGCCATAAGGTTCCCCTCTCTTTCTTTTTTTAGTTTGTTTTTATTTTATTTTTTTAATATTTATATGATGCATTTACATGTATCTATCTATGTACTATGCATGCATGTATGATGTTTATGTAGGATTGTTTATATGTTTTTATTTTTTAACAAATCATTGTGGGTGGTTTCTTAAAGATTGAAATTTGCTGCTGAGTGAAAGGTTTTTCTTGACGTTTTACATTTAAACTTTTGATAGATTGATGAGAATGTGGCAAGAGAGATTTTTAACCACAGATCACTACGTCATCCAAATATAATTCGGTTCAAAGAGGTATTAAATTTTTATCCTCTTACTTTTGTTGTTGTTGTTGCCTTTATATGAATGTACTTAAATTAACTCTCTTTTTTTTCTTCTAATTTGAAGGTGGTTTTGACTCCTACTCATCTTGCTATTGTGATGGAGTATGCAGCTGGTGGTCAACTCTTTGAGCGAATTTGCAACGCTGGAAGATTCAGCGAAGATGAGGTTAGCTTAGATTTCAAAACTTTTGTTTTTTGGTTACTAAATTAATACCCTTTTGCAGAAAAAAAAGGGAAATTTGTAATGTTTACCTTACTTTGTATTACTTACCTTGTTGCCTGCATTATGTTCCCTTTCCCCTCTTAATTGATATAGAAACTAGTGAGATGAAATGCCTCGGTTTTATCCATTGAATAGTCCTGTATTGCTTTTCTAAGCGAGAGATGGGCTGGTATGTGTTTTGAACTTTCTACTAATAATGTTCTTTCTAATATTTTATGTTTTCAGGCCAGATATTTTTTCCAGCAGCTGATCTCAGGAGTTAGCTACTGTCACACCATGGTAACAAAGATTTAACATTTCTATCTATTACAAGAAATTACAATTGTCCCTTTTTTTTAAGCTTCTCATGTTTTACCTCTTTCAGCAAATATGCCATCGAGATTTGACATTAGAGAATACCCTGGTGGATGGATGCCCTGCTCCTCGTCTGAAAATCTGTGATTTTGGTTATTCAAAGGTATAACTGAAAATAGGGTCATTACGCTGAGCATAATCAAATGTATGTGGAAGTTCTTGTTGTTTAAGATGCTTCCTTCCACCCCTTTTGTAGTCATCTCTGCTGCATTCCAGACCCAAGTCAACAGTTGGAACTCCAGCGTATATTGCACCAGAAGTTCTCTGTCGGAGAGAATACGATGGCAAGGTAATTTAGTCTTTGTCTCCTTTATTCATATATTGTTGATAGCTGCTTCTTTATTAGGCTGGGTTATTCTAGTTATGGTTATGTGCTTATGCTAATTAGTCTTGTGCTAGAGTAGTTGATGCCTTTACATACTGTCTAAAGATCAGCTGATTTTACTTGGCATGTGTTAAGAGTTGTCAAGGCTGATTATATACTTGGCAAAAGATCAATCACTAGAATATTTAAAAATTAGTTGGAAATCTGCAAATAGTGCATTATTACAGCTAATGCCTCTTTATGATGATATTTTCATTTTAATGACCTTGAAAGCAATACCACGTGGGATATTTGGCAAAGACAAACTGTCGTCTGAGTTTTAGCAAGTGTTTCCAAGGCAGAGAGGTTTTCCCGTTTTCTGCTTCTGATTTGTTTTAGGATTGGATTTCTTTTTCAGATGGCAGATGTATGGTCATGTGGAGTGACTCTTTATGTCATGTTGGTTGGTGCATACCCATTCGAGGACCAAGAGGATCCTAAGAATTTTAGGAAAACTATTAGTGTAAGTTACATCCTTCTGCCCATCCCTCTTTTTGACTATCCTTAATCATTTAATTTCTTTATGATTTCTTCTGTTTTTTATCTGCTGCAGAGGATAATGTCAGTTCAATACAAAATCCCAGATTATGTTCACATATCTCAAGAATGCAGACACCTTCTTTCTCGCCTATTTGTTGCTAGCCCCTCCAGGGTATGCACTGCTGTTACCGAACTTGTTCTAGAATTACCATAAACTAATGTGAAAGTTAAACAATATTTTAGTTCATATGGACAAGGACAAATTCTTGTTCTCCCACAATTTCTGTTTCTAGATTGGTGGTTTATTAGCTTGGTAAAAGTCTTGATCTATGTCTTTTTTCCCTTTGTTTTTATGATGTGGTAAAGCACAAGGCTTACATAAACTATTGGCTACTTGTGCATTCAAAGATAAGTTTTGGAGGTACAATTGGTCATAATCATAAAGAAATGATGCTTGTCCATAGTTAAATAAGGAAAAAGTATGAGAGACAGGATTTTACTTTTTGCCTATGGAGGGGGGGGGGGGGGGTAAAACAAGAGAGCCATCTTCGATTTTAAATTGCCATTCTTGGAGTGGCCTTTTATAATTACCTTTCACCCATCCATCACCATCGATAAGCCTGCTTTTCCATTTCCTCTTTCTCCCTTTGGCACTCACTGTTTTGACTATTGTTTTGACAGAGGATCACTATCAAAGATATCAAAAGCCATCAATGGTTTTTGAAGAACTTGCCCAGGGAACTGACGGAGGCAGCTCAAGCTGCCTACTACAGGAAAGAAAATCCAACTTTCTCCCTTCAAAGTGTTGAGGAAATCAAGAAAATAGTTGAAGAGGCTAAAATTGCTCCTTCAGTATCACGGTATATTGGAGGCTTTGGCTGGGGTGGTGAAGAAGATGAGGATGCTAGAGAAGAAGATGCTGAGGAAGAAGTAGAAGAAGTAGAAGATGAGTACGAGAAGACAGTAAAGGAGGCCCATGCCAGTGGAGAAAGTCACATCTCCTAAGAGAAGTACTAGATGCTTTCCAAATGATGGAGTTTTGCCTTTAGTGGTCATGTTTATAAGATGTAGTTTCTACCTAGTACTTGGTGTTGAATAAACAATCTGTAAATTAGTATGTCTTGGGCACGAAGCTTGTACAGTCTTTAATATGATTAAGGTGTCTTGCTACTGATCTTGGAAGCTGGAACTACTGGGTTTTGAAGCTACCCCGTTGCTAAATTCCCCGTATAGGGATCAGCTTCATAAAGTATATAGGTTATTAATGGTCTAGACTTCCAGAGTAAATGGAAGATTTTAGGAGTATTGTAAGTTGATTTCTTTCCATCATAAAATGGTATGTCTGGAGGTTTGACTCGTTAAAATTGATAAAGTCACCAACGTAATTTAAGAAACATTTATGCTATTATTACTCTGGTTTGTTTATGCTTCTCTTTCTTATAGTGCTTTCTCTTATGTTACATTGACTCTTTGATTGTGAAAACAAGGTTATGCCTTCCTATTAAAGGAAAGGAGCCATGCAAGCAATGTCCACGACGGTGATTCTTTGTGAACTTCATGTGTACCCTTTTTCTGCAGGGTGGTGGATCTATCTTTTGGTTGCCATTGTCTCTAAGCTTTCACCTTTGAATAAAATATTTCTTTAGCAAACTGAACATTTGAGGGATGCTATTACGCTTTAAAGTTTGCATCATCCTCACCGCGCAACAATTGGAAACACCTTGAGAAGTCATCTGGCTTATAAAACATTAAACAAAGATGATTATTTTTTTTTCGTTCACCAAAAAGGAAAAAAAAAAGGAGATGATTCCTTGGACTCCTGTGCTGTTATCCATCCGCTTGCTACCTGGTGGGCAAGGCTGCAATGGGAATCTCTTACCTTCAGTGGATTTGGTTAATTGTATCATCTTAAGACATGGAACCATATTATTTTGTAAGATGAGACGCCCCAATAAACGTGGGAGAAAATCTGATGTTAGAAGCAATATGTATGTTGCGGGCTTGATCATCATCCACTCCTTTAAAAACCAGATGCTTACTAAACAATGCACGTCAGTTTGAAGCAAATATCGGCCAAGTGAAGTGAACATGAAATCTCAGGTATTTCTCGCATGTACTGCCCTGAATCTGTCCCTTTCAACAATATAATTGCGGGTGAGTAGTAATAATGAAGTGAAAAGATGTGGAGACTGGACAGAAACTAGTACGTATTAGTGATAAAAAATACAATGAAAAATGTGGATAACAGCGGAGTCAAAAATACAGGAACTTATCCATATTATAACATCACTTCCTCTGCAGAATGAACACACCTAATTGCATTCTTTTATGATGATTACAAGAAATCGAGTGATGCCAAGGTAATAAACATTTAGTCATATATCTCATCTTGGGCAACTTATCATATCAGAATCAGGTCGTGAATTTGTCAGTGTACCACCGATGCTAGACTCCAATAGCATTGCATGCAACTTCCTTGTTTCAGTCAGCACACATTCCTGATCAAAAAGAGCTGAAACAACAGCAATACCTTTCAGATTTGTTGTACCGATTTCCATCACAGCACGTGCATTTGACACACCAATTCCACCAATGGCTACCACAGGTAACTTAGATGCCATACAGACAGTTTTCAGCCCATCCAAACCAACAGTGATATTGTTTTCCTTGGTGTTGGTTGGATATACACCACCACACCCAATGTAATCAGCACCATCAGCCCATGCCTGTCGGGCTTGCTCTGGTGTCTTGCAAGAGACTCCTATAATCTTTTCTGGACCAAGAAGAGCGCGAGCAACACAAGCAGGCATGTCAGACTGGCCAACATGAACGCCATCGGCATCACAAGCAAGGGCAACATCAATACGGTCATTAATCAGCAGAGGAACTCCATGTGATTGGCAAATTTTAAGACATGATTTGGCAGATTCCAGAAAGTCCTTTGTTTCAGCATCCTTCTCTCTGCAAAAGCAAGTGAAGATATTTTCATCAAACAAATATATATGCAAGCAGTTAGTAGAATCAGTTGCTATGGTGTTCAGGTCAAGCTAGGAGATAATTCATAGATGGTGTAGGTCATCATAACTGAGAAAAGAATACAACAGAAACCTACCTTAATTGGATAATAGTAGCACCTCCTTCTATGGCAGCTTTAACAGCGTCTGCTATAGATCTGCCCCACTTTTTGTTCATCCCTGAATCCGTAACAGCATACAGAAACAAGTCACTTGGATTAAAAGGCTGCAGCCTATGACAATCTTGAGAATGACTCTTAAGCCTCAATAGATGATCGAAGGGGCCTTGAGGCCCATTTCCAATAACAATCTCTTTACTGTAATCCAAGGCACTTTCAATGAAGCGTTTTGCTACCTTCCAAAAGATGGGAAAATAAGAATGAGAGAGAGACCTGGAAAACAATAAGGCCATATCCCCATGAACAAAGGAAAATGAGCCACAGCATAGAACTAATTACTTTAACAGCTGAGAGCACTTGATAGCCTTTTGCTAACTCTGCTGCTATACAAGATGCCAAACTGCAACCAGTACCATGAGTGTTACGAGTTTTTATACGGGGTGAATGCAGCTCATAGAAGTTATGACCTATGAAAGTGAAATTTAAAAGTTTAGCTAGCTATCAAAACCCTTCAGGTGCATTCATAAATTTAAAAAAAAAAAAAACCCCTTGAGGCACACCAAAGCAAAGGAACTGGAAACAGTTAGCTTGAAAACCATAATATTTCAGCCTACCATCATATAGAATATCAACAGCATCTGATGAGTTGGGGAGGTCACCACCCTTGATGAGTACATTCCTGAAAAAACAAAATTATCAGAACATAAAATATCTGCTTACCTTTCAGCTTTGGAATAAAACATTAACCTACCAAACGTGACATTTATAGGTTGAATGCAAGGTCTTCATCAAGTTAATAAGAAAAAAATTGACAATTATTGTTATCAGAAAATCCGAAGTTCAATGCCTGATGTTCAAAGCTTATGCCTCAGCTAAGAAGGAATAATATGCCCTTCCTAAGTCTCTCGACTTTAAAAAGGCTAAAAGTACAGTAATCTTAGCTATTTGTAGAACACTTGTCATGCAAAAGAATCAGTTGGGCAGAAACAACATGATTCCAAGGACAAGAAAAGCTATTACATGAGTTTCAGAAAGGATACGGCTGGCAGCAAACAGACATAGAATTTATAATTACAGATCAGAAGAGAGGAATAGATTTTTTTTTTTACTAACTTTGGGCCCATATTATGCAACAATCTTGCAGCAGAGTGCATGTCATCCACTGTTTCCACTCGTATGCCATCAAGTAAAGCAGACGCCTCTTTTAAATTTGGGGTTATTATGTCAGCCATTGGAAGGAGCTCCTCTCTGAAAGCATGAAATGGAAAATCAAAACTACTGAGAACAAACAACACTTCATTTTGGCAACCTCAAATGAGATAGAAGTCGTGGGGCAGCTGGAGAATTTACATAACAATGATGGTAGTGAAAAACCATGAGGGTGGGCCATGTATATCACTGAATAATCATAGCAAAAAACTGTAATATACCTAAAAACAGAAAGAACGGAAGGACCAGCCAGCACATCCCCACTTGTAGACACCATGACAGGATCAACCACCAAGGCTGCCTTCAAATTACCAGAGAAAGTCAACTCAAAATCCACTAAAATTGCAGTTTAAAAATCACACTTCCAGTCTTTAATTCTGGTGCATACCTTGTACAGGAAACTCCCTGAGAATCTTACAAAGAATCTTGACTATGCCGACAGAAGGTAGCAGGCCTGTTTTCACCTAATAACATTTTGATGATAAACTAAGTTTAATTGTTTTGCAGTTATACTTATTACTTAGAAGACCATATTTTGCAAACAATCATAGGCCCAACGATGGCTATGAGTTGCTCATGACTAAGTACTTGAAGCTCATCAGTCATCGCAGTAACTCTTACCACATCAACTTGCATATCAGAGAGCACTGACTTTAACTGCGCTGCAACGAAATCCTCAGGTACATTACTTACACCCTGAAAATCAACTAGAGAATTAATTAACCAGCGAAAAAAATGAAAAAGATTATCTTTAAAGAAAAACCCAAAAATCAAACGTCCAATTTGTTTTAAGGATTAAAAAGAAATGCCAAAGTAGGAACAACCTGAACTCCAACAGTGTTCTGGGCAGTGACAGCAGTTATAACAGTTGAACAGTAAACTCGATTTGCAGCACAAGCCTTAAGATCAGCTTGAATTCCAGCCCCAGCTCCTGAATCAGAGCCAGCAACAGTCATAACATGTGGGATTTTCATCTCTGAATCATCACTCAATGTTGAAGCACAAGCAGCCTTTTCCTGCATTGCTGCGAAGCCTTGAAGACGAATAGAAAACTGGGTTCTTAGATAAATGGATGGTGAGTGTGAAACTCTTAAGTTTCTAGTGTACCCTTTTGCAGAAGCTTGAATAGGAGTTGAAAGCAAATTAGTCTGAGAGAGAAAAAAAAAAAAACTAATCAGATTTTAAGTATCATTTTTTTCAATGCTTATCTTCGAGAAAATTTAGAACTTCTATCAGGAAGACTTGAATTGTTAATCTATGGAGTTTGTGGATTGAAAAAGAGAAGAAAAAAAGATATTTACTTCACCTTGTTGGCGAGCAGGGAAGCCGTGTGAAATGCAGAAGAGGCCATCTAAAAAGCGGCGACCAATTTGTTGATCGAAAGAATCTCTTCAATCTCCACGCATTTAATGGGCTGATTCATTCTCTTTTATTAACACTGCTATTTCATCTTCGTTGAAGCCCGGCAAAGGCATTCATGTGGTTTTGAACTTTGGGCTTTGCTCTATAATAATGTTTTTCAAAAACATTTAGAAAAATAAAATTAAAGGTAAAATTTAAATATATTTATGAAAATTAACAATTTTTTTATAATAGTTAAATGAATACAAGATAAAATTTTATTTTTATTTTTAAAATTTAAAAAATTCACAATCAGTGTATCTAAAATTGAAATTAAAAAAAATACTGCTAATTTTTTTTTCTTTCCTACAAAGTTTAACCATGTCAATTCTTGATTCTTTATGAGCATATACAAAATTAAGAAATAGATTCATAATTAAAAAAAAAAAAAACTCAGTAAGTAATTTGGTGTAACAATAATTTTATTTATGAAATTTTAATTTTTATTAAAGTATTATATTTCAAATGTTTTAACACTAACAAAATAGGGTTTTCATATGAAAGTAAACCAAACATTCCTTAAAATTTAAAGTATAAGAATTAATCAAAAAGTTTTTTTTATTGTATTTAATTTACTCCTAATATCCATATCTTTAATTTTTTTAAAAAAATTTCAATTATATTAAATATGTTACACATGATTTTTTTTCACCCTTGGTGTGAAAAATATTTTTGAAAAAAAAAAGTTTTAGCATTTTTTATATTATTATTTTATTAAGAATATATAACAAATATATATTTTTGTTAGGTTTGATTATTTTTTTTAAATATTATTATTTTTTATGTGTTACTAATTTTTGCATGTATTATTATTTTTGTTATTCATTACAATGTTTTATGCGTTATTATTTTTATGTATTCGTACTTTTTTTTTTTATAGTGCTATTACTTGGGCCGACCTTAATGCGGCCAAAAAGTTATGGGGTCCAAAGAAGTCTGTTAATCACGGCCGCTTATTTCCATGGTGTTAACTTCAACCCGTTCGATTTCAAAAAGCATTCACAACATCCAACGGTTCATCGGGTTAATTTCCCGGGTCAAACGGATCCGGTTATAATAAACACGGGTACTAATTTCGTCTTGACGAACGGGCCAAAAATTTCCCGCCACTCCATACCGCTCTGGATTTTAAAAGCGCCTCTCTCTCTCTCTTCCTCCCTTTCTTGCAATTTGCGAACACGTATTTTGGTGTCCACATTTCTCTCTCCGATTAAACCCTAAACAATCCGAGTTCAGATCAATCGAAAAAGGTCAGTTCATTCTTCGATTCAATTCTCTCTCGATTAATTCGAATCTAGGGTTTTATTTCTTTCTTCACTCTCACTATGTAGTAGTTTTTTTTCAAGCCCTTTTAGGCTGTGTAGCTCTTTAATAGGGGCGTTGTTTGGATTTTTCCCCGCAATTGAAATGAGGCGCAACTTGTTTACCTCCTTGTTCTTGTTTTTTAATTAATTATTATTAAAATTTCTGGATTTATTTATTGAAATATCAAACTTAGATTTTCGTTGCATTTTGTTTGTTATAAAATCTAATGTATGTCCTTTTGTCTCTTCAAGTTCGCTTGAGTAAGTTTTTCCTTTAGCAGGTTGTTTAATTTAATGGTGAAGTTTTAGTGCAATGGAACTTTCATCAACAAATCAGGATCTATGTTAGTCAATGGCCAGGGAAAAACATATGATGCAATAGTATGACCTTCTTTGTTCTACCTATTGTGATAATCTATTTTTGCTTATCTTGGTTGGCTAATTATTCATAGTTGTTTATATGAAGCCAAAACAATTCTGGTGAAGGTTACAAACATGATGACAAACTTCCTAAAGTCAATTGGTTGCAGCATGTTGATGCACATGATAAATTTTCATGCCAAAAGAAGTTTCTGTGTACGAATTTCCTTTTCTCCTTAGAAACGCAAAAACCTTGTACTCGAGGAACAATGGGTGCACGGTATGTTACTGTTATATACTTTGATGTTTTTCTTTGAGTGGCACTTACCAACTATTTCTCCCTTAAAGATTTCCTTGTAGTATGAATTATGCTTTATTGGTTTGGAATTAGTGCACTTAAGCATTGAATAAAGCAAATTGGCTGTATGGTTACTACTGTGAGAATCCTCTTTGTAAAGATTCTCTAAGAAAGAAGAATTATAAAGCCTTAAGATTGGTTATCAGTTGGACACCAGGTTTTCTGGTAGTTGCAGTTTTATGTCAGAAAATAATAATGTCGTGATGTTAGCTTTTAATAAAAAAATTATGCTATTATGTGATTTCTTTGTAAGATTTGTTGATTGCGTTATATGACATAATTCAAATCATCCAAGGAACACTTTTCTTAATTTCATTCCATTGACCAATTTACTGATAATTCTAACAAACCTTTCTCATGTCTTTAAGGTTAACGGTCTGCCAGATTCAGAATTCTCAAAAATTTCAACATACTCAGGTTGAAAAGGTAAACTTGATTGAAAGGATTAACAAGTGTATTCACTGTAGGTGGTTTTCAGGGCATATATTGGCTTTTTAAGTTGCTTATTCTTCTTAATTCCAACAAAATGTCCTTCATATGTTAGACTTAGATTCTGCATTCCTAGACCTCCATTGCATGGATGTTTATTAAGTTTGTTCTGATTTCTTGTACCTTTTATGGAAATATTGGCCAGGCTTGGCAGATTCTTTCTAGTCTTCCAACATCTTCCAGGACATACTTAAGACCAGGAACAACTGCTCCAGTTAAGAATTCAAATGATGAGATTTCTCATAATTGGAGAGGAAGATCTACCATAGCAGACTCATCAGACATGAAGTGGTCTGAACATGTGCATGTGCATCCAAACAACAATGAGACAGATGGAAAGATCAACGGATTGGGAAGGTCCATGGCCAGTTTTTTTCCATCAAGTAATGCCAATACTGTGGAAGGTGGAAATAATCTACAAGGGCACAGTGAGATTAAAGAATCAGTGTTCAACCATGTTAATTCTAAAGTTTTAGGTGGATCATTAAGGAATCATACTGTCCATGCTGGCCTATTGGAGCAGTCTGTAGAGGTTTTGGCTAATGAAATTGACGATGATGACTTACTCAAGGTAATATGCGTTACCTTTTTCTGCAGTGGTGGTATTCCACTTGAAAATTGGTTATGTTGACATAAATGGATTTAGTACCATTTAACTCGCTCACCAGTCTCCAAGTGCGTTTTAACTTGAATTTGCTGTCATTTGAGTGGAGCTGTTAAATTGATTGGGCATATTTTACTGTATCAATGCCTTCTATTGATTGCTTTAACCAGTGTGCAATTTCTCCTTTCTAATGCTATTCTGAAGTTATTAGCTATGCTTGTTTTTTGCATTTATTTGTCCATTTTTGAACTATTAATAAGGTCCCAGGATTTTGTCCAACTTGAGTTTTACTTTCTGGTCGTTTATACATCATTTTTAATCTCAGTTCATTTATCTATCATTTATTGACATTGGGTTTCAGGATATTGATGTGGACCAGATCGTCTCAGAACACTATCAATCAACTTGCACACCTCAACCTTCAGTTACTAAGTTCCCACCCATTACTCCAAGTTTGGATAAAAATGCCTTTGCAGGACAAGAAGAAGCTTGTTTGCCTCCTGAATTATCCTCAAAGTGTAGTCATGGGTGTAAGGCATGCATCTCATCTGCATTTTTTTTCTACTCCGATGCCATCTCAATTTTCTTAAAGTTTGATATTCCTTATTCTGGAAATTAATGCAGCTAGGACTCTGCCCAGAAGCTGCAAGTCATGTGCAGGACATGAAAGACATATTAATTGCTGTGTCAAATGAATTGCTTGACAATGCTACCAGCCTGAGTCCAGAGCAGATAGAGAAGCTTCGCCAGGATAGGTTTGTCCTTATATTTGTTATTAGTTTTCTAACCTTCATTTGAAGGGATTTTAGTGAAATTAGGCCTATTTTAAGGCAATATGTTGAAGAATGAAATTCATGGAAAAAGAAGAGATAATGAAAGCTGCTAAATTAAGAATTATGGGGATAATGTTGATAGATGATGATGGACAATATGGTCTTCATTATTTCATTGTTTGTATTTTGTAACATTAAGGTCCTTTTTCAAAGAGAGAAGAGCCAACAACTGCTATATTTGTTCTCTGATTAATGTATTTATGTTAACGGTCAGGTTGCAGCTGAATAAGCAAATTAAACAGCTTGAAAGATATATCTCTGATGTGGAAAGGCAAAAGTCACATTTTTCAGCGTCAACAGCAAATCGCACCTTTCTATATAGAACACCACAAACAGTATCATTCAACCTTGACGCAAATCAATTTGATGCCCAGGTTCATTTGCATAATGAACCAAATGGGTATGAGAAATGGAATTCATCGTCAGTTTCTTTCTCTTCTGTAAATAGTTTCAGTGTTGCATCAGGTCCTATGGAAAGAGAATCATACATTCCAAAGATTATTGAAGTAAATTATATTGAAGGCTCAAATGACCAAAAGTGGAGTAGTAGAGATTTCCCATGGACTAAAAAGCTGGAGGTGCTTGGTCTTAATTGTTAACAAGTTTCCATAGTCCGTACACATGATCTTTTCTAATATTTATTGTCAGCTTTCTCTTTAGGCAAATAACAAGAAGGTGTTTGGGAACCACTCATTTCGCCCCAACCAAAGAGAGGTTATTAATGCTACAATGAGTGGGTATGATGTTTTTGTTCTTATGCCTACAGGAGGGGGAAAGAGCCTGACATATCAGGTAAAGAGGTTTTCTCAAGACCTTCTTATCTTCTGGTACTTCTCTTTAGTTTGCTTGCCTCTCCCAATCACTTCTGTTATAATCTGATGCCATTTTAGTTGTGTGGACATGCTTTGTCTCTGCTGGTTCACTTTTGGACAGCCAAATCTTTGATGTCATACAGCATCTTCTGGAGAATGATATACTGTGATATGGACTATACTTTTATTTTGTTCTTCATAGGCTTTGATTCTGGTTAGCTTATTAGTAACAACAGATAAGTTTTCTAGAGTTGTCTTTTGTTGATGCCAGCAGGATGCCCCATAAAGCAGGACTTTAAGCATGTTGTCTGTTCTTCTATTTCAGCTGCCTGCTCTTATCTGTCCAGGAATAACATTGGTGATTTCTCCCCTTGTGTCACTCATCCAAGATCAAATAATGCATTTATTGCAGGTAATGTGTTCTGTACCTGTGTTCTTATAGTTTATTTTTTTATCTGGATAGCTGATCAGCTGCCTCCATGATGAAATGTACTTTCTTTATCCCTTTTGGTTTCATGTTAGGCAAATATACCGGCTGCTTACTTGAGTGCCAATATGGATTGGAGTGAACAACAGGAGATTCTCAGAGAACTTACTTCTGATTATTGTAAATACAAGTTGTTATATGTTACACCAGAGAAAGTGGCTAAGTGAGTGTCATTTATATCTATTATATTATTCAATATGGTGTTCGCTTATATCTGCAGTAATTACTTTGGCTGCATTGCATACGAGTATTACTTTGAAATAAGAGAGTTGACATAAAATCAAAAGGTATATTATTAATATCTCATGTAGAGCATATCAGCTCACACATTAATTCTAGATGACAAGGGCAGCTTAAGAATTATTCTTTTCATTTCCGATGCTATCTCTGTTAAGGCAAACCTTACTAGGAAGTTACCGAGGAGACTGATTTTGCATGTCCATTGACTCAAAGTTTTAGTCAGTTCAGAATAGGCCCTTAGCTTGAAATGGGTGGAAGTTGCTTCCAATCTGATTCTCTCTGCACCTTCTTCAGTATCATTTCAAATGCTTTTTATGCTGTTTATTATTGTTGTAAAAAATAACTGAGCCACATTTAGAGTCCAGGTTTTCCTTTTCTGAATTACTTAAAGAAACAGTTGGATTGCTAAAGAAAAAAACAATAAAGAAAAGAAACAGTTGATTCACTAAAGACTAACTAGAATAGAAAATGATTACATTCTATTGTTATTTTATTTAGTGCATTTTTATCCTTTTTGCAAACAAAGCTTTTGATTCTTTTTACTGTAAAGGTGCTAACTTTTACTATACTAAAGGTGCCAAATTTAGTATAGGTTGGTTGTTTAAAACCAAAGTTTTTCAGAGAACCTAATATGAGGGTTATCAACAAGGAAATTCTTTTAAGGTAGCTTCAACAGCCAAAATATTGTTACTCAACCTTTTAAACCTTCTGCTTGGTTCTTTTTAAAAGCCTAGAATATCCCTTTTCTTCTATTCATCTTTCCTATTATTTCTCAACCATTAAACTCCCTCTCTCTGCAATTTTAGAAATTCCCCCCTTTACAACCTTCCTTGAGGGCTTGTTAATGTCCATTTGATGGGAAATTTTAACTACTATTGTAATATTATTCCTAAGTGTATTAACACATATAGGAATAATCAGCAGCATACACTTGTTTTTAATGTAAGCTTGGTTGCTCTTATAACCTCTATCTTGATTACAGGAGTGATGTCCTGTTGCGGCACTTGGACAGTCTAAATACACGTGACTTGCTTGCAAGGATTGTTATTGATGAAGCTCACTGTGTGAGTCAGTGGGGGCATGACTTTAGACCAGATTATCAGGTTGTAAGCTTTGGAATTTTCCATACTGTTGCCCATGGTCTTATAGCTTTTGTTTGACATTAAGCTGGTCTATAAACTGTCCAGGGCCTTGGTATCTTGAAACAGAAGTTTCCAAAGACTCCAGTTTTAGCTCTAACTGCAACTGCAACAGCCAGTGTAAAAGAAGATGTTGTGCAAGCTCTTGGTCTCATTAACTGCATTATATTCAGACAAAGTTTCAATCGCCCTAATCTCTGGTAAGTGTTGAATAAGATGGAGCTGTCACTAAATGTATAGGTCAAATCGTCACTGATTTTAAGATCACAGGTATTCTGTCATCCCCAAAACCAAGAAGTGTGTGGATGACATTGACAAGTTCATTAAAGAAAATCATTTTGATGAATGTGGAATTATTTATTGTCTTTCAAGAATGGACTGCGAAAAAGTTGCCGAGAAGTTGCAGGTTTGTCTTTCTGGTTTATCACCTTTTCCTTGTTGGAGACACACTTTAAAAATTCACTATGATAATTTTGTTGGTGCTAAAGAGAGCACCAAGGCTCAAACCTAGGAACTCTACCTAAACCCCACCTCACCCTTTCGACTTGAGTTAAGCCTTAGTGGCGCACTACAATAAATTAGTTGGAAGGCATTTAATTCTATAGATACAAGAAAGCACGTTAATAGCTTAACACGTTTGCTGTTGATCTTCTTGAAATTTTATTTATTGCTTTTTTCATTTTATTGGTAAATAATTTGTGAAACTTTTTCATCACAAAAGAATATAATGAAATGGAAAAGATTGTAAACAATTTCTGTTTTCAGGTTGAGGAAACTAGTTCAAACACAGATAAAGATTGAAGTTGTATTTATGCCTTTTATCTGCAACTCTTCCATTATGTCACATTAAAAGTTGTAATATGCATGTCCAATTACTGAAGAAAATATTGTAGTAAATTTAAGAGCTCGATGTTTTTCCTATCGCAATGCTAATGTCTCAAACCATTATGCTAGCAAGAAGATTTTGCGGTTTTAACTTGGATATGCATGATTAAGTAGACAGGTAGAATGATCTAGTTGTCTAAGACCTTAAACTTCAGAACCTGAGTGAATCTGATAAGCAAAAGAATAAGATTTTATAAGAAATCAATTATCCATTCCCATCTAGATCATTCATGCCTATTATGGTGCATTCCACGTCCAGGAATATGGACATAAGGCAGCATTTTACCATGGAAATATGGATCCAGCACAACGTGCCTTTATTCAGAAGCAGTGGAGCAAAGATGAAATCAACATAATTTGTGCCACAGTGGCATTTGGAATGGGTATCATTCATTTTTGCTGGTTGCTTCCTTGATTAAAAGAAAACAACCATGCATTAACACTTTTCTTTCAGGTATCAACAAACCAGATGTTCGCTTTGTCATTCATCATTCTCTTCCAAAATCAATTGAAGGTTACCATCAGGTAATCATTGAAATGCTAAGTTTGAATATACATATTTTTTGCCATTTTCTGTTCTGCTTGCTTAATGTGTTTTTGCCATGTTATAGGAGTGTGGTCGTGCTGGTCGAGATGGTCAGCGCTCATCTTGCCTATTGTATTATAGTTACAGTGACTATGTAAGTTGCTTCAGTTTATGTAATGCATATTTGTGATTTTTGTTAAATCAGTATTCATTAAGATGTTTATTCACCTTCTGGTTATGCTGAACATTTTTATAGTGACTGGCGATATCTTATTTAGTCTATCTATTTTCCCATGCTAAGTCTTGGATGAGTCAAGTAAACTAGTAATGATATTTCTTTCTTGGCTATTTACTTTTAAATATTAATTCTTCTGAAGATACGAGTCAAGCATATGATTAGTCAAGGAGTTGCAGAGCAAGTGACTGGATATAGTCGCTTCAATACGTCAGGGAGGATATTGGAAACAAATACTGAAAATCTCCTGCGCATGGTATTGATATAAACTCCTCATATATTTTCCCTTGATATTATTATTATTATCATCATCATCATCATCTAAGTTACGATCTTAATGTTTCAGATCAGTTATTGCGAAAATGATGTTGATTGCCGACGACTTTTACAGCTTCTGCATTTTGGAGAAAAATTTGATTCTGCACACTGCAAAAAAACGTGTGATAATTGTTGCAAGATTAAAAGTATTGTTGATAAGGATGTCACAAATATAGCAAAACAACTGGTTAGGAAGCATTTTACATTTCTTTCTGTTGCTTTTTTTTTTCATTCTCTTTATTTGGAATTGGTATGAATCTATAATTTCAATTTGCTTTTATCACTCCTTGCATTGTTTTAATAGAATCTATAACATCTTTTGCTAGGTTGAACTAGCAAAATTAACAGGCCAGCAGTTTTCATCATCTCATATTTTAGAAGTCTACAGAGGTTCCTTAAGCCAATTTGTAAGTCCAATACTCATAGTTTGCTTCTTGTTTGTTCTATTACCTTCTCTGAATGCAATTTTTTTGGGGGTAATGAAAAAACTAGGTCAAGAAACATAGACATGAGACTTTGAGTCTGCATGGTGCGGGAAAACATCTAGCCAAGGGTGAAGCTTCCCGCATATTACGCCATCTTGTTGTGGAGGAGTTCCTTGTGGAAGATGTTAAGAAGAGTGACATTTATGGATCTGTGTCATCTGTGCTGAAGGTATCCCTAAATCTCTACCTCTTAATGCTCACTTTGCCAAATTGGTTCTTTTAAAAAGGAGCAAAATATTTCTCCACTCTGTTGAATACTCATGCTTTCACAATTGCTACTTTGATTTGTTTCCAGGTGAATGAATCCAAGGTTCAAAATCTCAGCTTTAGTGGGCAGACCATAATAATAAGGTTCTGGGTTCTTTTGCTGTTCTTGTTTTTAAGTTATCATAACTTGTAGTTACTAGAATAAAGTAATTTCTATAATTGTAATGACGCACTAAAGATTTAATCCCAGTTATGATTAATACCTCTGGACCTCATCAACCTGCAAAATTTTCATTTATACATCTGCTTTTCACTATTGCTTATTCCACCTTTTGTGCTTCTCATTACTGCAGAAATCAGAATAAGATTTTTTGGGTCACAAGATAGCATGAGTAGCTGTTAAAGCATGAATTGATTCTAAACTCTTCTATCAATTTATGTGCTGTTGTCCCACAATACACAGAAATACCTTGACTTGATTCTTTTCTGATTAATATGATTTACGGTTTATAATAGTGGCAACAATGTATGTAATCATTACGTTTGTGGGAATTCTTGTAACTAGAAAGTGATCCATTGCTATGCACAAAGCAATTTAAACCTTCTGCGCCTAATCATTTCATCGAGCTTGTTGGTATTAACTTTTGTTGCTCAAGTTGCATGGATATTGCAATGCTCTTCCTAACATATGGTATACTATGTAGATTCCCTAGCTCTGTAAAAGCAACGAAACTGAGCAAATCAGAAGTGACTCCAGCAAAAGGCTCATTGACATCCGGGAAGCCAAGTCCTCCAAGAGTTGATACTCCAGCTCAATCTCAGTCCAAAGTCGACTTGGTATATTTCTGTATTTCTATGCATCTTGATATCTTCCATATGAATCTTATCTGCCAAACATGATTATGGATTTTAGATCTAACTTGGTTATGTTTACAACAGAATCTCTCTGCAAAACTGTATTCTGCTTTGCGACTGCTTCGAACAATTCTTGTTAAAGAAGCTGGTGAGGGGGTCATGGCATACCACATATTTGGGTGAGCTCTCGATATTCTGCCACTCAGCATTTAAATTCCCGTTTCACACCATTTTGTCCAGGCGAAAATGGAGCAGGGGAGAAAAAATCTTTTGAAATTCAAGTTATACGCTGCCTTTACTGCTTCAAATCTGTTCGCATATACTTCTGTCCTAATAAGCTTCTTTTTTTTTTTTTTTCAATTTTTCCTTCGCCTAGAAATGCTACTCTGCAGCACATTAGCAAAAGAGTTCCAAGAACAAAGGAAGAACTCCTCGAGATCAATGGCATTGGGAAGTAAGTTCTGAAATTCAATTAGATAGTTGAAATAGCTTTTTTTCTTTTTTTTTTTTGGTTCAGATTTGTATATAAATGATTGATTAAATCAACAAAACTTTTTAAACTAAATTTAGGGCTAAAATAAGTAAGTACGGAGACCGATTGTTGGAAACGATTGAAGCTACCATCAAGGAACACTACAAAACAGGCAAAAACTGTAGTAGCAGCAATGACAGTACTGACTCAGCTAAGAGAAGAAGAGACGCAAATGGTGCTCTAAACGCCAAAGCAGAAGACGATGATGATGACGATGACTTCTCCAGAAGCACTGGTCGATCCAAGAAAAGGACATTGAAAAGGCAGGACAAAGATGGTGAGGCTTATTCTTCAAAAGATCAAGATTATAACAATAACCAATGCCCTGCTGACCATGACTTGGGCTTTGATGATTACGACTACGATGCGGAATCAAATTGCATCGTCGATATGAACGGTCTGGGAAGGGTGCTACCCTCATGGTCAGCAACGTGAAAATGGGGTAGAAATTTTGGGTGTTTTAAATTTGCTAAAAGAGGAATGTTTTATACAGTAATTTTTCAGGAAACTTCCTCTTTCAAATCAGGAAATGATTTTGAGAGCCATTGCTTTTCTAAGCTATCGTGACATATTTTCTTGTACTAAAAGAATGTTGTATCAATGGCTTTATAATGGTATAGGACATTGATGGATGCTGATACATGAACTTCGTACCTTACCAGCATGCCTCCACCTATCCGTGGGGATATCCGTCATGCTGGGCTTTAGGCCCAAATTTGGACTTCAGAGATATGCATTCGAGCTAGACTCGGCTTAAAAAAAGAACTAGTTTTATTATTTATATTTATTTAATTTTTAAATTATTGACTCTCGATTTGACGTCTGATCGTCTTGCATTCGGCTTTCCTACTAAATAGAAAGAAAAGTCGAAACACACCCATTTTCATTAACCTAAACACTGTTAACATGTTCTATTATTTAGAACATACGATAGGTGCCATCTACAAGAGTCCGTTAAATGCAGGCTTTTTTTACACGCATTATTTACAGGTGTGCATTATTTTCTTATTTTTTTTCACAAATCTACCAATCCAATCACATGTTACCGATCAAGGTTACATACCATGGCCCGTGGACGCTGACAGAAACTGTGGCTGCTACCACCAAGACCTCCGCGGCTTTTACCACCCGTTTGGTCAGGGAACCAGCTCCGACTTGCCGGAGGGCAATTTCCGCCAACTTTCTACCGTGGTTACCACTCCCCCCAAGCACAATCCCTCTAAAAGCCAAATAAACAGCACGGGACACCTTCTCAAACACTGCATCCCCAGCTTGCAGGCTCTTTGCTAGCATCCTGGCCATTATAACTTTTCTCATTTGAAGCTTCTCGTCATCTGTTACATTGTCACCATCTCTTGAGAACCCACTGATTATTTCAACAATCCCTTCAATTCCTACATCTTCGACACGGTCTAAGAGCTCCAAGAGTCGTTCGTTGCAATTTGATATTATGCTTTCCATGTCAGTAGAGCTAGCTATTAATTGCTCACTCAAGAGGACTTGCCGACAAATAAGAACGCTGCATGTGAATAATCAGATATTAGATCCTTTGTTCGCTCAAGAACTGGAACAGACTGGTACCAACATATGATTTTTGCAAGAAACATCGTCCAAAGCAATGGTTGAGACTTGAGACTTTGAAAGTTATCATTTTTTTTTAAAATGACACGAAAAAGGCACTACTTCAAAGACATCGCAAGCAAATAACAACACTGTTGTTTACCCTCAGAGAAAGAAAAGAGAGAAAGGGGGAGGGGAAGAAGCCATGGAGGGGGGCATATAAGAAGGATAGACAACTAACAAATACCTCGTGGATATTACAATGATTTTTTGAATCTCAGCCTGAACACCCCTCAATCTAGAGAGGTTAAGCATGAAGGTTTCGGGCACAGCATCTGGTGTTAGACCAGAAACTCCACTTACTAACTTCAGTAAACCGAGCCTCACCAGTACATCAACTCTCTCTCCCTTGCATTCCGGTTGTTGATGACCTGACCAAAGAACATAAAAATCATGAGTATGTTAAATATGACTGCGTATCTCTAAGCATATTAGCTTTTGATTTCAGAGGATACATTATCTCTAGAAGTTTAAATCTTCAGAAATAAGCTTCCCTTCAAATAATTTAAGTTGCACATCCAAACCTGTACCATTCGAAGCATTAGGGTTGACAAACGTCATTGGGCTTGCATTTGCTGAATTATAGCTTCCACCAGTTTTAAGGGTGATGGTAGTATGCAGCCCCTGAGATGAACCATCCTGTGCCTTCAAAGTTGACAGAGAATTTTCGTGCTCTTCCCACTCTTGATCTTTGCAGTTCCATACAGAAGAAAGCCACCGCATCGTCAGTGGTAGACGAGTGTAAGCATCAGAAGGAGACCCATTACAGTTAGCAAAAGCTTTCCTAAGGTAATCCAAACCAGCAGGTCCCTTTAACAATGGCTCCATCATCCTTATACGAGCTTTGCTTATCTCTCGCTTAAGATCCTGTCAAGAAAATGCATTTTAACACTACCATAGAAAGAAAGAACAACCTCTTTCCCAATCAACGCCTTTAGAACAAGTGATACAGGAAGAATCCATTCTATCAAGAGGAAAAAAATGAACATTAAAAAACACCTGAATCTGCTCTAGAACAAAGCGCAACCCCTTAATCATAGCAAGGGCAGGAGAATGATTTGGATTCTCTCTGGCTTCGCATATCTTAGCTAACTCTTCCAGCGACCTCTGGTTAGCAGCCTTCATCTCATCATCATTGGCTGAAGCGGAGAGCTTCTGCAAAGTAATCAATGCAAACCCCAGAATCCTTCCAAGATAATCAATGTCCAGGTTGCCTGACTTCAGCACCTTCAAAAAGGGGAAAAACTAAAAAGATTAAAATTATTATATGAGAATAATAATATGGAAATGGTAAAGGTGTGCTACTACCTGGGAGAGAATTTCCAGATCAATAGCATCAGTTATTTCTTCCCTCCAACTCTGAGGAGCCATCTCACAAATTTCATCCCTAACTTCCCTCACAAGCTCAATAACACGGTCATAATTAGGCTTATCCTGTCTCATGGATTCCATGATCCCATCCCAGAAAGCCTTCTCCATTGTTTCTCTTATCTTTGCCTGCAAAACATAAAGATATTACCATATAATATTGAGCATGGAAGCCAAGACATTGATCAATTTCTTAGGCAATTTCCTATCCTTGCATATTCAAATCACATCAAACCTATCATAACAATTATGTAAGCCTACAACAATGCCAAAAATCTTAAAGATGATCCTGAGTCTTTGGTTCTTCTACCACGGATAGCCAAAATAATAAAAAAAACACACAAACCTTTATGCTGTTTTGATCTTCATCAGTGACACTGAAGCTATCAACAAATCCATGCTGCTCATGAAGAAATTCATTAACAATCAATTCATTTCCAGTTAGCAGCTGGTTTTCAATAGAAGAACCCAACTGAGTATTTGAATGGCTGCCACTAGGAACAGAGGGACCAGAATTTTTGGATGGGGACGTGGAATCTTCCTTAAACAGAGAGCGGACAACACGGTTTGGCATCTGAGTCAGATCACTTCTATTATCTGTTCTAGCAGTAGGAGAAATAGGGGAACCATATGTGTTTGGAGATAGGAAGGGTGTAATTGGTGATCCCATTGGGCTCCCACTTTCCTTTGCTTGAAAAAATTTAGCCCGTGTTTCAGATAGTGCGCATTCCATCCGTTCAATCCCAGCATCTCCACTCAAATGTTGCACTTTCTCCCTTAAAAGTCTTTGATCTTCTATAACCTGCATTATAAGAAAATTAAATGAGGATCCTCTACGGCATAATGTAGACCAAGATAGTGACTTTGATTATATCTTAAACTTCGAACCAACAAAAATTAGTTTATATTTAAAAAGTTTGGTGAACTTTTGCATCATTAAGCTGTGAACACTTTTATGGATTGTAGTCAAACAGATCAAGCGTATTTGTGAACTGAAGTGATTTTCACTGATAGTTCTATCATGTAATAGACCAAGAGTGAGACCTGTCTTTTAATAGCCTTCATATCATGAGTAAGAGCAGTATTATCTCCTTCTGGTGTCAACTTGCACTTTTGAATCATAGAGAGCTCGAGCTGGCACGCTGCTCTTACCAAGTCCTCCTCCAATGACTGAGCATCCTTAACCTTCCACACCACAAAGCAATTCAGGTAGGAGCACCATGCTTTGTCAAATGCTGCAAGCTGTGACCTAAAGGTCAAACGTTTAGGCAATGCACAGTCAGATTCTTCATCAGAACTCTGTATGGGGCCCTCTAAAATAATCTTGATCAACAACTCAAACTCTCGAACAACTGCTTCTGCAGACTTGGCCAAAGCAATCTCTCGCTCTCCCTGACCACTAAGAACTGCCTCAGGATGACCCAATATCATGTATGCAGAAAGAACTATTCTAACGGGATACCTTGATAATTTAGCAAGACTTTTGGCAGCTTCCTTCATAGAGACAACTCTCTTCGCCTCTCTGCTTCTCATAGAAGTCCTGGGAGTGGTCCTTCTCTTAGGAGTAGCAACTCTTTTGAGAAGATGATCAATGTTATCCAAACTGGATAGATGATCAGTAACACTGACTACCCTAGAGGCCTTAACACGGCTCTCAATTCGATCCAGAAAAGTTTTCACAGTTTGAAGGGTTGTAACTGATTGAATCAGAAGAGCAAGTTGTTCAAATGGCATTGACTTAACAGAATTCTCATTGATGTTCAAGGAATCAAAGGCTTTTGCCAAGTCTAAAGTAGTTTTTCTCTGCCTAAGGAACCGCCTCCAGCACCTGAATGATAAAAAAGTATTAGATACTAGAACATTTGTGGTTTCGTCCTCTTAGGTATTCACCCAAAAACTATAGTTGAAAACTATGTTGCAAAAAGGGATATGTAATCATATCCTAAAAATATTTTTCTCCACCATCACAAAGATGTCTTTTGAAAAACCCTCTGAAGATCACATCAATAGATGATAAATAGTACTAAGTTAGGGCATGTCATCCATGAAGCAAACACAAGGATGAAATAATCAAATAGGAAATGCTGGTCTTATACCTTGCTAATTTTCTAGAAAGCAGATCAGCTTGCTTGTGCATCCTTGCACAAGCCACTCGAACAGATTTATGATGTCTTCCTCTCTGCCTCAAGTACTCTGCTCTTTGTCTCTTTGCCTATTTATCAAGAAAATAATAAGAAAAACATAACACATACAATAAAATATTTAAAAAAAAAAAACCATTTGCACTTGAGGAAGATCATACTATAGAAATTTATAAAACATGCATACCCTTTGCAGTCTGTCTTCCAACTGGTCTCTCATTCTCCTTCTCTCGACCTCACGTTGATAAGAGACGGACTTAGCCACTCGTCGAACTTGCAAAAATCTAGCACGGGCTTTCTTCTTCTCTGCTTCCAGCAGTCCCAGCCGATTTTTCTCTGCAGCCACACGCTTTTGATGAATAGCAGCACGCACGCGCTCCTTATATTTACTTTCTCTAGCCATCCTTCGTAACAATGATTGGGATGATCTCTCATTTAGGGTTGCTCTTCGCTGGCTGTAAGCCTTAAGGATAAGCATTCTATTTGCCTCTGCCTGCTGAAACCGCGATTCAACTTTTGTGCCAAGCTTCTCACGCTCCTTCTCAAAACGCATTTCTACCCCAGTTTTAGCTGCTTGCCGCAACTCATCTAACTTGGCTAGGCGCAACTGAGCCTTTGCCAAAATGCTCAACCTGTTGATTGACCAGCTAGTAAGCTTTCAAGTTACTATAACATCAAAGCAAAATTAGAATTTGCTATATCCCTTGAAAAGGTGTACTAGAATAATTTCCAACTGTCAAAATCCATATAAAAGAAAAGAACATGACAGCAGCACAAATATATCACACAGAGAACTTCTGGAAACAACAAAACAATGAACACAGCAGGCATTGAATGTATAGCAGAAAGACGTTATCAAAGTGTAAAGAGGAATAAAACAAGTAATTAAACCGTCAGAGGCAGTATGATACTAGACTTGACCTTACCTTTTCTGCTCAGCAGCTTGGAGCCTTGCTTCAAGGCGCTGACCGAGGTCTTCCTCATTTGATGAGGATCTGGAGGGGCTTCTTGGCTTTGATCTTGCCTTGCTTGACACACTTTCATAGAATTGCTACAATCAAACAACAACATAAAAAAAAAAAGGTGAAGAGAAGTGCATTTAAAAAAAAGTTCTAGTTAAATTGTCATTTGCCACACATTTTGATTGAATTCCTGCATAATGGAACATCAACTGCGTTTGGCTGGCAAGGAAAGCAAGTACACTGAAATATGAAGAGCAAATGATTCAAAAACGAACATGGAAAATTAAGCTTTGCAAGAGAAAGTTTTTCACGTGAACTGAAGTACCTAAAAGTGCAAAATTAATTCAAGCAGGAACACCCACCCCACCCCACCCTTTTACCTAACACACAAAGAAACAACCTTCAAAACAAAGATTTTATGAATGGAAGACTTTTCTTATTCTAAAATCCTTTAATTTTAATTTTAGTTTCATGTAAATATGATCATGACATTACAAATAGAATCATAAACTTTATATTTACCAGATGTTAAAATCAACAAAAACTAAAATAAAAAATGAAAATTGGGAAAAAAATGGGCCAAAGTTTAAGAGCAAAATTAAATTTTGGTTAATTTGCTTTTTATTAAAAAATTCACGAGCTAATCTAAATCACTGAGTTTGGTGGAGCCATGGAGTCTGTCTCTTCTCGAGTTGTAGGTAATCAATTTTTGAAATTGAACATTTAAACATTTTCAAGATAAGAAAATTTCTTCATCCTTCCAACTCTGTTAATTTGATTTTTTTTTTTTTTTGTTTAAACAAAAATTCAGGACTTCACTCGACTGAACCAAACAGTAATTTCAGTTGTAACAGTATCTTAATAACCTAAGTAACTCGTAAAAAAATTATTTAGAAACTAAAATCTCAACAAATATTCTCTCCGTTACTGTTGATTTCTCTTAATTTCTCACCAACCAAACAAAATAGGAGGATTTTAAAAAATCTATTAGAACCGAAACCTTGCTTTAAAAACAAAAAATTAAAAGAAACGTGAAACTATAAGCTACCTGTCTACGAAGATCAGCGTGTCGAAGCTTTGCTTCGATTTCTTCAACAGTAGAAGGAGTCTTGCACTCGGCGAGAAGCCTCTTCCGAATCCTACTAGGCACACGCGAAAATGATGGCGTCTCACTCGCCGGAAATTCCAACGCGACGCCTCTCCCACTTTCCGGCGTCTCCATCATCATCAATTATATACACACCAAATTTATACAAGAAAATGAAAACGTATCCGTACAATACCGCAATCAAGATGATCCGTAAATTCCAAACTGATCAAAAATATTTTCGATCACCACAAATTTCTTATTATTTGTAAATAATTGAGCGAAAAAGAGTTGGAAAGAAATGAGTCTTGCTTTTTTTTTTTTCTTTTTCTTCTTGTTGTTGTAGTTGTTCTTGTTTTCCAAGCTTTTAAGGGAGAGAGAGTTCCGCTTTGGGCTGGCTTTAGGCTTTGTTTTTTTTTTTTTTTTTTTTTTTTGGGAAATGTTTTTGTCAAAATAAAGCGTGTTGATAATGTGTGTGATTGTGTAACATGGACTTTACTTATCCTGATTATCCGGCTCTTTGCCATGTCAGATACAGCCCAACGGCACTCTATTCTGTTTTACCTGATATTGCCCCTCTTCCTACTCAAAATGACGTTATTGCCCTTTTTATTCTCTTTTGTCAGATGAAGGTAAAGAAAGTACCACAACCGAAATTTTTTTTTTTATAAATTATATAGTATAAAAATTAATTAAGATTTAGTCTGATTTTTTAATAATTAATTGATTAATAAATTATAATTCAATGATATTAAAATCAATTTTAAAATTAAAAATTTTCACTTTAAAACTTCGATTATAACTAAAAAAAAATCAATCATAAAACGTAGATCATGATGGGATTTTGGATTTGGGTCTTCTTATCAAATTAGATGTTGAATTATATCTAAGAAATTAGTAGGTCCATTTCATATTTTAATAATTTCCTTTGGGTATCGAAAAGAAAGTTGAATATCTTTAAGCTATGATTAAAATAAAAATAATTAAATCATTAGGTTTTCACCTTTAAGAATACAACTTTGAGTTGTCAACCCAAGAGGGAAGGAAAAGCATAAAGACACGTTTTCAGGAGGAATGCAATCAAGTAAAGAAAAATGGCCCTGCAAGGCTGACCAATGTAGACCACTTGCGCTAACATAATTATTGTCATCAATAAAGCACTTTTGAATAAAAAAATGCTTAAAGTAATAAGGATTGGAAGATATATAATTACATTTACATCATATCTTTATTTATAATCTTATATTTCAAAAAAAATAACGTAAATGGTTAAAATTAAAGATTTAAATGTAAAATATTTATATTTGAAGTTTTATGATTTTTTATTAATAAACTATTTATAAGTTTAAAAAATTTTAATTTCATTGTAAATTAATAATTTATTCTTACTTTAAATATAAGATAACCTCTCCCATTAATTTTTTTTTAAATATAATTATATTACACATATATAAATAAATAGAAATTTAGAAAGAAGGCTACTTTTTTAAAAAAAACAAAGATCTAGCAGGTTTTAGCAAAAAAAATTTTGTTATATTTATATATAGTTTATTAAACAAATTTAGTAATAAATTTTTTAAAATATTATAAGTGAAATATTCGATTTTTATGAACTCAATTAATCATATTCATTTATATAATTCAAAAAATCAGTTTAATTGATAAGAAAATAAAGTCCTATACTATTTGTCTGGTAATAAAAAAAATATTTATTTTGGTTCATATTAGATCTCTAAATTGAATATTTTGATAGTAAAACTGAAAATATAATAAATTGATGTGGGGGAGATCAGCACTTAAAATCACTCAAGAAAAAAAAAAGTGTATCCTTAATATCATTCAAACATAGAATCAGATTTAAATAAAGTCTAAAAGATTTACTCTTAATTGTACTGCCAAAAAAATTTATACATATTGTGCATATATTAAATTAAATTGCGAAAAAAATGACTTGAATTAAAGTTTCAAAAAAGATAATTAGTGAATGGGTTTTAGATCGTTTGGTTCATCTTTCAAGTACCAGATCATCAAAAATCTAATCAAGTAATGGATTTATTCTTTTTCCATTTTGCAAGCAATCTCTTTTCCACCTTTTTGCATGTGCTTGCTATTAATTTGGGAATGAATCCTCCATTATTGCTTATTATTTAGTTAAAAACCGTAATCTTCAATGATTCATTGCACGTAACTGTGATAGATTGATAATAAGACCAAATATTTTTATGTTACCGCGTACTTTGGTTTTCCTGCAAGTATGTAATTAATACATGCAATAAAGCATGTTAATATCTTTTAAATATTTTTAATGTAATCAATATCTATTAGTTCGAATAATAAAGAGCATAATTTTTTTTTAATAAAATATCAATTTTGAGTCATGTAATTTAAAATTTTTTTTTAAAGAATTTATTACTCCATTCGGTTAATTGAAATTTAAAATGATTATTAAATATTGAATATCTCAAATAAAAAAAGCTTTTAATATAAAATATTTTTTAAATGTAACATGAATTATTTTGAGTGTTTATTTTTCGAGTATTTTTTTTTTCAACTATATTCCCATGGATGACATGACACATTATATCAAATAAATTTGAATTTAAACATTCACATATCTAGAAACGGATTAGGGTTCATACTTGTAAATTTTGTTGACCATTTGAATCAAATGGGTCAGCCGGTCGTTGGGGATTTTATGACATAAAATTTAGGTTTTCTTTTTTTATATTGAGAAGAAAATATTCAAAATTAGGTTTTTGAACAAATAAAAACATTTATAAGTGATTAAAGGATTTTTTTTTTTGGTAGTATAGATGGGAGGATTTTCATTGCATCATAATTATGTTTTATAATAACTATTTAAGAATGATGAGATAAAATTTATTTGTGATGCAATAAAAATCTCTCTTATCATGTTTTCAAAATAATATAAATTGAATTCAAATATTTGGATACCACAAATTTAATATTTTAGAAAATTTTATTTGGTTGATATGGCATGAAAATAATTTTTTTATTATTTAGCAATTATTTGTACCTTCATTTTATTAAATATTTAAATATTATCAAAATTCAATTCCATGTTACAAAGTATTTTATTTTTTAAGAAAGTTTGATTTGCAGATTCTTATATTTAAAAAAAAGTACATAAAAAAGTAATATTAAAAAGAATGTGTGGTTTTTAAGATCTGTTAATATAAAAAATAAATAATTTTTTTGTATTTAATTTGAGGAATGTAAGATTATTTAATTTTTTTAATTATATTGTTCTTTATAATATGCAATTTTTAAATAATACGTGATAAACATGTAAATATGAAAACAATACACGACATATAATTATATTTAAATTATTTATTTATTTAATGAGAATTTTTTTATTATATTATTATTGATAACATGTAATTCGTGAATAATACATGAGACATGAAAATTACATTTAAATTACTTATTTATTTATTTAACGTATTAATCAATATATTTAGGGTTAAAATTATTTATTTAATATTTTTTATCAATTTAATAGAAAAATATAAATTACTAAATTTTTTATATATATTTCAAATAATTCTTGTGTAAATAAATATTTTCAGAATATTTGTATATGTATTTGTTGAGTGTAAGAAGCCTAATTATTATCTTAACGTTAATTGTCCTTATGCAAAACAAACATGTAAATCAACCTTTTAGGTTTTATATATAATAATATAAATAAAAGTATTTTAATTTTTATATGTAATAATATATATTAAGTAAAAGTATTTCAAGTTTCATATGTAATAATATTAAGTAAAAGTATTTTAAGTATTATTTTGATTTTATTATGAGTAGCAATAATGACTATATATTTTATCTTAAAAACGTAATATTTGTTGAAATTATAGAATTTTGAAGTAACAAGAATTATGTTTTTATCATAAAAATGCTGTATTTGAGGAAAATAAAAATTTAAATAAAAATAAAAAATTTCATATATATATATATATTTAACAATAATTACATTTTTATTTAAAAAATACACTCATTGCTGAAAGTAAAAATTTATAAAAAATAATATTTTTTTCATAATATATTTTCAACAAATATTACATTTTTATTTTAAAAACGTAATTTTTACTAAAACTATAGAATGAAAGGGAAAATAAAATTTTTTCAAAATTCTATATTTTCAAGATAAGATACTTTTTTTTAATCTAAAAATATAGTATTTATTGAAACTATGAAATTTTAAAAAGTAAAATTTTAATCAATTGAAAATAAAAAATTAATTACAACCTACAAATTGTTAAATATATTTTAATTTCAAATAATTACAATACCAATTAAAAATATGTACATATGTTAATAATTATTATTTTTTTATTAAATAAATTCAAATCAATTGTATAAATCAAATACAAATTTATTCTTATTGAATAAAAATTCAATACAAATAAAAACTGAATTAATTTTTGAAAAATAAAATTTAAACATGCTAATTGCCAAGTGTCAAATGTTAAAACTTGAAATGTTTCATGCATATAAATTGGAATCCTAATTAATCATGTAATTTTTTAAATGTTAAAAAATAAAATAAATTGTAAAAATTATTTATAAAAAAAAGAATTTTCATTTCATAAAAAATCTTAAAAAACTTCAAAGAACCAGTCTTTATGATTCATGGTTAATAGTGTTGAAAATATTGAAAAATCTCAAAGAATCACATGATGAAAACCAAACGTAAAAATTATATTAAAAACAGTAAAATTCCATTAACCAAACGCAATAAAAATAATGGAGATGGGAAAGTTGGGTTTGCAAAATTTAATAAAAGAAAAAATAATTGCAAAATTTGTAAGCGGAATTTCACAAAGCCCAATCGGCCTTTTTTAATTCCATTATTATAAAGAGCCGAAATATGGGGCGGAAAAGGACAGAATTTATTAAGAGGGATACTTTTGTAATTCCGCGATTCGTCATTCAAACATTTTGAATTATTACGGTGGCAGCCAACGAAAGCTGCGACGCTTCACGATGACGTGACACGTTCTTTCGGCAATCGCCGCCACGTAACCTCAAAAAGGTCGCTTTTTCATCAATTGACCAAATCCAGGAACTTTCTAACCCATTCTCGCGAGTATGTTTGACAAAAATCCACTCGCTGTGGCAGTCACTCACCTGTCCATAAGTCCATTCAGCGCCAAACGTCCAGGCACCTCCTAGAAAACGGTCGGATTTCTCGTAGTTGCCGCCAAACTATTGGCAGGAGCAGGGGACTTACAATGGTCAGAGAAGCAGAGACATATACCTCCGGGCTTCGGAATAGCTGGCAGTCACAAGAAACACGTGTGAATTAGTACGTGTCAAGAGGCCTACTGATGGGCTCATCGATGAAGATAAAGTGATCCACTCTATTCGATGTCATGTACGCGTACAGTTTAGTGGCCACTATGTACATATTTCCCCCATCCATAAATAAATGCTAACTCGTCATGTGCAAACAAACAAATTAATCGTCCTCTTATCGAAGAGCCATTCGAAATTCTGATTTTTAATTCATTTAAAAAAGAAAATTTCAAAAAAAAAAAAAAAAAAACCAAAGATAGATTGGAGTGAGAGAGAAGGGAAGACTGAACATCGATCGGTCGATCATAGATGAATTGAGCCCAATTTACAAGGTAAAACAATTGACAATGCAGGGAATGCCCCCTCCTTTCCCTTGCTCATTATCTCCTCTCAAGTTTTATCCTCGATTTAGTTTTTTAAATAAAATTCATGATTTAATTCTAAAAAATAATTTTTTTATCATATGTTATAATTTGATTGAATATTTTTATCAGATTAATCAATTGATTTGCGGTATTAGTTTAAACGATTCAAATACTTAACAAAATGTAAATTTAGATATTTAATTATAATTTTTTATTTTTATGTACCAATATAATAAAAATGACATGATATATGAATCAAACGAGTATTAAATCTTTTGGGCAATAATTTTCCAAAAAAAAAAAAAGCCTTTTAGCAATTAAAATGAAAAATCCAATTTTAAAGATTTCGACTTTGATAAAATACAATGAGATTTATAAAATGAAAAATAATTATCTTAAAATAAATACTATGTAATCCATGTGTAAGTAAGTAAAAAAAAAAATGATTTGTTTATCAAAATAATGGAGTCTAACTATTTTGGTTGGTTCAATGCAAGTTTTTTTTTTTAATAAAAACAAAATTTAGAGATATATAAATTATTCAATTTCTTATATCAATATAAGATATATCGAATTTGATAATTAAAATAAATAGCTGCAGATAATGTATTCAAAATAACTTCAATAAATAATCATTAATAAGATTTAAATTTAAAATTTTTTCGTCTAAAAAATCGAGCCTAACCGATTAGTGTTTAATGCAAGTTATAGTAAACTATTAATCCTTTTTCATGGGATTTTGGATTAGTCATTGATTTTCGATTAATTTAGGTGTATGATGCCAAAAGACATGAAAGACATGATAGCTCCAGTTAAATAAGTAATCCTTCCGTTCTATTGAGTATCCGTATATATATGTTTTAATGTTCTTAAACAAATGTTCTCTTTCATTTTTTAAAGCCTAATTCTTTTTTTTTTTTAATTTCAAAATTATTTTCGTGATTGCAGCATAAAAACATGGTACTTAATTTATTAAAAGAAATTAAAATTTATAATAAGAGCACTAAATCAAAGATTTTTTTTAAAATTCCATAAAAATCATATAAAAACAAATTAAATGAAAGTATGAGATATCTTATAGTTACTTTAGATAGATCTCATAAAAAAAATTAAACTCTCTCAATATCTATCTTCTTTATTTATAATATTTGAAATCAAATTTTTTTTTAAAAAAATTTAATTTTTTTAAATAAAATCAACAAATATTAGTTAAAAAAATACAAGTTTTAACTCATCATTGTACTTCCTCTAAAACAATCTAAAAGAAAAAAAAATACAAATATTAAAAGCTCATATTCAAGTGTAATGTTGACATTAATTGCCTGAATAAATACTTGTAGCACACTTATTGTTTACACCTACTCTCCTCTCCATAAAACATTTTAGCAAATGTAAATGAATTAGCTTTCTACCTTACATTCCCCACCACGTGAAGCGTCATTTAGAAAAAAAAAAAAGAATTTTATGAAATAAAAAAGGAGGGATTATTTGTGATGATGAAACCGTTGCTTGGACTTGTAACAATAATATGAAAGGTAAACATTCTTTGGGTTAAGAATTCAACTTTGGGTTTTCGGGGAAATCGGGTGGGCTCAGGGATTACCAAACCATTTGGCAACCCAGCTTTGTTATGGATTTCATTCAAGTCAGGTTTTGCAACTACCGTTTGCTTTCCTTTGCCCACTTTTTTGGACATTTCGACCCAGCAGCCCGATTTTGTGTTTTCTCAATTTCTCACCGCAACTGGGATTTTCGAGAGGGAATATGCGTGTTAGTCAAATCTCTTTTCACAAACTAAAGTCGTAACCGAGTTTCGACTCACCCTCCTCACCTAACCCTCTGTCATTTGTCTTGGTGCATCCCCTGGAATCTACCGGTCCCCGTCGACCCCACCCCTTTCTTTCATCCCATAGTCCCCAACCCAAACAAACCACAACTTCCTCATTTCCTTTCCCACATTTTCCCGTTGAAGGTGGGACAGGGTTGGTAAGAGTTAGGGTTTCGTATACGCAGAGAAACTCCCAGAATTTCACATGGGTTCCATTACCATTCCCAATCACTGTTCCTATTTTTGTTACCGTTGCTCCTTACCTTAATTTCTCCAATCTTTTTTTTTCCCTCTTTTAAGTGAATTCTTGTTCCATGGACTTATCGTCCCAATCGACTGACACGTCATCAACGCTCTCTTTAAGGCTAGTATCTCATTCGCCGCCCTCACACCGTAGCCAGATCGCCGATGACTCCATTTATCTCCAGTTAGATACCAGGGATTCCACCCACCCGGCCTCACCAGTCCCTCTCCAACTCCTCGAACCGCACCAAAACGGGAACCCAACAGAAAGGGAGAGTTACGACGATGATGAAGAGGGTAAGGAAATGGAAGAATTCCATATATTAGGGCATGCCATGTGCCTCAAAAGGAGGAGAGACAGCTGTTCTTTGTCGAAGCGAATGACGCTTGAGCCGGATCTTGAGACGAGAAAAGCCGCCGTGAAATCATGGGGCAGCCAGCCGCTCCAAGTGGCGGATCCCGACGTGTTTGACATGATGGAACAGGAGAAAAAGCGGCAGTTCATGGGAATTGAGTTGATAGCCTCCGAAAATTTTGTTTGCCGGGCCGTTATGGAAGCCCTCGGAAGCCATTTAACCAACAAATACTCGGAAGGTATGCCTGGAGCAAGGTATTATGGCGGGAATCAGTACATTGATGAAATCGAAACTCTTTGTTGGAAACGTGCTTTGGAAGCTTTTGGGCTTGATGCCGAGAATTGGGGAGTCAATGTGCAGCCTTATTCGTGTACATCAGCGAATTTCGCAGTGTATACCGGGTTGTTGTTACCCGGAGAGAGGATCATGGGATTGGATACGCCTTCTGGAGGAAATACGAGTCACGGATATTATACCCCAAATGGAAGGAAGGTGTCCGGTGCATCGATATTCTTTGAGAGTTTGCCATATAAAGTGAATCCACAAACTGGGTATATTGATTATGAGAAGTTGGAGGAGAGGGCACTTGATTTTAGGCCCAAGATATTGATTTGTGGTGGGAGTTCGTACCCGAGGGAATGGGATTATGCAAGGTTTAGACAGATTGCAGATAAGTGTGGGGCTGTTTTGCTGTGTGACATGGCTCAGATTAGTGGACTCATTGCTGCTAAGGTATGAAACTGTGAATTACTAATATTTAGTAGGTACTTTGCTTTATGTGGTTAGCTTTCTGTGTTTTACTAATGATGGAGTTCAATTACATTACTTGGCTGTGGTTCTTTGCCGGATCAACACTATATCTACTATTCCGCTTTATTGTTTGAGTTAAAATTTAGAAGCAAATCTACTTACTGTGCCATTTTTTGCTTTAATTTTGTGAGACTGGTGTTTTAGAGGATTTTTATGTGCAGTTGACTTCTTAAATGTAAAAGATGGTATCTAATGCAACTAGTATTAACATAAGCAATTTCAAATTAGTGAAGGCTACCTATTGAGACTGATGTAGCTGTTGTGGTGAACTGGTAATATAGACGTTTATAGATGGAGATATTATTTCTAGTTTGCTTGATGCAAATGCACTCATGAGTTTTTTAGTTTAGTCATTGGAGGCATGTTAGAGACGGGCATTAATGAATAACTTCATTTTGGATGTGCCTATGAATTTATCTTCATTGTCTTCTTTTCAGGTTATCGATTTTTAAAATGTTAAGACAGCTGTGGCTTTTATACGAAATTAATCTCAATAATGTGGTGTTTGATATTTTTACAGGAATGTGCCAACCCCTTTGACTACTGTGACATTGTTACCTCAACCACCCATAAAAGCCTCCAAGGTCCCAGAGGAGGCATTATTTTCTATAGAAAGGGTACAAAGCCAAGGAAGGGAGGGATGTTTCTAAGCCAAGGAGATGACAACGATCAATATGATTTTGAGGAAAAGATAAACTTTGCTGTTTTTCCATCTTTGCAAGGTGGACCGCATAATAATCATATTGCTGCTCTTGCCTTAGCATTGAAACAAGTGGCTACACCAGAGTACAAGGCCTATATGCATCAAGTGAAGAAAAATGCTCAGGCTTTAGCATCTGCGTTGTTAAAAAGGAAATGCAGGCTAATTACTGGAGGCACAGACAATCATTTATTACTCTGGGATCTAAGGCCTTTTGGGTTGACAGGTAGAATGTTTCATTGGCAATCTCCTTATCATTCAAATAATTGTTACTATATGATATGGAGTTGAAGCTACATGTGCTTTGCATTTTTTTTTTTTTTTAATTTTATGATAGTTCTTGTTAAATTTAAAGATCTTTTGGCAATTAGGACTTGACCTGATATTGTTTGTTTTATTGCTATTGTTAACTTTCTTGGTTTAATTAACTGAGGGATTGATTATTTATCATGTTTCTGCTAATTTGTGCTTGCAATAGATGTTTATATGAAAAATTCCTAATATCCTATGACTGAGAAAATATGACTATATGAGTATAGAATGGGTTAACTATTTTGATTCTTTTGTCTGTTGTTCCCTCTGTTTTATGTATTCTTTTTTCTGGAAGGGGGTGGGGGGCTCTTTTGTCTAGTGACCCAAAGTAGAAAACATTCTTACTTGACTTCGGCCAGGGAGTGTATTTTATACTTGTGTTTATAGAAAATAAACATAATGGTTTTAGATCTCTATAACTCTTGTATATGCATGCAGAAATCTCTATGATTTCATTTCTTCTGGTGATTGGGAAATGCTATATTTTAAATGCCAAAATTGTTCAAGTTATAAATGGAACTAAAGTTTCAACTTTTAAGTGTTGGATCTCCTCTCCTCTCTGTTTCTCTTTCTGTCTCTCTCTTACCCTATGAACACACACAAACGGATAACATAGACATTTTCATTTGTTCCTGTATTTTATCTAGTGGCAACATGTCTTTTTGGCTTTTGCACTTGCATTAAGTAAGTTCTGTGTTAGTTGGTAGATATGTTACTAAATATCCCTATTCACTTTTATGTCAGAGCATGCCTAATATTCCAATTTTTTGTAGGTAAAATTTTCGAGAATGTCTGTGAGATATGTCATATTACTCTGAACAAAATTGCTATTTTTTGTGATAATGGTGCCATTACACCTGGAGGAGTAAGGATTGGTGAGTGTAGTTCTCATTGAATTAAAGTTTGCAAATCTCTTACTCTTGATGGGGGAGGTTTAGGCTATTATAATGACTTTTCATGTTGAATTCTGCAGGTACTCCTGCTATGACATCAAGGGGTTGCCTAGAGTCTGATTTTGAGACCATTGCAGACTTTCTCCACAGAGCGGCACATATAGCTAGTATGATGCAGCGTGATCATGGGAAGTTGCAGAAAACCTCCATAAAGAGTCTCCACAATAATATAGATATTATGGAGCTCCGAACAGAAGTGGAGACTTTTGCATCTCAGTTTGCAATGCCAGGTTTTGACATTTAAATGAATTGTGAAGGTGCCTCATTCCAAGATTGTGTTCGGCCTCTTAGACTAATATGCTGCCACCCCAAATTGAGATCCTATTTTTAGTTTCTGAATTAGCTAATGCAGTTTTATTGGCCACAGTTTTTGCGGTTGCCAACCTTTTTGAGTTCCAATGCAATCTCTGCAGAGGAATTGTTGCTGCTCAAAGGCAGAAGCAAAGGTTGTTTTCCAATTACCAATCCAAGCCGCTTCTGTTTTCTAAATGGTAGAAGAATGCCTGCAAATATTGCAACAATTTTGGGAGTTACGGTGCTCAAACATATTTCTCTTCATTGCAAGTCTTCTATTTGTGTATGCAGATTTGTTGAATTTGATATTTAAAAATTTAAGCCCAGAAATCTTTTCTTCATCGTTTGATACAGTGAATCCGGTGTAAGATCAACAACTCGTTGATCTTGCCTTTGTTAATGTATTACCTAATAATGTCTTCATGTAAAGCAGATAATCAATTTGTGATTCTTCATGGTCGAGTAATTAAACAGAAAACTGAATTTATATTTTTTAAAATTGTTTCGCTATGTTTTGTTAGCAACCAGCTATTATAGGCAATATGGAGAAAGTGTATCAACAGACAACAGGTCATGGTGTCTGGTGTTTTGTAGAAATTGATTTGGATTGTAAAATGTATAAACTGCTGATATGTTGAAATGAAATGAAATTTTCCATCAGAATCAGAGTAACGGGCACCATTACAGGATTAGTGATCTAGGAAGTAAGGATTGATTTCGATATTTCATCTCTCATGGCCGTGTATTCACGTGAAGCAATACAGTTTTCTTTGAACAAGCACGATCTTAAAGCAAGATGAAAAGCTATTGATTTAACAGAATGTGCTTGTAAAACTTGATGGCGAACAAGAAGTGCATTGCTTTCACAATTTTCAATTTGCCCTCTTAGAACTTTTTGTTTGCAGCATGTAAAACTCTCCAGCCGCTTTCTCTTTCTTTTCCTTCTGCAATGCTTCGGCTGATTTCATGGACCATGGTTTAGAACGTAACACTAAGTTATACTCACTATTAAAAAAAAAAAAAAGCTTTAAATTTGAGTTTTGTTGTATATAGTATGGCTAAAAGATAATAGTGTGATATTTAATTCAATTGATTCGATCTATTATTCTTAAAAAATGATTATAAAATTTAAATTTCAAATTTTACAATCTTTTCAACTACAACCAAATGATTTTTGCAGTAAACCTTGTAGTAACTCAAACTCAAAACTGTCTAAATACATTAAACCCATGAACATATTAAAAGCTGCACCTAATCAAATGGAACTTCTCAACAAACCTCTTTTATACTTCAACAGCTTCAGTTTCAAACATTAATTTTCCTTCAAAAAGGCTAAAACGAGCCTATCAAAGACAAAAGAGATCGTTCTAGTTAAACAATTACAAGTTCCAATATCTAGCCGAGGATACTTTTTCAAGTTAGATGTCTAGTTCCTATTTTAAAATGGAACAAAATCCTTTAGATATCATGCCAGAAAAAAAGGATATATCTCGACTGGCTCCCATTGCCGACTGCACTTGCTCATCCATGATGCATATACTAATATAAAAAGGGGTCAAAGTGTGTTAAAGAGTGACAAGATGAGACAGAATCCAAACCAATATCTTTGCCTCTCTTCTAATTTTTGAGAATTTTCTTATTGGATTTGGGACTTGTTTTCAACATATTACTCATTTATGCAAAATATTTTTCAATTATTCATTGTTCACTAGGTGGTAGGCAGCATGCAGCTTAATGTTGACGTTTTTCTTCATTTATGAAAAATATTCAAAGATCTCAATCCATTGGCATTCGCCATTTATGTGGTTATGGTTTTCCCTCAAGTTTTTTAATCCATGATTTTTCAGCCATGCGAGGACTTTGGTAGGTAAAAAGGCATGTTATGTTGTTTGATTGAAGGCGTACAATGGTGGAAAGAGCCAAAAGAAGTGCTAGCGGAAGTGCATGTACTTGACAAGCATTGTTCATTGATATTTTTTTTCCCCATTGTCCATAATTGAAGGCAGAACTGAAATGAAAAAAGAAGAAAGGAACTAAAGAGAAGTGAGGAATCAAAGCAACAGGAAGAATGGTAAAAAGATTTCAATATTTAGTTGAGACGACAAAGTTCTATGGGAGCTTTCATCATCAGCAACAGCAACTCAACGACACAAATTAAACAAGAATTAGACTAAAGGACCCGTGAGAAAGAAAACTCTACTCTCTCGAAAAATATGGGTTAAAATATTAAAAAAAATTTAAATTATTTAATTTTTCAAAATAATTTTTTATATTTTATCATTTTCAAATAAATTTTTATTTTAAATGAAAATATTTATGTTTATAATTTAATTAGATACAAATTAAAAATAAAAAATTATTTAAAATAAATTAAAATTAAGTGTTTAATTAAATATAAATTAAAAAATTTAAAATTTACTTAAATGTAATAAATAAATTTAAATGAAAAGATTTGTTTTATTATTTTAATAAAAATATTTTGAAAAAAAAAAAGGAAAAAAAGGAGAACTTAGGAATCTCTCATTTCTATCGTCCTGTCCACCACTTTTTCCATCATTGTTTCCCAACCGAAATGATTACTCATTTACTATCACAACTCTTGAGAATCTCTTTTGGAAATTGCAGAAGATAATGTTTGAAGCAAACATTTCCACATTTGAGGGCACTGTTTTTCTCGCTCTAACAAAGAAAAATCATTAATATAGCAATATTGAGGGATTTCTTTTCCCACTAAACTTCCACCATATTTCAACTCTCTCTGCATACGTCAATTAGTTACACATGAAATTTTATTGGATTAATTAAGTTCTCATCCCTATTAAATTTAAAAAATAGATAAATAAAATTCAATTATCAAAATTATTTAAATAGTATTTTAGCACGTAATTTTGATCCGAGTTTTAGTTCATTCAAATAAATTTAAATAATTTTTATAAATTATATCATTCAATTAGAAAAATTTTAATTAAAATTAAATATTTTATAGTATCAAGGTTATAATTACAATAAAATTAAGTTTAGTCCATTAATAATTTATGAAACTGAGTCATTGTCACATTAGTTTTTCAGAGTGTCTTGTTGGCGGGGAGCATAAAAACCCTTTTTAGGTATAATCTTTCTTTTTAATTGACATGAGAAGGATCTTTTGTTTTTATGAGAAATCCAAATTTCTTTTGCATGCAGGGAATTGCTGTTTAATTTCTATGTTATTAATGACCATTCTTCTGTGGTTTTGTTGCTTGATTATTTCTAGGAATGCTGCTGAATCATTTTCATATTAGCTTCTAGAAAATAAAACTGTAATGCTGTACAATTAAAGCTGCAATTGCAGCACATTTTCAATGATAGCCATGCAATTACATTCATGATCTCAACGAAATTTTGAAGGCCAAAATCTTCAATTTTTAAACTTTGTAATGCAAATTAATTAAAAGTTTAAATCTCGTAGAAATTTACATGTCAAATGAATGATTTGAATTAAGTCGCAACTTCAGATTTTAACTTGAATTGCTTCTGATACGTGTTTTCCTTTACCATAATTAAAGAAGACTACAAGTGAAGCTCTTTTTGTTTGCCAATCCAGTAGAAGTTTTTCAGAAAGAGAATAAGGGAAAAACAAGAAGCATCATATTCTTAATTTGTCTCAAGCTTTTAGATGGAAAATTGATCATCAACTTCAAGCACATATGTCTCTGTAAAACAAGATCAGATTCTAATTTTTGGACAAACAAGAACTCAGTAGGAGCATCATTTCCTTTTCCTCCTGGATAACATTTTCTTTCATATAACACGAGATGAATCTTCCCTCTGGCTCTGGATTGGAAGATCCTGCTTTCTATAGAAGGTAATGGCCGTCTTGTGTGTGTGTGTGTGTGTCTCTCTCTATATATATATTTTTATATATATATATATATATATATATATATGGAAGGATCAAGTTATAAAAAAAGTTTTATATTTTTTTAATAATTGATTTTAATAAATTTAATGAATAAAAGAAATAAATTTAAAAATATAATTTAATCTCATCCTTTAAATCATTTAAAAATAATGGTTATGTGTAAAACTAAAGGTTTTTGCATGTAAGTTGATTTCTTCCTATATATATATTCTTGTTTTCTTATTACCATGTTGCTCTTCTTCGAATTAAGAATCATATTCTCCTTCCCTTTTAAGGCATTTCCTGTTCTGGGTTTTTTTAGAAAAATGTTTTCTTCCCACTCAACTTCCAGACTAATGTATTGCAGCTGCAAACACTTGATTTCATTTTTCAACAGGAACAATAAGTTGAAGCTAAAAACATGTTAAAAACGGCCAAAAGAGAAATAAAAAGGAAAATTAACGAAGAAATTGAGTGACATGATACCACTTTAACCACTGATTCACATCTTTTCACTTTCTTTTTTGGATTTTTTTTTCTCCTCTCTCTCTAACTAGCTGCACATGTACAAACTTTATCTATCTACCTATGAGTGCACATGTCCAAAAGTTTTTTCCTTCCTTCAACTATTTCATCAAAGAAATCATCAATCTGCCCAATTATAGTCTCCACCCCACATCTAAACAACCCAAAGCAACTCTTCAAGTGGTCAATCTTGTCTTGGATCTCAACTTCTGATCCATACTTCACAATTCTTTCCAATTCCTCTCTTACCTCTTCCATGGCAATCCTAGCTTCCCTGAATTCATAAAGCATAATCCCTGGCTGCCCGCCAATTTGTTCCATTTCATTAGATACCCTTTGATGCAGTCTTGCAAGTGAAACCTTGAAAGCTGACCCAAATATCACATGCCCCTCATGCTGTCCATGGACAAAGCTTAATTCAGGCCAATAATATACAAGCCCGCTAAGCAAGATCATTAGAATCAATGAACTAACATTCCTCATTGCATAAAGAACACCTCGAAAACCATTGAAACCATTTAACTTTGATTCTACTGTAACATTCTCATCAAATCTTAGTGATAGTTGTCTTGCTCTTGTTTGCATCAGATTCCTATTTTCCTCTTCCAATCCTACAATTTCCCTTTGGCAGCCAACTATTGCCCGTATAACCTACAGCAACAATTAGACAATAATAACATAACTTCATTGACAATTGACATTAACTAATATAAACAATAAAGAAAACCATATATCAAAAGGTTCTGTCTCGAACTTTTGGTGGTTAATACTATTATGTTTTGGTTAGGTTTTTTGCACTGACCTGGCGAGAAAATTGAGGGTTGAAGAGCTGATGATGATCAAGTGAGGAAGCAATATTGGCAGCAGAAGAATAATAAGTTTCCATGCCGGAGATGCCAGATTTGAGAACAAGACAGGCTTCCCAGAGCCTGGAGCTTTCGTCCATGTATTCATCAAGCCATTTTTCTCCTACAGGAAGGTGAAGCTTTTGAACCAAAATGGTTAATTGGGAGTGGAAGGACCGGAGTGAAGAGAGGACTTTTTGGAGGAATTGGATTGACATGAAGTTACAAGAAAGGAAAGAGCAATCAAGTTCTTCAAGTCCTTGGTTGAGCAAGTTGTAGAAGCCATTGACAGAAGAAGTGCATGAATTAGGATCCATAATGGAATTTGAGGAAAAAAAAAAACCAATAAAAAGATGGTATGGTAGGGAGAAAAAGTTGATGGAGATTGATAGATATTTATATTGGAAGATAAATAAAAAGCAGATGTAGAAGTGATGAATAGCTAGCTTAATAGCTCAGGTTTCTATGGTGAAAAAGGATTGTTGGGTGCAATTATGTGTGTTTCCTATAGAGTGGAGGCGATGATTGGGAATCTGTTGGCTTCAATTTAAAAAAAATAAATAAATAACAGACAGCTAAAATAAAAAGCAAAAAAGATGAAACATGAAAATTTCAAATACTCTACCAAAGCAGCTCTTTATTCTATGATATTTTAGATTTTGTACCTTGGGCTGCAAAAGTTTGACTACTTTGACTGAGATTCTCCTTCTCATTCTTCCATTTGATTTGGTTCTCCTTTTGAATTGAGTACCCTTTGGTTCCTTTACCTTTTCTGCAACGTATTGTTTTCCTCCATATCTTCCTATTGCTTCAACCTTTTGGGTTTTGTTTTCCTATTATTTCTTGGTCAGTTTTTATTCAAGTGGGAATAGAGATGATGGGTTTCTTTGTATAATTTTCACTTTACAATGTGGATTCTTTTCTCTTCCAAGAATCCACATTCTCTTTTAGGCATCAAATTTAAGATTGATCTGTTTTAACTTTTCAAAGGAATATTATAATAATGTTTAAACATATATGTCCTACTATGCTTACCTACCTGTTGATTCTTTACAGAAGGGACTTGTGTCATTGGAGATGGGCCAACAAAATTCCTGGAATCGTCCAAAGTAAATACTAAATTAAACTCTCTTCACAAAGTTTAGAAGGAAGAGCAAAAATTCCTGATCTTCACTCCATTGGAGCTAAAGGGAAACAACTCGTTAAAATTTAGTGGTTTTTTTTTTTTCTTATACCCAAGATTGTAAAAAAGACAAAAAAAAAAAAAAAAAACCCAAAGGAATGTTTGTTTTCACACTATAGGGAGTGTTGTACTCGAACTTTATTTGCAAATATGTTAGTTGGAATAGATTAAACAACAAGCTGTCATGAAAGGACAACACTCGAGAGAGAGTGAGTTGCAATGTTGCATATTATGCGGTTCAACGACGAGTTGTAACATCAGTTTGAAGAGATTAAAAATTGGGGCCCAACCGTACAATGAAACAATCAGTTTCTGATATTTGTATGGCAAAATTTTCTTATTTTCACCTTGTAAAATATGTGCTAGACCAGAGGTTTTTCAACTTCAAACACATTAGTTAGCTAATCAAATGATGATCAAATGACAATTTTACATAGTTGATTCGATTTATTAAGGATCTATTATTGGTCTTATTATAATCTTGCAGGGAGTTTTTGCAACAGATTGAACCATTTGATAATTTTCTCTGGCTATTTGAAAAGATGTTCTTAATTTCAAACAAAGGGAAGTTAAACATTTCCCTGATTATGTGAAACTAGTAATTTACAATTGCATAAGATTGTGCTTTCCTTCTGGAATATGCACATTGCAGAAGAAGCTTTAATCTGTCTGATCCAATTTTGTTAATAGATACTAGCACTTCTAATAAATCTGATTACATAACGTAATTTATTGGTTTTTCAAAAAATGAAAAGCTTATCGTTATCTCTAACAACTTCAATGGAATCAATTTCAGCCCCTGCTTCATCTGTTACAATGGCGTTTCTTGCATCAATCCCGAATTTTTCTCCTGTTAGAAATGATTAAGTTAATAGCCTCGCAAAGAAAAGAATATATAGACAATAAGTTCATTTCATCTAAGGTACAAACCTGCAAAATTCTTGAGCTCCTCAAGTGAATCTGGCAACCTTATTAGCTTCCCAGGCTCCGTGCAACAAGATTCTTTTCTCATTAGAGGGTGACCTCTATAAATGCTCACCCTTGGATGATCTAGTCCTCTGCTTTTCCCTAATATGCCTGCATACTCCCCTTCAAGCTTCTTCAATAGTACTTCACTAGATGTAGTATCAGTTACTGTAATTCGGTGGCCAATCTCTCGCTTCTGCAGCATTTCATTCAAAGTTTTGGAAGAAAATTCATATGTATTAGCATTGATGACATCAGCTCCATTCATTACAAGTAGATTAACCATATCTTCGTGTTTCTCTTTCAAGGCAATCTGTAATGCTGTTAATCCATGGCGATCCTTTGTGTCCACACTCAATCCATATTTCAATAATTCTTCCATCACTGTCAGATCATTTCTTTTTGCAGCAGTGCATAAGAGATCACCAGCAGTGAAAGGGTCGGAAATGGCAGCACAATGATATAGGATTCTAAATATGGAATGGTGCTTTGAGAATATTGCATCCCACAATGCAGTGTTACCGTTCATATCTGCCACATATATGGTATCAGAAGATATAATCTTAAGAATTTGACTTGTTCTAACTTTTAAGATGAATTTAATTAAGGCATTAATATCTTATTTTACCTCGTAAATGTACATTGCAAGCATGCTTGAGGAGTACCAGTACACATTCTTCATGCCCTTTTGATGCTGCTATATGCTGAGGAATCACGCATAAATAGAAGCAATTACTACTTATATATAGTTTGTGTTAGTTGGGTTTATTCTGGTTGTAACATTCATAAATAAAATTATCGATGCTCAAGCCTTTGAGTCTAAGCTCAATGTCCATTAGAAGAGAGCTGGGCCTTTACGAACGAGATATGTAAGTTACATTTATATAGACTAACAATTTTAATTGCCAAGTTATGAACATTCTGTGAGGTACATGTTGACAGGACAGATAAATAAGAACTTACCAATGGGGTTCTACCTTCAGAATCTCCTATGTCAGGGTCCAATCTTGCCTTCAGAAGCTCATCAAGAAAAGCAGCATTGCCTGAATCGGCCACGTTCAGCAAATTAATGGCAATGTTTTTTGGATCACCACCTTCTTCTCCACCCTCCACTACTAAACCTCCAATTTTAAGATCCTTCAGCCTTTGGTTATGCTGCAACACATCACAAGTTCAACCTTTAGTCCTCTGAATAACTAGATTTTAGCAACTAGCCAGCCTGAAAAAGAATTCTCAAACGAAACAGATTGCATTTTAAAGAAATCAACATGAGAGTAACAAACTCTTGAAACTTGCATATCAACTGACCTGAAGGAAGTTTTCAAGGATAGCAACATTATCTTCTTGTTTGGTCTGCATTGCTTCAACCAGATTGGTGGTTTTGAGCCTCAAGAGTTGAGAAAGTGTCCTTGTTCGGAATGTAAATCTTTGAGGTCTGCAACAAAGTGCTCCAATTTCTCCAAACAAGTCCCCAGAATGCAGGGTTCCAACAACTAGCTCTTTCTCCATTTCACAGTCAATGATTTCCACTTCTCCAGACACAATGATGTAAACATCATCTGGTGCTTCATTCTGCATAATCACATCCTCTCTCGGTGGTATATATTCAGCTTTCATCTTTGCAACCTGATAACAAAATTCCGAAACTCCCAGAGCTTAACTTTCTTGTGCTATAACTAATTTTCATGACAAATTTGGCTAGGAGCTAAGGATATTAATCCTACCAGGTGCAGCAAAATTTCCCTTGATATACCGTTGAAAAGGTATACTTTCTCTACCGTTGGTAAGAACAAATGCTGGCAGATGCTTGTATAAATGGATTTTGGTAATTGTTCAATGAGTTGCTGCTGGTTCAAGCTCTCAGCCTTAAACCTCAAACACATGTAAGCCAATATCTGGTCTTTCAACCTTCGGGGCAACCGGTTTCTAGAGACAAAATTTGAAGCTGCTTCAATGCTATTCCTCTGCACCATCAGCCAAAAATTCCATGAAACTCAACAGGTAGCCTAATTGAATGGACATAATTGAATTGGCAAACATTGGAAGTACTTACAAATTCCATGGTACGACGAGTTCCTTCAACCACTAAATTTGTCATGTTACCAATTATATAAGCAGTCAAGCCAAGGTTGAAGAGCATGTAGAAAATTATAAAGATCATTTCCACAGTATTTACTGCATGGAGGTCACCATAACCAACTGTGGTCATAGTGGTGATGGACCAATATAAAGCTGAGATATATCGGATCCAAAGGCTTGTTTCCCTGAAATTTGGATTCACTGACCCCAGCCATGTCCTTCCCTGGTGTGGATATCGGTCAGCTAGCAGGTAGTAAAGACATCCAGCACAGTGCACTAGAAACAACGTCACCTGTATCAGTTCATCAACAGACCGACTCAACTTAAATTTGATCATATTGTCTGAATTCTGAAGACAATTTTTTTTTTCAAACAATTCCCATATTTTCATTCTAAAAAAAAACGCATATTTTCAACCATAAATAATTTACGGGCTGAAGAGAATGGGCCTAAAAGCAGCCCTTTGGCTAATTCACTAGCCTGTTTTTTTGAGCACGATTGAAACTTGAAAGTCACAAGCACAACGGGGTCTATTGATAAAAGTATCAATATAACAATGAAAAATCTTATTAGGGTTTCATTTTGTTTTTCAAAACGGATTGAAGGTTGCAAATTTCGCTCACAGCTAGAAGCCTAGCACATCGGATCCAGAAATAGCTGAATCTGATGTCCTTCTCCAGCCTACAAGTAAATATAGAAACTGTAAGATTAAGGGGTGACAAGAAAATTTCGATCACAACTTTGATTTACTACAAAACCGAGAATAACGATGACAGATAGTAGTAATGAAGCAAAACCTGGTAAAAAGCTGCTTGACACGCCTGAGACGCCAAAATCTGAGCAATCCTAAAAGGGAATAAGAAATGCCCATTTTGCTTTTGCCAGTGAACAAGTAGCCTAGTGCCTCATATGGGATAGTTGATGCCACATCCATTAGGAACCATGTTGAAAGGTACCTATCCACACCCAAACGCCAAACTAATGAACCATCATTATATATATTTTTTCTCAATTCCCTTTATTTCCAAATTAAACTTGTATTTCTAAAAGGATTTTTTTGGCAGCATTGTTGGGATGATTCTCGCTGCCCTTTAGTACTGTGAAAGGAGCCCAAATTACCCATTTGGACGAGGTGCTTCAGTTTTCTGTATTTGTTTTCAACCTTCAATTTTCCACCCAATGTTTAGTTCTTGTCTTTAAATCTGCATACAATTTTTTTTTTATTTTGAAATTGCACTAAAAATTGTAGTATAAATTTTCTTTTCATTGTTATCTGCTCAAAGATGGCTTTGTGGGGGCCAGACAGCAAACATCATTTCCGTTACCCCCAGCATTCAAAAATTATTGTTTGACTGAATAGTCTAGCTGGTGGGATTCTACAGTTTGTACAGTTTAAGTTGGAGCAATGATGAATGGATGGAAGTTTGGAGCAAATCAGATTCTTGAAGCCAACCCACAATCTCCAGTGACCCATCTTTTCTTTAAAAAATATATATATTTTCATGCATGACGAAAGATAGATTCCCTTTTAATTATCGAAATAATTACATGTCCTGGGCTGGTCCCGGTCCGAAGCAGAACTAGAAATTAGAAGAACATTATTTTTTTCTGGTTTTAGAGTTTTATCTTTTTAAAGAACAGTACAATCATAACCACGTGGTTGCCGTCAAGCCAGTTGATAGAGACAAAAAACATTGTGTACAATGCAAGCACCGAACTAATTAATTTGTCATACGGTATGTTCTCCTTCCATTACCGACATAATTAGGAACCTACCCCTGAGATTAAATTCGTCAAAAGCCGAAACCCAACCCTCTATCTTTCTTTTAATCTAAGAAAAAAAAAAGAATCTGGTTTTTTTTTCTAGATAAAAAAAAAGCATTTTGTGTTATTTGGAATGAAAACTATAATGTTTTTGATTAAGAATGAATTCACTAACCTGACAGCAATCTTCTTAGAGTCTTGGACTAGCAGCTGGGTTCTTGAATCAATATGTGCAACAAAAAATGTCAAGACGATATCAATTGCGAAGAACAGATCCACAATGTTGTCGGCAATGTAGAGTTTTCTAGGTGGGGAGGAGCTGAAAAAAGCTACTTCAAAAGGGTAAACCCATGCAGAATAAAATACTAACATCACCATAAATATTTCCCAGCACCTGCATATACACATCATAACATTGATTAATTACATGAATTTGCAGCTGTATGTTGCATACATAAATTGTTGAACATTTTACCATATAAAAGAAATTTGGAGAAAATTGAACTCCACCAATAAATCAAACTGTACAAAATTTAAGGATTTTTTTTTTTTTTTTGAAGTCTCAAGCTTATTTCTGTTTCCACCAAGATCAAGTCAACTCACAGCTGAACAGAGTCAAAGTATCCGTCAAACCCAAGATCAACTCGAAAAAGCAAATTAAAAGGTGAGAGAATTTATGCCATAAGAATGTTAGGTACAAGCTGCAGCAAGTTAGGAGTAAATGCTTTAACCTTGTATCTCACGTGCACGTTTTTTGGGGTGCAGGTGAATTTGGTGATCTAACCAAGCATGAATATGTGCATGCTCTGATCATAATCATTTATGTAATTGACAGAAGTGGAACACAAGCATGCTTTTCATGTACCAACAAAATTGTATTGTTCAAATAGGAAAAATCAAATGTTTATTATTGACAAATATAATTCTTCTTTCTCTAGCAATTATTGTACCAAATATACCTGTATTTTGAATCCAGAGGAGAGATGATCCATCCTTTCGACTTTATTTGATTCTGGTTATAGCTTGAAACACCCAAAGGAGGAAGTATAAGCTTTGACAAGCTACTCAGACTGAGAGATGTATCTTCATCTGAATCACAGTGTGGAGTTTCATGATCAGTCTGGCCCTGCTCTTTTTGCTGCTGAACCCTCTTCATGCTAGAGGTTAAGTTGAATGCTTCTGGAGTAAATTTCATTTCCATTTCCAAGGACTGATGAGTTAAATACAGAGAAGGATAGTGAACGAGAGTTCTTTGATTGATTTTTAGAAGGGATTGAATGGAAGGAGAAGATGGGAGAGAAAAGGCAAGGCCAGAAAGGAGAGTAGTATTAAGAGAGTTGATATTATTATTGTGGGTATGGAAGAGCAGTTGGTGGTCCTATAAAAAAAAAAAAAAAAATTACAGTGACCCTGGAAATGAAATGAAGCCAGTGCCATTAGGAAACCACCTTCATTGATTGATGTGTTTGGTATAAGACACCAAATGGAATTGGTGGGTTGTGCAATATTTGGCCTTTTAACTTACTGAACGAGGATTAAGGACCATAACAAATTCCATTTTCTCTCTTCTGATATGATATAATTCCAACATCATTACATTATGCTAGAAAATGGCCACATTTTCACATTTTTGTTGGGCTTAATTGTCATAGACATGTATGCCGAAAGAGCCAACCTAGCCATATAATCAATGTGAGGAATAGACTAGGTGTGGAAGAGTAATTTCCCTTGATAATAATCATCATACGCTTTTTCTTGCATATCCAACAATTCCCCACTTGGCCTTATTATTGATATAGCTAGCTCTGTTCAAGGAAAGTTGATTAATCAAAAGCACTCCACTAATAATGTCAATGTCAAAACGATTTGTAATCCCATTCCATCAACCGGTATTTGGTTCATAACTTCATCTCCATATCTCTTGATTACCCCATAAAATGATTGCTAGTTTAGACTTTAATGGTTTGGCTTATAGCAAAAATTAACAGTGAGAACTAGTTTAAATGGCCCCCACTTATATCCACACCAACAACATTGTGAACTATTAATTTTTTTTTTGGTTAAAATAGAAATGAAAGTTAATTCATCATAAAATCTAAAGAAAATATCAATTTTCATGTATCTTCTAAAAGAAGATATTGATAGAAATCGAAAAAATTTTAATAATGGATACTAATTTGGTTTCAGAGCGATTATTACTTTAAAAATATGAGAATAATGTGATTGAAAAATAATTATTTCTTCCTTTTTTTGGAATAAATGCAATTAGATATACAAAGTTAATTTTTGTTCTAAAAAAAGGAAAAAGAATATTTATAACCTTTTATAATTCCGAAGTGCACAATCGTTTTACACTTTTACATGAATTTGCCTTAGATTCACATGATGGATTTGGCTTTATTTTTCTATTTTCTCCCTCTTTTCTTTATAATTGAGGCAAAAAATTAAATCAATGATACTTTATTCTATTAGTAGTATTATTAATTTTCCACACATTTTGGAGCAATCTTTACCTGTCAAATTTGATTCTTTTTTTTTTTTTTTTGGTATTAGCATGACAAAAACAGGATGGTGGGAATATCAAAATAAAAAATTGTAGTAAAAACAATTAAGAAAATTTTTTTCCTTTTTTTTTTTTTTATGAATGGTTTTAATTATAGTAGTAGGTTTTTCATGTCTAAAGCTCGGAGTGTCTTCATTAAATTTGAAATATGTAGGCTGTTAATTTTTGCTAATTCAAGAAAATATATAGAGTTGAGTTTCCAACCAAGGTTCAGTTAAAAAGGAAAAGCCAGTGATCAGATCAGACCCTTTTGATTAATTTGGATGTAGAATTCAATGGCTTTTGATTTGCGGGACCTCAACTCTAAGAAGTGATTGATCCTTGTCTCGCATGGCATTAACTCTTAATTACAAACTGTGGCAGCTGATGCACATTCCATTGTCAAGTAATTGGGGAAGCGAATGCGAATGCGAATGCAAATGCCAACATCTCATCAAATCAATCTAAACATGAAATGCACCACGATGGCATTAATGCTACAAATTAACTTCTGCACCGTGAGTAGGATACCATAGAGTAATGTATCAACGGCACCGTTTTGTACATCAATCAAATTTTTAATTTTTAATTTCAATCATTCATATTTAATCTCACTTCACCGAATATATATATATATATATATATATATATAAATAGAGCAAGGTAAGATATATCCTGTAAATTCTTATGGGATATTTCATTATTAATACTAAATAATAAAAAAATTATTTGGGATGTAAATTTTCTTGGCCACAAAAGAGTTGCATTACCGAGTAATGGTCTGACGTTCAGAACAGCGACTTATTCAATCATTTTCATCACTGCTTCTCACTTTCCTTGATATCTTGATTTGGCCGACGCTTAAATTTTAATTAGTATTTATATAAAATTTTCATATATATTACTTTATTTTTTAAAATAAAAAATACTTGAATATAAATAAAAAATAAAATTTATTTAAATATTTTAATAAAATTCAGAAATTCTTTTAATATTTTAATTTTCAATTTTCTTCTCTATCTACAAGGGATATATAGTAATAATCTCATAGTTTACACGTTAATTGCAACGAGAGCCAAGGGGTTTGGTCATTTAATAAAAGGGTCATTTTAAATGGAGCCCACATAGGACAAAAGTGAAGCACTGTACATTGAACAATGACAAGTCCTGTTGGGTCGGTAAAAAGTGAGAAGAAGGCTAATCCAATTTGAGGTGTGGCAAGCCAACAACCATTAATTTAATCTCATTGTCTTAAAACCGACACTTATCTGTATGTATCTGGTGGGGGCATATATAATATAAGCCTTCTCCATCCATCAACTGCCCAAATTGCATGCCTTGATTGGTAATATTGTTGAGATATTACCATTAGTATTAGCCTGACGTTTTCCTTTTGGATGCATCTTGTGCATATCGTTTATAATCAGTCTTAAAAATTTAATTATAAAATATAATTACGACACTGTGATAGTTATTCTCATCATGTAATTAAAGAATTTTAGATTTTTAAATGGATCAATTGGATAAGATCATTCGTAAAATTATTGCATGATCATATCAAATTTAATATACTTATTTTTTTAAATTCGTCCAGAAATAATTTAGGCCATTTTATACTGTGAAAGTTATGTATTTGATTTTTATTTTCAACTCATTTAATTTAGAAGAAAGAGATTTGAACTGAAAATTTCCTTTTTAAATTAAAGGTTTGGATTCATATATAGCCAATTTTGTTAGATTTATTTTTTTTTCATGAAATAGCCTTGTTAGTTGTTAGATTTAAATGTACTAATTTTGATTGCTTAACTAGTCTTCGAATAAATCTTTGAACCACGACAAAAAATTAATCATCCGAAACAAAGAACATATAGACCAAATTTGACTATAAATTTTGGCCTCACTTTGTAAGAAACGTGTGTCTCACAGTAATTAATTTGAATGTAACGAAAAGACATGAACTTTGGAGAGGAAGTATCTGGGTGTGGCCCCAAACTAAGAAAACCGATTGGGACAGGTCAAATTTTCCACTCTCAAACGGACCTTCGTCGAAGCACACATTAGAAGTGACTGATGAATATACCCCTTCATATTCTTTCTGGAGCCGACCCTGGATTGGCTCTTTATTTTGGAGTTTATAGCCAATTTGATAACTGAATCAAATTTTTAACCAGTATATCAACTAATTTGGTAGCATATAGCTTTCTTAAAAGTGTGATTAAATACATATTTTTTACAAAGGAGTGTAAGATAAAATGAAATTAAGAAGAAAAATTTACAAGTGTGGATCAAATCCCAACTTTATTAAAATCCAATTATATATATTTGATTCTTGGCGTATTACCAAAATGAAAAAAATAGATGAAAATTACTACAAAATCTCATGTATGAAACCGTTGCACTAAAATGATATTGACAAAATTTCTCCATTCTATCCTAGCTCTTAGAGTATCAGGTACATATATATATTGCCTTAAAATGCTCATCTAACTTGGTAAAATTCGAATTTTATCTAAAAAATACAAAACCTTGGTAAACTTGGAAGTTTCTAGTATATCAAGAAAGCTTTGGTTTGGAAAGTTGTATCCTCAAGGCATTCACCAATTCTGAGGCAAAATATTAGTATCGAAAACATTTTCATGCACTATAGGTGTTACCTCTTTAAGACTGCTTGCATTGGGGCAGTATGAACTGGATGGCAGATGCCAATAATTTCGTTAGAATTTTAATGTGCTTGAAACCCAAAATTTCACAGCTCTGACTTAGATTCTAGATCTTCTGATGGACTGTCATTTGAGGAAGTCTCAGATGATGCTACCGGCTCAGGGTTGTCCAGTTCATCACCAAATATTTTGGCAGTGAAATTTCTTGCCTCAAAGTCAAGATTCGTCCACTCAGAAATTATTCTTCTAGCACTCTGAGAGCGAAAAGTATTAGATTATGTGATGCAAGGAAAAAGGAAAGTAGATCGAAGAAATAATGGTTACCAGAATAAATATAGAAGAATAACAATTACCTGAAGTTTTGGTTCTTTTGTCATTGGATTGTTGCAAAGATCAATGGTTTTAGCCCTAGATTTTGTGGCATTACCACACCATGATTCACACCATAGCCATTCTTGGGGTAATGAAACGATGGGTACCGTATGCTGAGCATAATTTGGAAGATCCTGAAATAGCAACAATGGCTACTTGATTATCAAATACAAGCACTGTATGTCAATAAGCCATAATGTGAATCTCAGACAAGACAAGTGAAAATACCCAGCTGCCATTTATTACATGTATTATTTAGTAAACTGAGGGAAGAAAAACAATATTTACATCATAAAAACTGACATAGGAAAGTCAGTGCAAATACTAAAAGCACAGAAAGATGATGTAATGAATTTAACTACCTGATCTAGATTGGCTAGACTGTTTGGATCCTTGCTAAGAGTTTCATAAAAGACTCTTAAATTATCTCCAGCTGCAGTCTCACGAAACTTCACCAAGTCAACCACATACAACGCACTGTAGAAGTATGATAGTTAAGCCCACATAATCTTTAGAAGGAAAGAAATTTATTCTTATACAATTTGAAAGTAATCACAAACCTGATATGGTATGCTCTACCTTGTAAATGTTCTTTCCAGAATCCCTGTGCAGAAAAGAGGAAGAGGAACAAAGAGGACATGATTAGACTAGCAATTGTATTATAGTTGCAGTTCCCAGGTGACAGAAGCAATAAAACAGAAACAGAGAAATTAGTCAATTTTGCACATGGTGCAGGGATAGGTGTGGTATCACATTACTTGTCTCCAAAATCGGTATCCGTCCATATCCTTATTGTTGTCACAGAAAGGAGTATAAGCAAGAGGTCTTCCCTTTATATCCATGTCATAGAGTTCTCCCATATCTGCCCTAACAACTTGATCCGCATCAACAAATATAACCTGCACATGCATTTTCATCCATGAGGTTGGCAACAAATGCAACAAAAGACTACAGTTGTCTAACAGGAACAATACCTTTTCCAATGAAAGGGGGAATATAACATCAAGGAACAAAATCTTATATGCCCAGATAATTCGCAGCTTTTCTTTCTGCTTATGCAACCATGTAGGCCATTTGTAGGTAATTAGTTCATACTCAAAGCCATATTCCTGTGCCATATGTGGAATCACATCCTACATTTTGTGCAAATAACCAGAAAGTATATGCACATTAGATTAACAAGGGGAAAAGAAAGTGCCATACAAAGATGGAAAGACTGCCAAAATGATATATACAACCTAAAACAGAGGAGACAAGTAGTTCTTTATAAACCAGAATTTCACTGGACGATAAGTGTTCTTTAATACACTTAAAATCATAATTTTAAGGAAGCGTTCATATCTGCAAAAAGCAATCAAAGAAAAGTAACAAATGATCAAGGATTAGCTAAGAGACTATTCCACAAATGCTGTCATTGCACAGGCAGATCATCAAATGTATGGGATGTGTGCTTAAACATGAACGACCTTGTATTAGAAACTTTATAGATTGCAATAATTTTAACTTCACCAAGAGCAAAATTCCTATTTTAATACAATACAGCAGGTTGCAACTCGTCAATTGTTTTTGCCACATTCAATACTGTTTTAGATTTATAAAAACTCTAAAAATTCAAACTGCAAACTACAGGATTTAGTCAAAAATAATTTCCTCCACTGCATTGCCATTACAACCTACTTAAAAGTTAGATAGAAAAGAGGCAAAACACAAGCAAGCAAATAAAAAGAAGTCTCTATAGGAGTGTGGTTTAGCAGTCAAGTAAGCAGAATGCATAGTTTAAAAGCATCTTATCCACCCTCCACAGTCTGGTACTCAAAAAATAAATAAACCAAGTCAGACTTGTTTCTTATATCTTGGAAGAAAATGCAAAATATAAAACAAAGACAGAAATTTCACACATTGCAGACAAAGTTAAACTTATCACGGATAACAATATGAAATACAAAATCTACAACAGCCATTTTACACCAGGGATGAAAGTTTTCAAGGGCAACATACTCCTGCATGCATGCACATGCACATATCTATATATAAACATGTAAATGTATATGCTGCAAAAAATATAAATGCTGAAAACTCTACTAACCAAGAGCACAGGCAATCAAATGGTTAAGCAGACAAGGACTTGAATACTTACAAATGTCCTGAAGCAATTGAGAATATGTTAATTGTTTTTCCATGTCGTCCACCCTTCCCATGCTCCTGAGGGAGGAAAAAAAGCATCAATGATTCTACTACTTTGAGAATGACACATTAAATATAAATCTCAAACAATAAAGCATACAAAGACATGCCAGCAAGTGAGTCATGCCATAAGGAAAATGGTGATGATAAGAAACATATTATATACTAGTGCTATATTTGCATTTTTTAATCTGCTAACCAAGCTATTATACCAGATTGATAGTTAGGTTATTTTTACCCTTTATTCCTTATGCCTTCATCCCTTTTCTGATTTCCAGCTCTTCCCTAATTCTCCCTTCTCACATTAAGTACATTCATTGACATGAAAGCAAGCTTTGATCCTTCACTAAAGAGCTTACATACCGGGATTTAAATTGCGGTAACGGTCACGTTTTCGATCGCATCGCGTTTGTCACGGTTGCGGATATAACAGAGACCTTCGCGGTCATTGCTGCTATTACGGTCGTGAATTTTTTTAAATTTTGCTCAACTTGCTATAAAATATAATAATTTTAATTATTAATCATATTTTATGATTTTTAAAGTAATTTATATCATATCATGTGTTTTATTTATTTAAGAAAAAATATTTATAGTAAAATATTCATATTTAAAAAATTATTTATATGATAATTAAAAAATAAAAAGAGATAAATAAATATGTGAAAAATAAATAATCATAACGAATAATATATTTAATTATTTAATTACCGTACTCATCAAATTATTACCGAACTATATTATGCATAAATCAAATAATAAGTGATTAGGTATTCATAAATTAAGTAAAAGCATTATTATTTATGAGTCAAAAGAATTGCTTTTTATGAACTTACAGTAAATCAAACTTGACAGCCTCTATGTTATGGTCGATTTTCAACAATAATAACCTTAAGTCTACTCTTCTTGTCTCTTGACTAAATTGCACAGACCCACACAACTTCTTATCCCTTCACCTTGCATTCAATAATTTTTTTTCTCCAAACCTTCATCCTCATCGCCATCTCTCAGTTCTCTTTTTATTGGGTGTGTGCTATCTGCTTGCTTCTGTAAGCCTCAAGTTTCACTCTCATCTCTTATCTCTTATTTTAAGTCCCAGCAACTCTTGCCTCCTTCTATCAATGTAACATAGTCCAATCTAATCCCAAACGCACAAAATCATGGTAAATTTGGAAATTAAAAAAAAAGATAATTTGAGTGTTGAATTAATTGTTTACTTTAAATTGCATATACTTGATTTTGATTGAAGTTAAACTTGAGAGAATTGATTTTTTTGAAAGTTTAAGTTTTGTGGGTTTTTTTTTTTTTTTCTGAATTTGTAAATTGATGTTTATTTTTTTTCTTGTTGTTTTTATTTTAAATTTTTAAACAAAATCAAATGAATTTTTTTTTTGAATTTTTGAATGAAAATAGGAATAGCAGCAATAACGGATAATAGCGGACCGCAATTGCCGCTATTCACCGTTATACCGTAATTCACGGTCACGATTCATCCGCTATAGACGAAATTCAAATTCTTTCCCGTTTTTTCTCCAATAGCGGTGGTGGATAGTGGTGCGACCGCGAAATAACAGCCGCAACACCGCTATCCGACCGCTATTTGAATCCTTTTACAACCCCACTTTTTGCATTTTCTTCCTTTTTTAAGCCACGGTGTTATCTTGTAAGATACTGGAAAGCTTCTGTGGATCCTAATCCCCTCAAAAGAGGTAAAAATTAATCAAATTTAATTAGGTATGATAGAAGGTAGGGGAAATAGATGAAAATAACATTCTGAATTTGAGATATTTAATTCAATCAGATATGCTCAGTATTAAGTCTTTCATAACCCTTTCCGACAGCCATAATAAATACAAGAAAAAGAGAGTATGACCATGTCAGCGTATGAAACTTTTCAAAAAGTTTAAGTAGACAACCGATTTAAGGTTAATAGCCATAAGGCTTTCTTGTATCCAGTATTTATGAAAGGAACAGTGACAAGATGAAGAGAAACTGAAACTAAGCAAATGAAATTATGGAAGTGAACGCATAGTACAAACAAACAATCAGAAGATTCACTTATAATCCATTTTCCTAAGAACGCTTACCGAATACAAATCATAAAGAATGCTTAGTGACTAATCCTAAAGAGGAAGAGTAAATTATTGACACAGAGTCAACCTCTCATTAACAAACAACCAGAAGATTCACTTATAATCCATGTTCCTAAGAATGCTTACTGAATACAAATCATAAAGACTGCTTAGTCACTAATCCTAAAGAGGAAGAGTAAATTATTGACACAAAGTTAACCTCTCATTAACATAAAACTCAAGAAAATATCTCAGTCAGGAAATACTGGTGTAGAAATATAATTCAACCGCTACAGCATAATGTCACTCATAAAAATATAAACCACAATAGTCAAAGCAAAGGGAGATTTCATTCAACTTGGTTTAGGTATTATATTGAAAGTCATTTTGGGTAGCTTAATGTTGTTGCTTGTCTTAATGTAGTTTTTTGGTATTGATAGTGCAAGAAGAAGAAAAATAAAGTCCATACTACAGCTGTACCTGGAAATTAATTTCAATTGGGGAAAACAAAATTAAGACGCTATATAAGCTCCCTCTCACAAAAATGTTTACACACTTCTTTTGACCTTGGTTCAAGGGTCAATCATTCTCTTTCCCTTTTCTTATATCATCTTTCTTCTTATTCTGATCCCTTCTCCCAGGTTCGTATTTATATAAATTTCTTGTAACAGTTAACCCTAAATCAAATTAAAATATATAGTACAGCACAAACAAACAAAATAAACAAAAGACATTTACCAAAAAGAAAAAGAGAAAAGCTCACCACCAAACTGTCATCACTCTTTTTTGATCGCTGGCTGCCACCTATAAAACCAGAAGCCCATTTGACAAAGTTTGAGTTCCAGCCATTATGTCCCTGCTAGGAGGAAACAGGAATTTGTTCAGCTATACAAATGGAGATTGGACAAAATATTTCAAACAGCAGCAAAAACTCACCCTCTTTTCTTTTGAATGGTTGTAATCATCAGCTGAAATAAATAATTTTTCATGCTCTTTTCCCTTCTTCTTCACCACTTCAAGATGAACTACTTTACCCCGTAAATCATTTATAGTGATTCGCCTTGACAAGGATTTCTCTTGACTTCCATCATCACCACCATCTCTAAAAAGATACAGCTCAGAACTTCTGCCTGGAGCAAGTTGCAGGTACCAAACTCCAGGAGATACTTTCATCTGCCAATAGCCCAAGTTGGCCATCACAATTTTATCAACCAAATGAGGTGTATTCTTTGTTCCAAGAATTAGCTGAAGACCTCTGGGAGAGTCACGATCCTTCTCGCACAATGACCTAAATTACACACCCAAATGTGAAAATCTTAACAGTAAATGTACACAGTTCTCATTCACTCCTCCAGTTAGGCTTGGAAATTTCACATTGTTCTAAACAAAAACTAACTCACCAGTCAGAACAAGAGCTTCAAGTTCAAAAACTGCTTGCAATGTCCTTGCGTCTCCCAGGTTCTCAAGCAAAATATTGTCCAGGTAATGACTGAAGTATTTATACCCAGAGAGAGAAAGAAAGAGAGATTAGTCAAGGCAGTGAGGTACATGACGTTGCAACTCTTCAACATTCCTAACGAATAAAGGATAGGGGCAAAAGACGAGAAGAAATCAAAATGCAAGTATTGAGGAAGAAGCATACATAGCAACAACAGGCTCAACAAGCCATGGCTCAGGAACATCCAGGTTCATTGTTAGTGTTTTGGACAATGGCATATTTGCAAAAAAGCTTTGGGTCCATTTACAATCAGTACTGCTGAAATCATCCTGTAAGGTCCAAACACAGCTAAGAAACCATTCTTGTGGGTACAAATTGAGTGGTTTCTAAAGAGAGAAGCATACCATGGTTGGGACAACATATCTGTAATAGTTCTTCAATGGAAGATCGACAAGGGAACTCTGCCACAAATGTAAAAGCATATAATAGTTTCCTATGAAAATTTTGTAATTAAAAGTAAAACTTCAAGCAAGGAACAAAATAAAAGCTTAAGTGATTATACAGCATGCTTCAATTTTAAAAACTTCAGGCAAAAGTGCAGTGACCTCATCATAAAGACTGACAATTTCAAGGCCAATAACCCCAAATTGTATGATGTTTACTGAAATTTTGAGAATTGTGGGACCCTAAATTCTCACCACAATGAAATTGCAAAATTTGCCCTTTGGGAATATAGTCATAACTCTGCTATTTTTTTTTTTTTTTCAAATTTTGTTTACCTCATGTAATGGCCCTCCCCCATCCTCTACATGGACTGAGCCCAAGGTCCTATGCAACGTGGCCTTGGCATGAGCACATATCTCTCCCCATCTCCCAATTACACTTTCTATTCACAAGCACCACATGCTAGACATAACTGATACTGCAAATATTGACTCACCAAGAGATTTAATACAATGCGATTACAATAGGCATGCTTTAGTATGTCCTCACGCATCTCTTTCCAGAACAACTTTTCTATTCACAAAAACCACAGCAAAGATAACCAAGATTATAAACAGTAACTCACCAAGGGATTTAATACAATGCGCATGCTTGGATGGACATATTTAACCAGAACACGAAGAAGTGATGATAGTTTCTGACCAGATGGACTCAAAGGATCAACAACCGCATCAATATGAATACTAGAATTCTCATTATCTATGAACATTTAAAAAAGAAAAAAGGCATGAGTTAGACATTCAGAAACAACAAATCAAAGAAGAGAGTATTATAAGCACAAAGAAATGAAACATACACAAGTAAATCAACAGAAAACATGGTAATTAATCAATATGAAGGAATCTACAAGGATAATTGAAATTTGAACATATAAAAAAGAAACTAATAAGCAAGCAAGTAAAAATATAACTTTAAGAACACAAGTTGAGGATTTCAAAGAGTAAGAGGCTCAAAATTAAATCTTATTATATTTGCGGAAAACCTATTCCTAACCAGATTTGATTAGCTGTCATTCATTTAGTATTTTGGTTGTTTCCTAAATAAAAGGGATTTGGTTCATTGATCAGATTCTTACTTGGTAGTTTCCATTTATTGTTAAAAGATTTTTAGGTGATTTGTTATTATCTCTAGGATATCATGAGATTTGCCAAATTTTATGTTTTAACTATATATATCCTCTTGTACTCTAAAAAGTTTCTTAAAAATTCATAAATAAAATTCTCATGAATTTCTTCGTGGTATCATTGCGTTCATCCTGAATCATCAACACCCATATTTTTTCTTTCAATCTTTCTATCTACGCCATGACCAGTAGCACAGGTGTGTTTGAGCCCCCTATTTTGCCTGCCTATTACTGGTCACAAACTCAATGGACAAAACTTCATCCAATGGTCTTAATCAGTGATGCTATTTGTCCGTGGAAAGGTAAGGAAGATTATCTCATGGGAATGGCTGTTTTAACAAGGAGGATGACCCGAAGTACCGAACCTGGAAGTTGGAGAATAGTATGGTAATGTCATGGTTGATCACTTCTATAACCAAAGAGATTGGTGAGAATTTCATATACTACAAAATTGCCAAGGAGATTTCGGATGCTGCGAAAGAAACCTACGTTTGCAATATTCAAGATCAAAAGCACTCTACATGACATGCGGCAAGGAGACTACTTTATCATGAAATATTTTAATTCCTTAACTAGTTATTGGCAGCAATTAGATATCTTTGAAGAAATAGCATGGAAGTGCCCTGACGATAGCCAACAATACAGAAAAATAATGAAGAAGGACCGAGTTCATAAGTTTCTACTAGGTCTAAACAAGAGCCTTGAAGATGTTCGTGGGAGAATTCTTATCATTAAGCCATTACCCAACATCCAAGAAGTTTTCTTTGAGATCCGCCGAGTAGAGAGTAAAAGGAAAATGATGCTAGGGACATCAAGCAATCCACAAGAGATAGAAAATTCAACCCTTGCTGCATGAGGACCAAAATCCTACCAAGGTGGTGAAAATCAATAGAAGAAAGGTAACGGACTTTGTTAGAAGGTAGGACATACATGGGAAAATCATTGGCAAATCCATGGGAAACCTACTGACTACAAACCACGTTCTACTCAAAATCGAGAGAGTTATGAAAATTTTGCCATCACAGAGACAACTTCAACACCACTGGAATCAAGCCCGTTTAGTAAAGAACAGTTGGAACTCCTTCAGAAAATTGTTCAACAATTTCTTCAGAACACTTGGTCAGTTGTAAGCATAGCATTTGTTGCACAAAAAGGTAACTCTCTCAATGCTCTACTTGTACAAAGTGGAAAATCAAGATCTTGGATTGTTGATTCAGGTGCATCAACCCACATGATTGGTGATGCATCGATGTTCCATGAATATAGCCCATGTTCTGAAAACCTCACAGTTCGAATAGCAAATGGGTCACTCTTTCGAGTAGCCAAGACAGATTCAATCATTATTTCAAAGGACATAACACTTAACTCTATTTTCATGTCCCTAATTTAGATTGCAATCTTCTATGTATTAGTAAAATTATGAGAGATCTTAATTGTGTTACCAAATTTCTTTCTATCATGTGAATTTCAGGGCTTGGATTTGGTGAAGAAGATTGGCTATGCTAGGTTGGGAAAAAATTTAGTTATAGCTGGTTGTAATATGTGTAGCTGATTGTAATATATATATATTTTTATCCCTAAAATTGAGAATTTATATTTCTAGAAATAAGGACAGAATATCAGGATAGACAATCCCTTAATTATAAGGATCAGACTTAGGAATATTTAGTTTTCTAGTTTACCCTCTAGTTAGCTGTATTTAAACCTATGGTGTTTGTATAATTCAATAGACAAGCTTTTCTATGTACTCTTAGTTTTTCCACATGATATCAAAGATTTAGGCTTTTCTTAGGAAGAAAATTTTTTTTTTAGCCTTCATTGTTGAATTCTATTTCAGGCCTTCATAGCCAAATTTTGTTAAGTCTTTCATACTTTTATTTTTCCTTTTTGGCCTTCATTGCCTAAACTTGTTTCAGTCTTAAGAAAGATAACCATATTAGAAATAATAGAATCTACTGATATTACCCTATTTGAGGAAGTGACAACTGGTCAAACCATAGGAGAACTACAAAATATCCAAGCTGCATACAGATTGAATGGAAAGAACTATTGGAAGTGGCCTCAGTTGGTTTAAACCTTTCTAAAAGGGAAAGGAAAATTGAGCCATCTTCTTGGTATTGGTCCCAAGAGAGGAGATCCAAAATTTGAGGCTTAGGATGAAAAGGATTCCATGGTTATGTCATGGCTGTAGAATTCTATGACACCAAACATTAGTGACACTTGCATGTTTTTGTCCACGACTAAAAACATTTGGGAATCAATTCAGCAAACCTACTCCAAGGTTAAGGATGCTGCTCAAATCTATGAGATAAAGATCAAGACTGCAACTCTCAAAAAGGGAATAAGTCAGTCACAGATATGCTATTCTTCTAAAAAATCTTTGGCAAGAGATGGACCACTAACCGGTGCATAAAAATGAAGTGCAGTGAAGATGCAACAACTTTGAAGAAATTATTGCAAAAGATTGAGTCTATGATTTTCTTGCTGGATTAAATGTTGAGTTTGATTAAGTTAGAGTCTAAATTTTGGGAAAAAAGGATTTGCCTTTTTTAAATGAGGTGATCTCCATGGTTAGAGCAAAAGAGAGCAGAAGAGGAGTGATGCTTAACAGTCTGCATGTAGAAGGATCTGTTATGGTCTCTAATGGTGGGAAGAACCAAAACTTAGAACAATTACCAATCAATGAGAAAGGGAAAGGTGATTTGGTTAAAACATCAAATCGTGACAATCTTTAATGCACTAATTGCAAGAAGCCAAGGCATAACAAAGATCATTGTTGGAAACTAAATGGAAAACCTTCCACTTCAAGCAAAGAATGGGGTTATAAAGGAGGATAGCTAAGAAATCAAGGACAAGCTCACATGACTGCAATGGAGTTAAACTAGGAGAAGTCTCAGGAACAAGGAGAGTTGGACAAAAAAGAGATTGAGAAACTGAGAACCTATTGGGAACTCTTGAAAAGACTATTGGAATATGTTCCTTGGCATACTCATATAAGGTCTCTAGTGTAGGTAAAGCCTTTAATTCTCATGGATTAAATGTCTCGGATAAGTCTATTAAGAGTTCTTAAGGTATTGACTCAAGAGCCACAGACCACATGACACATTCTTTATAAAAATTTAGTACATATATACTTATGTCCTGGTAATAAGAAAATTGTTGTTGCAAGATAGTTCACTTACTATAGTGGCAAGATTAGGAGATGTTCAAATTAATCCCTCATTTGTTTTTTAAATTTTTTTTCATGTTCCTAGATTATCTATAAATATGATATCTATACAAAAACTTACTAGAGATATGAACTGCAATGTTACTTTTTATCCTTCCTATTGTGAATTTCAATATGAAGATTTAGGAAGAGGATTGGACTTGCTAAGGAGAAGGATGGACTATACTATCTTGAGACATCTAACAATGTAACTAATATAAAAAATAGTTTACCTTTGTCATTTCTTTCTAAAAATCTCTCAATAAAGACAAAATTTGGCTTTATCAATTTCGTCTTGAACATCCTTCTTTTGGAACTTTGAGAAACATGTTTCCTTCTTTGTTCAAAGGATTAAATATTGAAAATTTTTATTGTGATGTTTGTGAACTTGCAAAGCATAGACATGTGTCTTTTTCAGTTAGTAATAAAAGAAGTTCTAATTCTTTTTAGTTGATTCATAGTGACATTTGGGGTCTCTCTACAATTCTTAATATTTTTAGTGCAAGACGATTTGTTTCATTCATAGATGATTGTACCAGGGTCTCTTGGGTTTTTTTACTTAAATCCAAATCAGATGTAAATAGTGTGTTTTTAAGCTTTCAAAACATGATCTAATATCAATATGAAATGAGAATCAAGAGATTTATGTCTGATAATGCAAAAGACTATTTCAACCAGAGTCTATTTACCTATTTCAAAAAAGAAAAGATTATCCATGAATCATCTTGTGTTAATACTCCACAGCAGAATAGAGTGGTAGAGAGGAAAAACAACCATTTACTAGCCATAACTCGAGCCTTTCTTTTTCAAGCAAATGTACTTAAATCATACTGGGAGGAAGCTGTTCTCACTGCCACACACATTATAAATAAGCTGTTCTCAAGGGCTTTGGGATTTAAAACTCCTATGGAATTACTCTCACAATTCTATCCCAACTTTAATATCATAAACAACCCCATACCTAGGATATTTGGTTGTACAACATTTGTTTATGTTCACAATCATAATATGGAAAAGTTGGATCCAAGAGCTATTAAGTGTATCTTTATGGGGTATTCATCGACTTAGAAAGGGTATAAGTGTTATCATCTTGCTACCAAAAAATTTTATGTGTCTGTAGATGTAACTTTTAAAAAAAGTAAACCAGTTTTTACTCAACTTTATCTTTAGGGGGAGACATCACTTACGAAAGATAAGGATAAATACTTTTTTTTGCTTAACTTGTCCTCCTCCTCTAAAATAGTTTCACCTATTAATTCTTTTGAGTCCAAACCCATTTCTTTTGAATCTTAGTCAAACACTGATTCTAAGTTTAAACTCATTCCAAACACAGAAGCTATGACTAAGGATAATACTATTCGTAATTCTATGAAGGAATTACAGGTGTACTCAAGAATGAAAGTTCTAGCTCCTGAACCAGTGCAAGTCCAAAAACTTGATCCTAACTCTGAAAATTAGGTAATTATAGTCTTTGACTCTATTTTTCAAAATGAGCATGAATCTCCTAAAACTAGTGATTATGATCTGCCTATTGCCATTAGGAAAAGAACCAAAGAATGTAATAAACATCTACTATACCCAATCTCTAATTTTGTGTCATTTGAAAAAATTCTCACAATCCCACAAAAATTTTCTTGTGAACCTAAACACTAGTTCTATTCTAACTACATTATCTGAGGCATTATCCAATGAGAAATGAAGGTAGGCCATGAAAATAGAAACGGAAGCCTTAGAGAAAAATAAGACATGGGAACTGGTAGAGTTGCCTATAGGAAAAAATCCAGTTGGGTGTAAATGGGTTTTCACTATAAAATACAGACAGATGGTACTGTTGAAAGGTATAAGGCCAAGTTGGTGGCTAAAGGCTACACTCAAACTTATGGAGTAGATTATCAGGAAACTTTTGCTCTAGTGGCCAAGATGAATACAGTTAGGATTTTGCTATTCTTGACTGCAAATTACCAATGGCAGCTTCAACAATTTGATGTAAAGAATACCTTTTTACATGGTGATTTGGAAGAAGAAATATATATGAAAGTTTCCACCAAGATTTGGACGTCATCTAGAAGCAAACAAAGTATGCAAGTTGAAAAAGGCTTTATATGGCCTTAAACAGTCTCTTATAGCTTGGTTCGGGAGATTTGCCAAAGTGATGCTAGTAATGGATATAAGCAAAGTCAAGGGGATCACACACTATTTATCAATCACTTGGATTCAGGGAAAGTCACAGTTTTGTTAGTATATGTTGATATAATTATAACCGAAGATGATAAAAAAGAAAGAAAATGTCTAAAACAATGTTTGGCCAGAGAATTTGAGATAAAAGAGCTAAGGAGATAGAAGTACTTCCTAGAAATTGAAGTAGCTCACTCATAGCATAGTATTTTTATCTTACAACAGAAATATGTGATGGATCTTTTGAAGGAAAGTGAGAAGCTCGCATGTAAACCTACAAGTACCCTTATAGATCCTAATCATAAATTTGAAAAAGCTAATGAAGATGTTACTGTAGATAGGGAGATGTACAGAGATTAATTGAAAGACTTATTTATCTCTCACATACTAGACCTGACTTAGCATATGCTGTAAGTATGAGAAGTCAATTTATACATAATCCGAAAGAGGTGCACCTACAAGCTGTATATCGTGTAATACACTATTTGAAGGCTAATCTTGGGAGAGGTATCTTGTTCAAAAGAAATTTGAGGCTAATACTAGAGGCATATAAAGATGCTGATTATGCATGTTAGGTAATGATAAAAGATCTATCTCAAGCTACTACACTTTTCTAAATGATAATCTTGTAACTTAGAGGAGTAAAAAACAGAATGTGGTGGCAAGATCAAGTGTTGAAGCAGAGTTTAGAGCAATGGCCCAAGGAATTTGTGAACTACTATAGTTAAAGATTATCCTAGAAGACTTGAAGATAAAATGGGATAGACCAATGAGACTTTACTATGATAACAAGTCTACAATAAGCATTGCACACAATCCTGTGCAACATGACAGAACAAAACACATTGAAGTAGGCTGACACTTCATAAAGAAGAAACTAGACAATGGGTTGATTTGCACACCATATGTATCAACCAAGGGTCAACTTGTAGATGTGTTAACTAAAGGTCTCACCAGTGTAACATTTCAAGAAATTATTTTCAAGTTCGGAATGAAAAATACCTATTCACTAGCCTGAGGGAGAGTGTGAAAAAACATTTATTTATAGCTGATTGTAATCTGTGTAGCTGATTGTAATATGTATATATTTGTATCCCCAATATTAAGAATTTGTTTCCCAAGAATTAAAGACAAAATATCAAGATAGACAATCTCTTAATTATAGGGATCAGATTTAAAAATATTTAATTTTTTAATTTACCCTCTAGTTAGCTGTAGTTAAACCTATGGTATTTGTATAATTTAATAGACAAGCTTTTCTATATACTCTCAATTTTTCCACACAAGGATGTGTGCTGAACTCTATCTCTTTAGAGATGAAGAATCTAAGTGACAATCATGGAATAGTGCTTGTTCGATTTCATCTTTTAGTAAAAGTAAAGAAAATACAATCATATTATGACACTATTATTTAGGACATCTAATTTTTTAGTACCTTAAAAAATTGTTCCTTGATTTATTCAATAAAGGTTTCGAGTCTTATCAATGTGAAATTTATCAATTTTTCAAACACACGTAATTTATATCCAAGTTAACCATACAAATCAACTCATCCTTTTTCTATTATAGACACCCACTTTCTAAATCTGTTTTTTCGGTGGGCTTTGGATAAAGTTAATAAAATAAAAAATAATAAGTAAATATAGAGTTTTAGTCCTAATAAAGCTCTAAGATTGGGAGTTGAATTTGGAAACTGGATAGAGGGATCTCGTTGTAAAACCAAGATAAGCATATTAAGGGATAGGGGGTTTTGATTTTCAAACCCTCGTTCAATCTTGTGCCCAACCCTATATAAACCCCCGATGATCACAAAGACAGACAAAGAGAAAGAGAGGGAGAAAACATGAGAGTAAACAGAATAAAAAATTTTCGAAGAAGCTATAGTTTTCAGTAGAAGGTTTCTGGGGAATTCACTGTTTCAATTGGCGAAGTAGGTTTTTTTTTTTTTTGGAGATTTTTTGAGTTTTCTGAAAATTTTTTGGAGATCTCCAGAATTTGGTGAAATTTCAAGTTTTTCGACAACTTTCGGACGAAAACCCCAGTTTTCGGCAATAAAACCCGAAAACCAACAAGAATTCCACTAGTTTGACGTAAAGAAAACAGAAAAGAAGAGAAAGAAATAGGAAAGAGCATCTAAGGATAGAAGAAATTTCTGCCTTTTATACCACCCGAAAATGACTTTTTTGGCTAAAAACAGAACAGAATCCGCTTGTTTTCTTTCATTCGACCCGACCCATGCAGTTGATCCAAAAACCTGAACCTATCATCTGAGCCGTCGAGCCAAGCTACACACCAAGCTATTTTAGCCGCGCTTGTCCCTGGAGTTGCATTCCATTCAAGCCCAGTCAAGTCGTGTCAAAGTTTTTTTAATCCTATTTATCTATTTGTTTACTTATTATTTATTTATTTTATTTTTTTACTTATTTATTTATTGATTAAATTGAAATCATTTATTTATTTAATTAAACATTCTTTAGGTTTTCAATAATTTTTTTAAAATAAAAATTAAAAAAAATACTTTAAAAAAAAGTTGAAAGTATCAATTTTTCTTGAAGATCAAATTTAAAAAAAAAACATTTTAAAGAAAAGTTGAAAGTATCAATTTTTTTTCAAGATCAAATTTAAAAAAAAAAAACTTTAAGGAAAAGTTGAAAGTGTTAATTTTCTCTAAAAATAAAAATTTCAAACAAAAAAAATACATTAAGAAAAAGTTGAAAGTATCAATTTTATTTGAAGATCAAATTTCAAAAATATACTCTAAGAAAAAATTGAAAATATTAATTTTTCTTGCAGGTCAAATTTTAAAAATATACTTTAAAGAAAAGTTGAGAATATATTTGGAGCCAATATCAAAAACATTTACAGCAGCTCAAACATAGGAAGTGTCACCAAGTAGTTACCTTCATCTGAGATAAAGAAGACACTACGCTAGGAAAATTTTGGTTGATTTCCTGTATTGATTGCAAAGGATCAGACGCTTGTACTATTCTCTGTGCGGTTTGATGCCCTAAATCTGTTCAAGGTTGGAAATTTTTACAATTTGAAGATTAGAAATGTTATAACAAGATGGGAACAAAAAAAAAAAAACAAAAACCTTAAATAAGAAAGTACCTTTCAGTTCCCAAACATCAAGTGTATCTGATATTGTTGATGACAATAGATAATCCCTAAAAGCCATTATCTCAGAAGTAAGCTCAAGGTTCGCGGTCCTGCAAATGGCAATAAAAGAAAACATTAACTTCAGAATGGTATGGTGCAGGTTTTATGGTTAGAAATCATTATGACCAGAGTTGACTCCAGTCCAAAGAGAAAGACTTTGTGATTTAAGTTTATTCATTTAGATATAGGTCCATGTAACTAATGTTATCAGAAACAGTTGTAATTTGTATTGGAAGAAAATAGGATAACAAACCAGAATTTTTGAAAATATAAACCCTCTAACTTCTTGGCTAAGATCTTCAGTCCGAGGATCTTCTAGGGTTACACCTGCAACTCAAACCTCAAGCCCCAAGCCTTAGATACCTCAAAAATCAAAGTAATAAACGATGTGATTATGAAGCAAACAAGAATGCATACTGACACAAAAAACTGGTGAACGCAGCAAATCTTTTCAAGATATTTGCATTTGTAATTAAACAACATAGGCTTCCCATGATTCTATTGTGCTAAGATTGAGAACTATAAAGAAGAATAAGGTGTATTCATACAATGCAAAACCTCAAAAAAAAAAAAAAAAATTCAAAGACTAATCAAGGTTGATAGTATCCAAAAGCCACAGAACAACCTAGTTACAACGGTTACAAGACAAGAGTGTCCATATTAGAGAGCACAATATCATTAAAGAAGAGCCATAAATAGGCCAAAAAGATCAACAACCAGACAACTGGTATATCTACCAAGGAAATATAACAATGGAATTCAAGTGCAAAGATTGATGTGGGCAACCGATCAAAAGCAATAGACACAAAATACCCATAGAAGCATTAGAAAAAAATAGAAACTAAATATATTGAAAAATAAAACTATTAACAACAAAGTGATATTAAGGTCATGCATGAGTGTTGGCTTTTGAATTTGCAACAGCTCCATCTAGAGTGATAACCTTTCTTTATGGTATTGTCATCCATGGCGTTATATTCCATATTCTTCAAAGCAAGCTCTACACCATAGCCACCCAAGTTTAAGGAATCCCTTGCACCAACAGCTCCACACAGGCCAACTTCTGCTTCACAGCCAGAAGGTAATACTGGTCTGACAACATACTTAACTTTTCCCTGGACATAAGATGAGGTATGTCGGAGCATTTATAACAGCAATTGCACCAAAGAGTTAGATATCATAATTCTTATAGAAGAGATGAAGGGAAGTCGAGTAAGCGGCAAAAACTGTATGCAGAGGGTATCCAGTCTGACCCCTAACATTTGGTAATTCAAATAAGCATATATATGAATAAATCAGGAGATCATATGCAGTATCAGATAATATTGAGTCACAGACTAGTGAGGAAGGTTCCCACTAAGAGTCAATGGATCTGACATAGGTGCGAAGAATGATCATGATTTATATATCTTCTTTTTCAAATAAGTTATTACTTCAAACAAGATGTCTAGAAAGTTGTGATCACAATAGGTGTTTTACCTCAAATGATGTTTGCAGTTAATATGTGATTAATACAGTGCCTAAAGCAATATGTGACTAAAAGGAAAGATCAATGTAAAAAAAAACAAATATGTTATCTGGCTTATAAGTAAAAGAAAATATAAAGTAAAGAATGAGAAGGTAATAAACTGTAAAATCACCATAACAGACCTCTTTGGCAGCTTGAACTAGGGTAACATGGAACTGCCTAAAACAATCTGTTCCAAGAGCACCATACAGAATAGCGATTGGGTTCATAATATTTGAATCAAAATGGATGTGATCAAAATCATATAATTCAGGCTGCTGAAAGGAATCACCACTGCTGGCAACCAACAAATAAAAGTACCAACAATTCAACCATAAGTTTTATTAGTTTCAGACTTAAAAAAATATAGTAAAAAAATAATAAAGAACAACATTACAGATCATTAGGTCTCTGAAGCCATGACTGCAGCTCTGTAACATCAAAGAACAATGCCCCACCAGTGTCCACCCAACAACATTTTCCACCAGGGTTTTTAGGATTGACATCAACAAGCAAGGGATCCAACTTTTTAGTTTCTATGGCTTCACTAGCATCTATACCATTCACATTGCTTGTGTAACTATCATTAGACAGTGGAAATGAAGAAAGAGACTCCTCTGCTAATTGCCGAAAAAGCACCAATCTTGGGGATGCTGATCTTAGAGTTAAGGAGAATTCAAATAACGATGCCAATGATTCACTTAAAAGAGAGCTGCTTTGTTTCAAAACTTTTCTAAGGCAGTCTTTAGCAGAATGAGAGTCACCATCAGTTTTTACAACATGTAGCCAGTCATCAATGAATTCCCAGAAAAGATTTTTTGACTCTTTAGAAAGCAATTCGCTGTAACAATTAAAAATATGATAGAAAATGTGGAAAGAATTCAGATAGGTTCAGGAAACAAACACTATATAGCTTGAAAGAAACTAATAATACTCTGTTCCGATGAGGAATAACTTAAAAACAGATAAATACTAAGACAGATGCCAAAGAATACGAATAAACAAATGAATTCCACAACTTGAGAATCATAAACACCAATTGAATATAATAATAATAAGAGGAAAAAAATGCATTGAGAAGAAGAAGAAAGGGAACAGACCCAGCTTCCAAAAGCAATGGAGTTCCTGACCACTTTTCCCGAACAGCAATTTGAACGTTCTTTGGCCTTCGATTTTGAGCTCCAACAAAAGTTAACCCACAAAACAAAAAACAAGCAAGAACGATCAAAGTGCAAAAGCGTGATCGAACATGAGTCTCCATTTGAATAAATCGAACGGGATTTTCAAATTGATTTCTATTGAATTTCGGGCTCAAATAGATCGACAGCTAATTATGGATCGGAGACGTGATAACACGACCACTATGAGAAGACCTCGAAAGAGCGGTAAATATCTATTACGTGCCACCTTTTTTTTTTTGTGTTGTATATATACATTTTTTACAAAGTCGCTAAATCAAAGAAAATATATAATTATTTTTAAATAATTAAAATAAAAAATAATTATATAATGATGAAAATATTTTTTATAAATTAATAATCATAAAAATATTTTTATTCAAATTTATCAACTCATAAACAAATAAAAAATCCATAATTAAAAAAAAATATTTATGATTGTTTTATTAAGAATCAAAATGCTAATAATTTCTAAGTAAAATATATAAATTTGAACTAAGCTCCTTATAAATGACCGCGTAATTTCATGATTTTTTAAACTTTTTTTTAATTAAATTAGATATTTGCCGGATTTTTTGTAGTTATCCGTTGGTATTTTTGACCTTACGTTCACCGTTGCCATTTTAATGAAAATATTAATTATAAGTTGTTTTATAAGAGAAAGAAAGAAGATACGTTGGCAATGCTGAAACATGAGAGCACCAATTAGCCGCGGATTTTTTTTTTTTTAATTAGATATTCCAATCTCCAATTTTTTTCGGTCGATTGCCAGATTTTTGGATTTTGAATGTTTGTAAATTACCTATAACAGTTAATTAGTTAAGAATGAGTAATTTTTTTTATTTTACTTTCTATTTTGTATTAAAAACTTTAGTTAAGAATACATTTGCCTATAACATCCTACGAATTTTTTTCACTTTGAGTTTGATCCAATTTTATATATTAAATATTTTAAAATTAATCCGATTTAATATTAAAATATTATAATTTATATATAAATTTGATTTGATTTGTATATATATATATAAATCGTAATTGATTCGATTTAATTTGAAATTAATAAGTTATTATTTATTAATAAAAACATTATTTTTAAATATAAATATAAAATTAAATAAATATAAAAATATTTATAAATATAAAATTAAATATATAATAAAAAATATTTTTTATGTATATATATATTAGATAAGAATATGATAAATTTACTTAAAACTCGAATCTAATTTAAAAAAAAAAAACTTTATCCAACCTCAAAGCGGATTTAAAAAATAATAAAACAATAACCAGCCTTTTAAGTCCGGGTGAGATCAAAACTCAGACGGATTCGCATTAAATTGCGAACGTTATTTGAGCAGTTCTCATCGTTTATAACACTAGTTTTCTACAGCAACTCCAACATATCTAAATTTGTCGAGTCAAATTGGACTTTCATAAACTGAAATAAACCCAAATTCACTATATAATATGACAGAAACCAGTACAAGGCTACAAGCTGGAGGTAGTATACAAGGACTATACAATCCTATGCGCATGACAAAAAGACTGGAACGTTTGAAATCTTTGCGCATTGAGAACCTGCTAACCTGCAGAGTATATAGCCGTCAAGCTTCTGCATCACCACAATGATAAATGGCTTTTCAAGTCCAAATTATCATTAAAAAAGGGGTTAAAAATCAAAACGAGCAGGATGTGCCCGGTTTTGGAGAAAGAAGAGAAATACTGTATATTTACATTTCAATGCACCCAAGTGAAGTAAGACACCAGCTGCAGCTTGATATTTCATGATCATGCAGAAACTTGAATGTGATTCTTTGTTTTACCCAAAAGGGAACTGAAAAACTTCGGTCGGTAAGAGCAAATTTCCGGATTCTCCGGCCATCCCAATCTTCTTGGCAATGCTTGCTTTGTGGAAGCTGATGAGTGATGACTAGATACACTAATCTAATACACAGATCTTCATATCTTCATGTATATCAATGTGTCTTTAAATTCATCCCAACTTTTCTTACACAGCCTTAGTAGCATTGCAATTCTATGACTATAAGGAAGAATCCTAGTCAAACGAGTCTTCTTCTACTCCACATTCATTTACTCAACTACAAATAGTGATGAAAACTACAAACATTCCAGATTACCTGAGCATGTCTCCTGTATGCAGTTGTGGCCTACTTAATGCTGGTGAGATGCTGAAAGCATTGCCATCACCATAACAGGAATGGTGCCCAAGAGGCATTGGTCGATCTGGAATTGGGGGAACTTCAATATCACCTTCTAACATTTTCAGTGCATCCAAAATGGTAGGCCTTAAAGCTACCATTACATGAGCACACAATATCCCAACCTGCACAAATCTCTCCATTATAGCCTTTGGATTTGAATTCACAGAATCCCCATTATTAATCAAGAAACGATCCAAAGCCTCCTCTATCTTTCCTGCCTTCATCAGTGACCAAGCCCAATCTGTTATCAAAAATGCACGTGGTAAGCCTGATGAAGACAAATCAAGAGCTTTTCTCCCACACATTATCTCCAAAACAACCACGCCAAAACTATAAACATCACTCTTCTCAGTCAGCTGCCCATAAAGAGCATATTCAGGAGCCAAGTACCCATGAGTTCCAGCCACTCTAGTAGTGAGGTGAGACTGACCTTCTCTGCTTTGCTTAGCCAACCCAAAATCTGCCACCCTTGCTCTCATGTCAGCGTCAAGCAATATATTCGTACCCTTAATATCTCTATGATATATAGCAGGCTTCACTCCATAGTGCAAATAAGCTAACCCCTTTGCCACATCCAAAATTATGTTCTTCCTCTGAGGCCAACTCAATTGTTTACTTCCCATTTGTGATGGGAACAAATGGCCATCAAGATTTCCATTTGGCATATAATCGTAGACAAGATATCTTTCACTCCCCTTCTCATCACCATCGATCATACAGCACCCTCTAAGAGGCACAAGATTCCTATGCTTCAAGTTGCTAATAATCTCAACCTCATTGCAAAACTCTTCATCTCCCTGAAACTCTGATTCTAAAATCCTCTTAACAGCGACCACTGTCCCATCTGGTAAAACCCCTCTGTAAACAAAACCAAAACCCCCTCTCCCTATAAAATTTTTCTGTGAAAAATTATCAGTCGCCTTCTCAAGATCATGAAGTTTGAACCAAATTGAACACGTATTGGGCCTCAAATTTGGCCTAGACCCTAGCTCCTTTAAATCATCAAAATTAGAATCAGAGCCACCAACATTTTTCTTTGTAAATCTTTTTTCATACAAAAAGTACAAACCCAGTAAACTAAACGTAACAAAAACTGCAACCCCAGCTCCAGTGAAGCCAAAAACAAGGACTGAATGTCCTTTACTGGCTGAACTAGATTGTTCATTCAAAGTTAATGCAAAAGCACATGCCATAACCCCATTACTTTCAGGTCCAAGCTCATTAACAATTCCAACAGCATAAAGAACAGTAAAATAAAAACAATCAGTACTGTGAGTTTGATTACCAGCAATAGAGACCAACTTATCATCAACTACGTTAGCAGCACGAAGACAAGTATCACAAGTAGTAAGATCGCTGAGATCAGACCGGCAGCCCTGGTCAAGTGCAGTGGACTCCCCTAGCTTGGCAACCCAATCTTGGGTTGTTTCTATGTTGGCACAAAGGTCAGGTGTAATCACAAACTGGACAGGATCAAAACAAAGAGAAACAAGATTACTAGGAAGAGAAAGAGAGTTGAGCTTTGACTGGTAATCTTGGAGGCAAGAAATAGAAGTGGGTAAATTTGGTAGCTGAAAGAGAGAGGTTTCTTTAAGATGTTGAGCAAGTCCAATACCAAAGACTGATAATAGAGACACGCAACAGTTCTGTTTTGCATTTTCAGCTTTTGAGGTTGAGTTGGGGTGGAAGTTGCGACAAAGAGATGAGTTCCATGGGATTCTTGTTACATAGTTGAGGTCCATTGGACATTTTGCAGATGTGTTGGTGGCAGCGGCAGGTGAGGCAGCTAAGGCAAAGGAGAGGGCAGATAAGAAAACTAGACAGGCAAGCTCTAAACTAATCTTCATTTTCTGTCTATAAATGAATCTTTTTTGTTCTAGATCGATATACTTTCTTGCCTAGGTTTTGGTTTTTAAGGTAGAGAAAGATATGGATGATAACAAGTTTTGGTCAAACCCCCCGTATTTCACTCTTCTTTGGCTGCTTCTGAGTTTTATTTCTACTTATCATCCATGGGGCTTGTCACGCACACCAACAGAGGGAGAGTGCTGTGATTGGAACGTTGATTACACGCCATTCAATGCATGGTGATGAACCAGGGTTTGTTGCTGACAGCTGCAAATGTCACTTCCACATTTGCATAGTGGGGTTTGTTATTACCAGGAGTATCTATAATAGCAGCAACTTTCGCCCCAGCTCCATCACTGTAGGGATGTGCAAATTTGTCTAGGATTTAACAACCACGAATTTGTTTCCTTTCAAATTGTTGCAATGAATGTCATTTTCCAAGCTCAATCCTTTAATCAAATTACTCGTTATTTTCCTTCATGCACTCATCAAACCATACAGTATTGGTTTGATTTTTTTTTTTCAATTTTTTAATTTTAATTATAAAAAATGTTTTTATACTTTAATTAATAATAAATAATATTTTCGAGATGAACTAAATATAAAATAAGATGAGAACTATTATAACTTTGTATAAAAAGTAAAAATTAATTTTTCATCCAAATTTAAATTTTAAATAAGTTAATTCATGTAATAATTTAACAATTTATTTAATAAATTTTAATTTTAAATATTAACATATATAATTTTTTATATTTTTAAACTATAATTTTTTTATAAAAAATTAATTTTCCATCTAAAAGAAAATAGGCAATAGTTAATTTTTACGTTGAAAGGTCATTATAAAAATATTTATTGCTTGACTTTCGCTTTCAAGAAAGTGACTGATACCGACTCCATACGCTTCCACCAAAGGGCGCCAAGAAAGGAATTTAATTTTTGAGAATAAAATTGGTCGTAAGCCTTTCTAAGCCGGCAGAGCTTGGAAGTATATATATCGGTTATTTGAGAGGCCGGCATGCTTTCCTTTGTTTTTATTTGGTGATATCTCTTCTTGTTTTTGTCCTATACATTTGCAAATGCTTACTTAAAAAACATTAAAAAATTTTCATTTGCTCTTCTGAATTATTGGTGTTTCCTTGAGAATTTTTGTTTTGCACACAAAGTATGTATTTGACTTTTCAATGATGGTTATATGTATAATTATTTATAAAACAAAACAAAGACATTTAACAATAATTTTTAATAAAAATATTTAAATTACTTGTAAAAGTAAATTAATAGTGCATTATTAATCCTAAATTATATAATTAAGTAGCTTATACTAAGACTATATTATTATTAAAATAATTGATTCGGTGTACATTTGATTTAAAAATATTAATTTTTAAATATTATATGAAATTATTTTAATTTAAATTATTCTCGAAATGTTCATACGGTTAAAATCGCAATCGAATTACAAAATTTTTGAATTTAATTTTCATGAATACAATCTTACAAGTAAGACTTATCAACAAAAGAATTTAAATTGTGCAACGCAAGGATTTTAATTTAAAACATTTGCTTCGTCAGCTATAACTGTATCTTATGAAGAGTCAAATTAAAAAACCCAAAACTATTACTTTTTCTAAGCAAAAATAGTTGAGGATAGGAAAGATTTAGATCAAAATTTTTAAGTAAAATTAGTTAATTTTTTATTAAAAATAATTAAATTAAAATTAATATATTGAAATATTTTATTATATAGATTAGTGTTTAAATTTTTAAAAAATTTTAATAAATTTATATTTTTAAATAAATATTTTTAATAAAAATATTAATAAAATTTTTATCAGATCAATTTTGATTTATAAATAATATTTTTTACATATTATTAAATTTTATTAGTTTATCAATTTAAAATTTTTATTAAATTAATTTTAATAAAAAATTCATAAATTTTATCTAAATAATTTTGCGTAAGTTTTTTTCAGTCAGAGGGTAGTAGCTAAAGCGGAGACTACACTAGGAAGTCGTGATCAATGGGTGACGGGGAGAGTTTGAAAGGTAGATCGGCGATAGCAAGAAAGATTTTCTTATGAGAGCTTGTTCTCGATACTTCGGGAAAATCGAAAACAAGGCGTTTCGATAAAGGAGAAGATCCAATTTCGACTATGTAAGGTGAGCGGTGTAACAAGCAACAAATGTGCTACGCAAGGCGATCTAGTCGCGGTCGCCGTTGCCATTCCTTCTTTTGTAGGCACGCTACCAGCTGGAAAGCAGAAAATGCAAAAATAATATCTATAAAAAAAAATGGAAATATTTTAACCGCCTGTTATTTGTAGCCATGCCGCCAGCTGAAAATCGGAGATATCCTAACCGCCTCTATTAGCCGTTGCGTTGGAGGTTTGGAAGCGGGTGGTTCACCCGGTTAATAAAGTTTTCTGGGCTATTTATTCTTCGAACTTTTTTATTCTTGAAACTCTGAAATATCCAATCATAGAACGTAACTATCGCAGTACGTTATGCATCGTTTTATTCAATTGGTCTAGTTTTAGAACGCAGCTATAAATAGTAGGAGAGACCCCAAGATAATATTACATTATTGAAAAATTTTCCTTGCATCACTTCTTTTAATCAATTCTCCGATACAAAGCTAGTATTCAGAAACTTTATTACTTAAACGAACTACTTCAGAGTAAATTGCATAAAATAACTTTCAAAAGAGAAAAGCCAATTTTAACATCCATGTCAAGATTCTCCATCCTTTTACAATTTACTAGGTGAATATGGAAAGTCTTGATCTGAAACATATTGGTCTTGTACCGTATATATCATTAAAAGTTGATTTGTGCTATATATGATTAAAAACATTTACCTGTACAAGCATCTAAGACTAAAATCTACCATCACCATCGCTTTCGAAAATTCCCCTTCCCTCTCCGGGGCTATTGGACGTTCTGTGTTGCACGATTTTCATGCCTTGGGGAGTCGGTATAAACCTGCCCTTGTTCTCTCACATCTCTAAACATTGAAAGAAATGAATTAAGGCCTTCAGATGAAGCACCTCCCAAGATCCATAATAACAGCGAACTGAATGAACTCATAGTCCCAGGGTTAGGACCAGCTTCAGCTTGCTGTAGCTCAGGTTGTCCTGGAATCTGCATATGGTTGCCACTCTGGCCTATATTGGCATTTCCCGAGTCTGCTCGAGGTCCAGAAGCTTCTCCGGCTCCATTTGCTGGCACTGCTTGGTCAGGTCCAGGTCTCCACCCTTGCCCAGAGGTTGGATCTGTATTAACTAGGCCTGGATTCCTGGTGTTCAATCTTGTAATGTGTAGAGTAGATGCGAGTATAGTTGAGGAGGTGATATGGAAGTCTGGATGTTGCTGAAGCTGAGACCGCCGGTTTTGCATAAACCTTTGAAGTGCAGGTACCTAGAAGTAGGTAACATGTATATAAGTGCTAGAAATGTAAACTTTTAATTTTATAATAAAAACGGAAATTTAATTCTTTTCCCCAACCGACTAGTTGTGTCACATTAGCAGACTTACATCACGCATAACCTAATATAGTAATAATAGTATATTAACTATCCAACGTGGACAGTCTAATTTTCTGACATGACAAGTGGGGCATTTCTCATGTCATTATTTCTCAAACTTAAAATCATGGACAAAATTAATTTCAAATATATTTTCCCCATATTTGTTCAAACTCAATGAACTCTGCAGCAAAAGAAAAAAAAAAAAAACTGAATGCTAAAAAATTGACGCATGGACTTTCCAAATAAGTATAAATACATGCTGAATCATTAGAGGCAAATACTAGTTGACCCACGAATCTGCAAAACTCTCCTAATCCTGCCTGTCATGGCATTGCAACGTCATAAAAAAAAATAGTCTTATTTCCTCCCTCTTGCTCTTCCCCTTTCTTCTTTCATTTATCTGCTTCATCCTCTCTCTCTCTTTCTCTCTCTCTCTCTCTCTCAAATCCCAACTTTCTCACTCTTCTTCAATCTATATAATCGCTTTCTCCAGACTAACCTCACCACAGGCCATCTCTTCACAGCCACCAATGTTTCTCTTTCACACCCTACCCTCTATCATCTTTATTGTTCCTCTCTTCCAGATTTACCCTCCCCGTACCTCCAACTGTCTCTTAGTTGAGCTTGCATTTTAACCATTTTAACTCTCTCAGATATCACATACCCATTTCATTCATGCAACAACATACCTGTCATGGCTGGCTTTATTGCTCTGTGATTTGTTGAAATTTGTTTTGACTTTGGATATTTAGGAATGAATTTTCCTTGTGGGCAAAATAGGTTATTGATAGGTGTCTAAGGCTGTGTATTTGTTGGTGAGGCAGTTTTCCTTGGATATGCTAGGGGCTGCAAAGTCTTATTTCCTTTCACGAACTCTTGCTAAAATTAAGTTTCATTTTTAGGTTATTAGGGCTTGAGTTTTTTAAGTAATTTTATGCAAATAAGATGAGAATCTAGACTTGATTTTAGAAGCAAGGCAAGAAAGAGAAGGCTGGCAGTGGCTAATTGGTGAGAAAGGAAAGTGTAAATTTGGCAAGCATATAAAGGAAGGAGAAGCTTTCGAGTATTTGACACGAAAAGAAGGACCAAGTGTCGAGTGAAAACAAACATCATGTCTGTGACAATGTTTTTATAACATCACAATTCGACATCAACTAAAATGAGGAGGCTATATAAATTGACAGTGCATCTAGCACTGCTCCTATAAATAACCCTTTTCTTGGTCTTGCTCATGTTTTCCTAGAATAAATTACTTTCAATTAAATTTATAGTCACCTCTTGACACTATATTCATTATTCATTAGTTAATTAATATGATATTAGTGGGAATGTGACTCACTCCTAATCATAAATATTTTCATGATGTTGGAAAGCAAAGATTTTACTTTGTGGTTGTTCCCTCTAAATCAAAGTTTAGTTGTATGTGAGTATATTGACACCTTATTGTGGTTTTCTCAAATATATAATAACATTACATGCATTGATTAACTATAAGATTTACAGTTCTATACTTTTGTGACAAATTATTTTATAGGTGGTTAAGGATTCGAGCCTATTTATTTGTGTTTTTCTTTGTTTATCTTTTCTTCTTAAGTTACAATTTACGTCTATTATTACATTAGTGTAAAACTGAAAAAAAATTAAAGTGAACTTCAAATTTATTTAAAACAAATACTTTAACGGTTATTGAATTATCAATTCACGTGAAAAAGACCAAAGAAGTAATCAAAAGGAGTTTAATTCATTAAA